AATTCATTATAGTATTAAATAAATTGCGAGGAAACATTTTTTTCGCATGATTTTTATATACTTTTTTTGTAACAATAAATTATTTATCATTTTTTTACACAATTTCTTTATTTTATTAATAATAAATTATTTATCCGGCCGACGTTTACCTGCATGTTTTTTTCCCTTTATCTTTTTCTTTTTTGTAGAAAATGGGTTCATTGGGTAAAAAACCATTTGCTCTCTAGATTTGAATTAGTAAAAATGTTTACTAATTTGAATCAGTGGTTGGCTTTTTGATTTTGAATTGACTTTTTGCTTTTGAATTAATTTTACTATAATGTAAATTAGTAAATTTTACTATATAATAAATTAATTTCACTATTTATAATAATAGTAAAATTTACTAATTCGAAAGGAAAAGGTCATGTCTCCAATATTCAAAGTATTAAACATTTTTACTAATTAAAATTTACAGAGTGGTAAACACGCCTTTACCTTCAATTGAAAAATACAAAAAATCAAATATTTAAAAAAAAAAAATGCGGTGAAATATGAAAAAAAATTTTCCAACTCATGAGTCAATTCGTGGAAAGAAGCTTAATGAATTCATTATACAGTGGTGTAATTAATACGTTTCCCACAAAAAAAAAGAAGAAAAAAAATAGCGGGGTTATAATTACCCTTCTCGGGGGGTTGAAGGCAGTACGTCGAGGACCATTGTTGGGCTTTTCGAATTTTATCCTATTATGCGGTTAGTGAATACTTCACTGGCAAATGGGCCTTATCGCTGTCACGTGGACAATGCTCCCTCTGACGTGGTTATGACGGCAATGCGATACCCCTCAAATAATAATCATTGGTTGCGCAATAACGATGATAATGGGCGGCACGGACATTTTTCTGAATAGACGACATTCATCTTAGCCATCGAATCTGAATATGGATTTTTTTTTCCTGTTGCTTTTAGCTATTGTCGTATTTTGCACTATACCTCCCCCCCCCTGTGGGTTATATTTTTTAATCCTCAACCCCCACCACCCCCTCTCCTTCGCCCCTATAATATACCTCTCTCTTACCTTTCCCAAGAGAGGACGCAGAAAGTCTGCATACAGGCTCGACTTACCCCTTTTTTTTCTTTTCTTGGTTTTGTGTCACCCTCGCCATATATAGTCTCCTGTGCTTCTCTCTTCGATCGATTTGAAGCTTCAAATTTCTTCCGAGATCGTATCAAGGGAAAATAATCCCTATTATATTACAAAAAATTTTTAATTAAAAAAAAATATGTGAATATTGAAAAATAGACGATTCTTGCGTAAATACCCTGTTGGAAAAGTTTTCTTTTAAATTTTAATATTTACAATTTATCTATTATCTTAATTTACATTATTAATTTTATAATCGAAACGAAACAATTTTCCTATCATCGACACATTTTTTTGTACTACATCCTCTTCATTTCGCTTGTGAGAGAATTTTCATGACGTCTAGGCGGCAGTTTAATGAACTATATTGGCGCGAGATTCAAAATAAGAAAAATTTAAAAAAATAGAAAGACTGAAAAAAGAAAAATATTTAATATTATAAATAATATAAATAAGTAATAATAATAAGCAACGCCTAATAATAATAAGGATAGCCGCAAGTCAGAGAAAAACTGGAAATCAGGGAAAAGTCTGGGAATTTTGATCGAAAGAAACCACAAATTAAAAAACTGTGATACATAAATGTCAATTCAGTTTTTTTATTTAAACGTTTTTGTAATATAGCTCATTATAATGGTGGCGTCACATCTTTCATAAGTTTGAACGTTCTTACGGACATAATAAGATTTTGTTAACAAACAATTTTTAATTATCTTATTTTTTCCTTTATAAATTAAATTGTTACTTAAAAAGCATTATAAACATTTCAATGAACAATGTAGAATATTAAATAATTGAAAAATTTGTTAGGGAAAATCAAAAATTAGTCTGGAAAAAGTCTGGGAATTTTGAAAATAAAATTTTGCGGCCACCCTGATAATTATGAAATAAGAGTACAACAGAAAATATATATTTTATTTCTCCATTGTACACTTTATACTATATTTTCCCGCAGTATACTTAGATTAAAAATAACATCAACAGGCCTCGGATCGACTTTAACGAGCCAAAAAAGTCGCTTTAGTCGATTAAAAATAGATAAAAAAAACGTAAAAGTCGTTTATTTACTTCAGTGTTGTCACAAAAAATTTTATTTTGTATTTCCCTGATTTTTAAATTCAATTAATCAAGACTCGAATAATTTTGCTAAATAAATATTTAAATACTTCCTATTTCATTTTTCAGGGGAAATAAAATTTAAAAAATTTCAACTTCTGAAATTTATTAATTTCTAAAAATTAGAACTATAATCCTTCCGAAATTCAATTGTTTTCTACAATTTTTAACTAAACTTCATCTCTAAACTAATTATCTATATTAATTTTTAATAACTTTTCGAAAGATCTTCGAGAATTCAATAAATTATTTCAATATTGTTCGGAGAATTTTACCTCAGCATTGAGTATTAGAGGAAATAATTTATCTTGTGTTTGAAATTAAAAAATTAATTTCTGTTTTATTTATAAAGTGTTACTAAAATATTTAAAAGATTTACTTAGAATGACGTTCAATAATTGTTAAATCCTGTACGGTATTAAATAATTTAAAAATAAATTTTACGTAAAATTCTGTATATACTTTTCAAGTGTAATTATTTATTGACAATGAAACGGTGTTATTTTATAAATAAAAACAAATTTTTAGGTTCTTTAAATTTTTGTTTTATACCTTTTTATTATGATTAATATTAAATTATCACTTAAATACATTAATATTTAAGGTGTTATATGCTTCATCATATACTTGTAGTGAAAAAAACGTTAATATCTTAAACCGGGAAAAATCGGGGAAAAACCGGGAATTCAAAAACTGAAAAATAGTAGACACCCTGTTAATTTTTTGAAGCATTTTAATTAAAAATTTTTAATATGTTTATTTTCTCCAGAATGTTAAAAATGATTCTAAAAAATTTTAATGTTATTTTTTGTATGTATTTGAATTTTCGGAAATATGTAATCGAAAATATTGAAAATGATTGAAATTTAAAAAATTAGAATGAAAAAATTCTGAGAATTAGTTTTTTTCAAAAATATTTTAGTATTATTTTTACAACCCAATTTTCATTTTTATTAAATTTACACTGGAAGATTTTTCATTAAAATTTTTGAGAATTCAATTATTTCAAAAATTTTCAATTAAATTTCTTTAAAAGTTGATTTTTAAAAATTGTAATAAAATACTTGAAAAAAATGATTTATTTTTAATTAAATTTTTCAAAATTTCAATTATTCAAAATCTTTTTAATTATTGTATATTTCAAAAATTTAATTAGAAATTTATTCAAAAATAACTTTTCAAAAATTTGTCTATAGTTATACTTCACAGAGAAAAATATAAAGTAACTTTTACTACTTTTGTAGTAAAAAATTTCCGGTAAAGCATTTCTGGTAATTTTTACTACTTTCAGAATAAATTTTGCTACGTTCGAAGTAAATTTCACTGATTTTTACAAATATGTACTTCGAACGTAGCAAAATTTACTCCAGAAGTAGTAAAAATTACCAGAAATGCTTTACCGAAAATTTTTTACTATAAAAGTAGTAAAAGTTACTTTATATTTTCCTCCGTGTTTTTACACTATAAAAATAGAAATAAGTTGCATTTTATACTAAAAATGTGGTATTTTGTTGCAAAATTTGGAAGAAAAGTCGAAAAAGTCGTAATTCTTTAATATAAGTCGATAAAAGTCTCATTATTCGAAAATAGTCGTAAAAAGTCGAAAAATTCGTAGTATCCCAGGCTTTCATCAATAGAAAAAATAAATAACGAAATAAAAATAACATGTGGATTGAGTAGAAATGCAATCGGGGAGCATTGGGATTTTCGAAATGGCTTCGAAATATTTCAATATCGCAGGATCGCTTCTACGGTCCAGTCTCAGCATCTCTCTGAGAAGATACAAAACTTGTATTTAGCAAAGGGCTAAGCCTTATAGTAAATATACATTTTTAACAATAGAAGAAGCAGAATATGAATTTAGGTCCCTCTCTATCAAAATATATAAGCATCAGTTTGATTTGCCAATGCAAGATACAAGTGTCGAAATCTCCACTTCAGAGATGTGTACCTAATATTTATTTTTGCCTCACAAAAGTCATATTTCAATGTAAAAATGTACTTTATTTTGAACCAACAAATTTTGTATTCAATTTTTTTTTAATTTATTTAAATTTGACATTTTAAATAATCCAATTATTTAAATTTATTATGTAAACTTATCGGCACTATATAATTAATTTTATTGTTTTAAAAAATTAATAAATATTATGATATCGAGAAAAAATTTTCTTGAAATGACATTAATAATTTTTTATGATGATGAAAATGAATAATAGTAATAATATTAAACGTAATAATAAAAATAATAGGGATAGTAAAAACATACCTAATTTAATATTAAAAATAAAATATTATTTTATATATTATATTTTTATTAATATTACTATTAATTATTTTGGTTTAGTGTCGATGATTTGGATCTCGTTACTGAAAGCATATAATATTACTATTATTATTAATAACAATATTATTTTACTTTAAAATAATTAAAAATTTCTATTTTTTATTGTTATTAATAACATTATTATTATATAGAACTATAATTAATATAAATGATATAATAAATAATACAATAAATATTATAAATGATACAAATAATAGTAAAAATTATACAAATTAGAACAATATTATATTATAACAATAAAATTTTTTTTTTATAATTATAATGTTATGTTACCTTAAAATAATTATTTTTATTTTCTCGTATTATATTTTGAATTATTAATAAAAAAATTATTAATGAGTATTTATAATGTTAATAATAATAACAATTTGAAAAATTGTGTTATTAATTTGAACACTGCTTTTGAATTACAGGTTTTTGGGTATTGAACCAAGAACAAGTACATTGCACGAAAATGGAGGAGAGGGACAGATTGGAGCAGGAGTAATTGGTCCAGCCAGTGCGGAAAAAAATTGCAGAAACTTACATCTTACTCCAAAACAGCAGGCGATATGTTTACGATCGCCACCTTCCCTGCAGGTGATTTCAATCATTAATTTAATTAAGATTCTCCTCCAGTTTTTTTATTTTATTTTTTTGTATTAATCTCCTTCAATTATTTATAAAGAATTTTTTAATTTCACTTTTTTTAATCCGCCGAGCATAAGACTGGGTGGAATGCTGCACTTAAGTGTAATTTTGATTTTTCGACAATTATTATGGTGATGAAAAACTTGAATATTTTTGAGCCTTTTTTATTATTTAAATAAAAAAAAATTACGCTTTGCGCTCGGTGTTTCAATTTTGAGCCTTACGCTCTCTGGCTTAATTAAAAAAAATTTAATTATAAATTAAATTAAAGTTTATAATGATTATAATTGGAATTAAATTAATTTTAATTGAAACATAAAAAATTTAATTGCATTTAACTTTAATAGAAATTTAAAAATTTTAATTGAAATTTATAACAATTTTGATTGCAATTAATTTTAGTTGAAATTTAATAATTTTAATTGCATTTAATTTTAATTGGAATTTAAAAAATTTTAATTACAATTGAATAATATTAGTTCAATAAATAATGTATTAATTAAAAAAAACTACATTCGAAAAATTGATAGAAAAAAATTAAACATTTTTGTGATATAAATTAAATGATTTTTTTATATTCGTGTGTGAGTATAGAACTTTTTTTTTCTCAAGAATTTTGGAAAGTGCGTTTACATTTCTTAATGCACAAATCTAGTGAGAATCTTTGGTCTAGACAAACTTGAGCCAAAAAGTTGATTCCTTTGACTATTGCCGACGCGTGAAGTGCAGACCGGTATAGAATATAGAAGAAAAAAATATGTATATTTATGAGATTTTTTTTCTCTTCAACACTCTTTTAATTTAAAGAATGCTTCACGCTCGGTTCATTAGAATATATACTATATTTATATGATTCTTCAAAAGAAGAAAAGCATCACAACTCATCCGGGGATAATTTTCATTTCATTTGTTAAATTCATTTTTTATTTATTTTTAATTTATCTTTAATTTTTTGAAATTTATTATTGTAGATTTAGTTTTTTCTAAGTTTAAATAAATAATTTAATTTAATAACCGATTTTATTATTAATATATTTTTTATTTATATAAATATTATTATTTTTTTATTATTCATTAAAAAAAAATTATTTTATTCACAAACTGATTACTTGTTCATTATCAAATAAATATTTACTTGAATCAAATAATTTTTATTTCAGTCAATCTAGATAGATAGATAGTTTTATTTACTCTCCCTGCGCACAGCAGGGTTCGAGGATCCTTTTACAAAATAAAATTACAAAATCTTACAAGTATTTACATATATCCTTAACCTAATTACAATTTTTCAAACAACACGCAACTTAACCTATTCTCATCACACACATCCACTCAAAATTCGCCAATGCCAGGGCTTCCGTTTCCAGTTCCCTTTGTCCATACTGACTGATTCCTCATTAACGCCCCACCCCTTTAAATCCTTAACCTCCATCTTCATTCCTAGCCTTCTTCATTTCTCCCCATTCACCCGATCATCTATTCCAACCTCAAGCACTCGTCCATTACATTCTCTCACGCACCATTTTACCCCATCCACCCACACACATTCCCTACCCATTCTTACTTCTCTTCCATTCCTTCTTTCGATCCATGCCTTCTCTCCCAATAACCATCTTATTCTCCTTTCCCTCCACGTTCTATCCTCATCTATTCTCTCTACACATCCTTTCAACCTTCCTTTCATCCTCATAACCTCCTCTTTCTCCTCCTTACTTCCCAGTTCTACTAACCACATCCTCGGAATTCCATTTGCATCCATACTCATCGCTTTCATCTGCCTAATATTAATTTTCACCCCTATCCTTTCAGCCAGTCTCCCCACCTCTCTTCTTTCTTCACTTAAACCTGCATTCATACCCCTAATCATTATATTTCTTTTTCTTTTATCCTTTTCCATCCATTCCACTCTTCTTTCCAACTCATTCTCCTTTTGTTCATAATATACACTTTCACTTCCCTCACTACACATTTTTACCCCCTTTTTTAACATAACCTCCATTTTCTCATCCTCTTCCTTCTTCTCTAAAATAAATTTTTCCAAATCATCCACTCTTTCTCTCATACCTTCCAACTCACTCGCCAACCTTTTCCACTTTTCCTGCATCCTTTCCATTTCCTCATCTAATTCATCAATCTCTTTACCCCTCTCATCACCTAATTCACACACCGTTTAAAAATTCTTCCACACTCTCTCATAACGCTCTTCCATTGCCTCATTCAACATTTCCACTAGCTCCATCAAGTCCATACAGTCTTCACACGTCATTACCTTTCCATTCTTCCCAAACCCTCTTTTAAATATTCGCGCCTTTTTCTCTCTCTCTCTTTTCTCTCACTACAAGCAACCTAACCTCACAACATTCACTTCTCTTTTTATACTTTTTTATCACTCACACTTACCCACTCGCACACATACACTCTTTTTACTTTCACCACCACTCTTTCCTTTGTTATCTCAAACACTACACTACCCACCCTTCAATAAAATACTCAAAATTTTGGCAAAAACTCTTAACCCTTTACAAACGCGTGCACAACTCAACGGTACCGGAAACGGAAGTAAATGCCATTTAATTGATTTGTGATTTAATTAATTTTCTAATTATTAATTATTTATCATTAAATAAAAATTATTTGGTTCAAGTAAAATATTTTATTTATTTATTTAAGTAGTAAACGGGACTATTTTTTTGATAATAAACAAGTAATCGGTTATTTAAAATAAATAAATTTTTTTTCAGTGTTATTATAATTATTATTTTGTCTTATTCATTATTAATAAAATTATTTATTTTATTTTTTAATTTAATTTTACTTATGAATATAATTTTTTATTAAATTTAATTTGTTCTAGTTTTACTTTTTTTTTAGTATTAAAGTTTTCTTTTTTTGAAATTTTATCATTTTATTTATAAAAGTTTACATAACGATCGCATTAATTTTGATATACGTAGAATATATTATTTGGAAGATTGAAACGCGCCTCGTGCAGATGCTTTATGCAATATCTGCAGAAGACATGTAATCGTTCATCTTGAAATTGAACATTAATCCTTAATATTCTTAATTGAGTTTATCGCATTATTTTAAATCTTTAGAAACTCGCGTCGTCGGCCCTTCTTTTAACAGTAAATTTTTCATTGAAAAATATTTCTTTTTATTTACTAAATTTTTTAATTTATTACTTTTATCTTTTTTTATTATGTTTTTAATTATTTCTATATCGTTTTTTATTATTTTATTTTAATTATTTTTTTTATCCTATTTTATTTTTTTATTAAATAAGTTTAAAAATTTCATAAATAATTTTTAATAATTTATTTTTTGTATATTTTAATATCCCTGTGGTCATAATTGAATAATTAAAAAATTTTAATGGAAAAATGAAATGATTGTGATTAAATTATATTTAAATTTTTATTAAAGTTAGGAAAATAAATTTTGCAGTTACTTTTAGCAAAATTAATTAAACTAATTGAACAATGTGTCAATTTTTAAGTAAAAATACTAAATTATTGCAGTAAATAATTCTTTTTTTTATTATTCATTTTCTTTTACATTGTTTATTTTTTATTTTCTTTATATTATTTTTTTACTCTATTGTTTTTGTTTATTTTATTTATATTTTATTTTATTCTTTTTTTTAATTACGAAACACAATATAAAAATATGTATTTTCTTGATTAGTATAGAAAAAAATGATGGCAATATTCTAAATTTGTGAATTTAATTTTCATAAAATTGTTTTAGGCAATCAGTGCAGGTGCGAGATTAGCGATAGAAGAATGCCAACATCAGTTTAGATCAGCAAGGTGGAACTGTACCATTAATCCTGAAAATCCCGAAAACATTTTTGGCGGTGTCATGCTAATCAGTGAGTCCGTCACAAACTAGTAATTTTGCGCTTTATTTTCTTATTTTTCTTCTTCTCTTCCTTCTTATTCTTCTTTATAATATACCATCAAAAATTGCAGTTCTTTGAAGGCAATTTTAAAAACTTTCACTTTATTTCATTTTTCATTGTGAAAACAAAAATAATAGAAACTGACATTTTTCAACAATGAATGCATAGACGAGATGGGAATAAAAAATAAATATCTTTTTCTTCTGTCTTTCTGAGAAAAATTATTGTTTACTTTCAATTTTAAGTAAAATTATTTTATTTCAATATTGTCGTAATTTATTAGGGATTTTTTTACTAGATGTAAATAAAAGTCAATAATACTTACCTTTTAATAATGACTAATATTTGTTAACTCTTTTTTTTACTGTCAATAATAATATTTTTAAACTCTTCTTCTACTATTAATAATAATATTTTTCATTTTTTATTTATTGTCAATAATAATTTTTCTAAACTCTTTTTTACTATTAAGAATAATATCATTTTTCAACTCTTTTTTTACTATCAATAATATTTTTTTACTCTTTTTTTTTACTGTTAATAATAATATTATTTTCCAACTCTCTTTTTTTACTATTATTATTAATTTTATTTTTAATAAATATGGATAGAAAATAGATAGAAAATAAAAAATGAAAATATTAAAAATATTGGCGAAGAAATTCGAAAAATGAAAAAAATGTGAAAGAAATTAGAAGATAGAATTTTTAATTAATTTCCTTAAATAGTTTCAAACGAAATTTGGTTTTTCCTGATTAAATATTTTTAAAAATTTACTATTCAAAAGAGAAAAAGAAATAGTTAATTGTTAATATTACCCTTTTTTTCTTCTTCTCCTTCTTTTTAAATTCTGAACAAAATATATTTTGCCTAGAGAAAAGTAAAAAAAATAAATTTCTTTTTTTGAATATTGATAGACATTTTTTTTCCACAGATAGTCGAGAGGCTGCATTTATTTATGCGATATCAGCAGCGGGAATCGCTTATAGTGTGACGAGAGCTTGTTCACGAGGAGCTCTTACAGATTGTTCTTGTGATAACCGGGTGAGAGCGAGACATCCCAATCATTGGCAGTGGGGTGGCTGCAGCGAAGTAAGTGTATTAAATTTCAACCCTTTCATCTTCCCTTACAGTTGAAATGAAAAGCAATCCTTTTTTTTTTTTATTTTCCTAATGAGAAAAAAAAATAATAAACAAAACACAGCTGTCATTATTGTATCCAAAATCTAATTTCAAACTTTTTTCGAAATTTGCAAAAAATTTATCACAAAGAGTCTTTTTTCTCTGCTGTTCCTGGGGGGGGGGGATTTTTTTTTTAAATTCGAGAAAAATTTTGAGACAAGTAAATATAAACATGAGTTAAAAATTTCTTTTGGAATTTCTTTCTTTTTTTTCTTTCTTTAGAAAGAAAAAATTTTTTTTATAATAGTAGTAAGAATTGTTTGAAATAAAAACAAATATTCTAATTTTTGCATAAAGCTGATGCGAATTCAATAGAAAGTTTTAATATAAAGTACTGAACGAAATGAGTGACATTTATTTCTTTATCTAGTTCAAATTTTGATTTACGAAAATTATATTTTAAAAAATTCGTTTATATTTTATTTTTGTATTGAAAAAATATTTCGTTTTTTCATTTTTTATTTTTTTTCTTACCTCTATTTGTTTTACTTATTTTTCATATTTCCTTTTTCAGTTGAAATTTTATTTAATTTATGTTTAATTTATTTACATTAATTTATTCATCACGTCCTAAAAAAAAAATTCAAAATTTCCCTTTGATTTTTATTTCATTTACTAAATTATGAAAATTATGTCGAAAAAATATTTCTCTCATTTGAAAGTTCAGAATTAAAGGAACATCCGAATTCGGTTAAAATTTGAAAAGAAGAAAAGGAGTTAAAATTGGAAATAGTGTGAAATTGGAATTACTGTGAAATTTTTAACTCTGTAATGAATTTTAGGATTATACGACGCGCATTAGGAGCTAGAGAAAAAGAAAGGAGAGATGTGATTTTTCTTGCTAAACAAAAAAAAAAGAAAAAGTAAAGAAAAAAGAGAAAAGAAATGGAAACAGCAATGTCATATTGCATTTGTAGGGGCGATGACTGGTAGTGGAACATTTTCTTTATTCTGTAACACAGAAGGGGTCGACCGCAGGTATTTCAGTTACGACAAGACGAAGCACGTAAACGGATGCATTTTGCGTGAACAGGTGACCCCTTGTAGACATTGCAAGCTTACAAGGGGATTAAGGGGACACTAAGCTTGTTAACTTGCGACAACCCCTCTTATTCACCGAACCCATGCTACTTTGCCTATGAAACACGTTTCATCAACATAAAACCTAGAAACAACCCTCAAGATTTCTCAAATCCTGAACACAGTTTATTAATTTTCTTCTTCTTCTTCTCCTTTTTATTTTTCTTTTTCTTTTTTCCCCACTTTTAATGAGTTTGGGAAAAAAACAAATTTTCATCTGCAAAATTTCAAATTTTTTTTTTGCTTCCTCATAAAGAAAGGATTGTATTTTCTTTTTTATTAGCGAAAAATTTTCTCTTCGTTATTCAATTATTCGAAATTAAATTTCCCCTTTTTTAATTTTCTTTTTCGTTACTGGAAAATTTTCCCTTTCGTTATTCAATTATTCGAAATTAAATTTCCCTTTTTTTAATTTTCTTTTCCATTAGTGGAAAATTTTTCCTTTCGTTATTCAATTATTTGAAAGGAGTCAAAATTAAATTTCCCATTTTGCTTTTTTATTGAACTGAAAATATATAATTTTAATGTTAGAATTAGCTTTAAAAAAATGTTCAGAATTTTAAATCAAATTAATTTAATTTTTAATAATTGAATTGAAAATTTCAGAAATAAATTGAATAATTGAGGGGCTGGATCTTAAAACAACACAAGAAATTTCTACAACGGTATTGGTTGGCCTCTAAAACCTCTAAAAAAAAATTTTTTTAAATAAAGTTTTTCACTAACTTATAGGAAATTTCCTTGCGCATCTTTTTTCTTCTCATGATTTTTTTTATATTTTTAACAGTTTTTGAAAAAAATCCAACAAATACCGCTGCTGAAATTTTATGTGTTGTTCTAAGATCCAGCCCCTCAATAGATGATTTTTTTATGTCAAATATTAGAATTAAACAATTTTTTACTCAATTATTTGTTCAAATCTAAAAATTTTACCAATTTTGAGTCAGATTTATTTTTTAATTCTAGAAAACTGAATTCAAAAATTAAAAATTTCAGAGATTTCACTACTCAATTGAGTAATTAAATATTTATAATTTTAATATTAGAATTAAACAATTTTTTATTCAATTATTTGCTCAAATTTAACAATTTTACCAATTTTGAGTCAGATTTATTTTTTAATTCTAAAAAACTGAATGTGAAAATTGAAAACTTTAAAAATAAATTGAATAGTTAATAATTTTGTAATTTATATATTAGAATTAAAAATTTTTTGATTCAGTTATTTAAAAATTTTAAAAATTTAATAATTTTTATTCGAATTTATTTAATTCTAAAGAACTAAATTTAAATATCAAAAATTTTAGAAATAAATTGAATCATTAAAGATTTTTTAATTCGAATATTAGAGTTCAATTCTTTTTATAAATTATCCTTTCTTAAAAAAGACATGGAGTGGAAAGGTCGAATGTATCGAAAAGTATCGAAGTAAAGAATGGGCAATGAGAATGTAAAATCTTAATAGAAGGGTGTTTTTAAAATTGTTTGTACATGTGAAGGTGGCGCTGCAGTCGTATGTTATTTAAAAAGAGCGCGAATATATAAATTTTATTTTTGTTAAAAGAAAGTACTCATAATAAATCTTATTTTGCATTGTCAAAAAAAACGTCAACATTTCAAATATAAATTAGAAAATTATTAACTGAAAAAATTTGAATATTATTATTAATGAAATAATGGACTTGGACAATGGACATATAAAAACTAGCACCGTAGACGGCCGCTTGCGGCCGTCGGAGGAGCTAGTTAAAAAAAATATTTATAATTTTGGGTCAAATTAATTTAATTTTTAATAATTGAATTGAAAATTTCCAAAGTAAATTGAATAATTGATGATTTTTTAAGTCAAATATTAGAATTAAACAATTTTTTATTAAATTATTTGTTTAAATTTAAAAATTTTACTAATTTTGAGTCAGATTTATTTTTTAATTCTAAAAAACTGTATTCAAAAATTTCAAATTTCAAAAATAAATTGAAGAATTTAATTTTTTTTGCTTCAATTTATTGGAGTTTAATTTTTTTTGAGTCAATTACTTGAAAAATGGTGGTAATTTTAAGTCGAATTTATTTAATTCCAAAAAAACTGAATTTAAAAATTGAAAATTTCAGAAATAAATTGAACAATTAAATTTTTTTTATTTAATTATCAGTTTCATTTCTTTTAAGTTTATTAATTACTTAATTATTAATAATTAATTACTTGAAAAAATGTTTACAATTTAGAGTCAAATTTATTAATTTTAATTCTAAAAAAACTGAATTTAAAAATTTGAAAATTTCAGAAATAAATTGAATACTTAGTTAAAGATTTTGTAATTTAAATATTAGAATAGAAAATGTTTTGATTCAATCATTTGCAAAAACTAAAAAATGTCAACAATTTTAAGTCAAATTTATTTAATTCTAAAAAACTGAATTTGAAAATAGAAAATTTTGGAAAAAAATTTAATTAAACATTTTATGTTCTCAAAGTTTCGAACGTTGAAATGAACGACGATATTTTTGTTATGTCTTTTAATTTGTATTTTATTATAATAATTATTTTGTTTATTAGAAAAATTGATTTTTTTAACTGAATAAATATTAAATTTTCATTATTTTTCACCTTAATGTAGTAATTTTTTTGAAAATTATTAAAATAGAAAATGAATTTCGTTTATTTATCGTTTACCTTTAAAACACGGTTTTAAACGAGTTTTATTAAAAATTTTATAAATAATTTAGTTTATTTGAATAATTTTATTAAAAAATTTTTAAATAATTATTTTTTTCAAAGAATTTTATCAAAATTGTTGAAAATAATCGAATTCAATTAATATTTTCAAAAATAATTGTATTATTTCGAGAAATTTTATTAGAATTGTATTGAAAATAATTGCATTCCTCTGAGGTATTTTACTATTTATAAAGATAATTTAATTCTTCCTAAGAATGTTATTTATAAGAAGAAAAAAATTGTTTCGAAAAATTTTATCAGAATTTTTTAAAATAATTGAATGTTTTGAAGAAATTTTATTAAAAATTTTTTTTAAAAACAATTTTAAATAATTGGCAACACTTTTGATTTGTTTTTTGTCTTAAGTTGATATCCTTAGAAAAATAATGAAAGAAAACAGAAATTTATTTCAATAACAAAAATGTAAACTAGATTTTTGTCCTATTATAAAAATGTGGTGAAACAACTTGACGTTAAAGTGAAGAATTTTTCCAGTGGACGTCCTTTAAAAACCCACGCTCGTGTTTAGATAAAGGATTGAGACGTAAATAAATATGTGTCAACTATAAGCATAGTCAAACTTATAGTTTTGTATCCGCAAGGGATTTTGTCGTTTACGATTTATAAACGAGAGGATCCACCGGTGTTGTTGAGAGATCCTTTGGAACTGTCATATTTTTATTTTCTATGTATACACAATACAAAAGGAGACGTGATCTCAAGTAACAATGTTTACACCTCACTTCCTCCTTTTTTCCAAAAAAAAAAAAAATGTTTTTCAATAAGCACTCGAGTTTTTTCATAGTATTATTGAATATAATATAGTACTTGTTAACTCAGAAGGAATTAGGATCAACGGCGAGAGATTATTTCTCTGCAGGAAAAGCCATTTTACCTTTCACATTTAAAAAGGAATTTGCTGATGCAAATGTCCTTCGACACTTATTTTCTATATAACACGACAAAATAAATATTGTCGCGTCAAAAATTTTTAAAGAATGTTTCTCATTAGTTTTTCCGGTTTTTCTTCCTCCAAATAAATTTTCCAGAGCAACAGATTTTTCTTTTCTTGGCATTATTTAATTTCATTTTCGATTTTTGTCATAATTTATTTATTTTTTTAATAAATATTAAATACCCTCCCATTTTTCTAATTTTAAATGACTTTTTTATTTATTTTATTTAAGTATTATAAAAAAAAGTTCGAAAGAAATGTTTTAAAAAAATAGAACAAAAATATTCGAATAAAAAGAATCTCATTAAAAAATAAAAAAAATTGAATTTATTAGAAATAATTCATCATTTTCCAGAGAGACAGATATTTTTGTTTCTTTATTAAATTTTATTTTGAATTTTTTTCTTCCAAAAAATTGTCATAATTTATTTTTTAAATTAACAATAAATACTCTCCATTTTTATAATTTTTAACTTCAGAGAAGATTTTTATTTACTTTATAGAGAAAAGAAAGTTCAAAAATGTGCTTAAAAGAAAGCAAATTAAATATTCGAATTAAAAGAAATTAGTTTTCTTAAAAAATTTGCATTTATAAGAAGAAAATTAATTAGAAATAATCAATAAGTTAAAAAAAAAATTCAAAAAATTGTTTGCTGCTCTTAAAATATTAAAATTATCAGAATAAAGAATTCGAAAAAAAAAAATTTTCTGAAAAAGTAGAAAACATTAAAAATTTGAATTATTTAATAAAAAAGGAATTAATTAGCCTTATAATTGATAATCATTAATTAGAAATAATCAATAAAATTTAATATAACAGAAGGTTCAAAAAAGTCTTTGTTGTCCATTAAATATTCGAAAAACAAAATTTCTCGATAAAATAAAATATTGAATTTCTCATATGTAAAAAAGAGAAAATTTTTCCGGAGCTAAACTATGAAAATTAAATTATATTTCTATTATATAGAAAAGAAAAAAAAATCAGAAAAAGAGGGGAAAAAATGAGAGAAAGAAAATTTATTCCCATAAATAAACATGCGACTTTGCTTTTAATTAACTCGAAACGGATACTTTGCTAATAAACTTATCTCTTATCGCCGCAGAGTTTGAGCATTAAAAAAAAATGCAAATGTGAATCGGGACAAGCTGATTTCATTGAAAATGTAACCATTAAATTTCAATTAGTTTTGATCGGAGAGATTAAATTCATTATTCAGTGTACTTGACACGATAATATAAATATATAAATTCTAAAATAGAACAAAAAATTTATTCGATATTAAAATTATCTGGACATATGCACATATTTTTTTAAATGTGAAAATTTAATTGAGAAAGTTTATTAAACTCTTTTAAAATGATTGTAAAATATTTATGTATATATATGTAAATTTATTTTCTTGTTCGATTGAAATTTATTTATTTATTAAATTATTTATTTAAATTAAAAACATATTTTTGTTTAAATTAAAAATTTATTTATTTTTTTAAAAGCAGAGGGAGCGTCACGGACACGATACAACACGAAAAATCACAGTTTCTACAAAAAAACACGTTTTTTAATATCGAATTTTGAATAAGAGGAAATAATTATAAAAATGTACGCCATTTTGGAATTTGAATCTTTCGGGAGAGATCGGATGAGAAATGGAAATCGACGGGCAGCGAAGCTTGATCCGAACTTGTCCGGAAATCTCCAAAAAACTGCGTTCATTATGAGCTTAGCTCTCATTAGATTAGGATGTTAATTATTTTAAAAATAATTTAGCTAGGGATTTTTAATCAATTTTTATTTATTTATTTATTTATTTACAAAATTGTCAATAGATTAGATGGAAAAGTAGAAAAATAGCAAAAACTAGATAGATTGTTTATTAGACTAGAAAACGCGATGTACAGTGATTTTTCGAGTGCCTTAGAGACGAACGAAAAAGAGAAAATTACAACGTGCAAAGGGGTAAGTCAAAAAAATATCAATATTACTACTTTCTAAACTAAAAAAATGTATTATTTAATTCTAAAAATCTTTCTTTTCACTGCATTCTAATTTTAAGTAAAATTTTTTTAAACATAATATTTTAATTAACATTATTTTTCACGCTAAAACATTTTTTAGCAGGAATTTTTTCTTGAAAATATTTTCTAAGAGAAAATTTTTTATTAATTTTAAAATTAAAAAAATTAAATTAAATTATAAAATTCTTATGAATTATAAAATCACACGTGGTGGTGTCTCAGGAAGAAATTTTTTCAGCACATGATTTTTCCGTAATGTTAATTTCTTGTAAGCAAATAGAATTTATAAAATATTTAAATTTTAAATTTATAGAATAAAAATTATATTTCCTCAATTTGATTTTATTTATTATTAATGTATAATAAGAAAAATAATTATTTACTGTAGACAAAAAAATATTAGTGAGAATTAAAGCTTAAATTAATAAGAATGAAAGATTAAAAATTTAAGAATTAAGATAAAAAATAAGTAAAAATTATAAAGAAAAAAATATTTTATAAATTTTTAATCAAATTTTTCTATATTTCATTAAAGTTCCGTTAAAAATTAGAATTTTTTCATATTAAAATTTCGTTTTTTAACACATTGGCCCTAAAATGAAAAATAATTTTTATAAAAACAAATAATTATTTTTTTCCAATGCAACAATGGAAAAAATTAAAAGTAAAGGAAAGTTCAATTAAAACTATAAAAATTAGGAATTGAAAATAAAAAAAAAATTTATTAAAATTTTCACTAATTTTTATTGTATAATTTTTTGAAATTTTGGTAAAAGTCTCAATATTTTAAAATAAAATTTTAGTTTAAATATTTGAAAATTATAAAAATTATTATTATTAATTTTTAATCAAGGACTTTTCAGTAACTCAGAATTTAAACAATAAAGTTAATCCCATACTGTAAACAAAAACGACAATAACCTTTGGGCATTGTTAGAGAATTTATTGTTGGTCAAATAGAAATTTATTAAAAATTTAAATTTCAAAACTCAAAAATATTTTATATTAATAATTTTTTATTAATTTATTTCAAGTTGAAGGTAATGAAAGTTTAATTAAAAAAATAGAATAATAACAAAATTAGAAAATGTAATTATTATAATAATCAAGAAAAATAATTTTCTTCCTTCAATAATTTAGAATTAGAGATAAAATTTAATCCCTTATTGTAAACAAAAAAGTTAACGACCTTAGTCATTATCAGAGTCTTTTGTATTGTGATAAATAAAATTTCATAGAAATTAATATTTGGAATTCATTAGAAAAAAGTTTTTACTTATTTTTTTTTCTTATTTTTATTCATAAATTAATATTTTTAAAAATTTTGAAATCTTGACTATTTTTGATTGTTTGTCTATAATTGAGGAGCTGGATTCTAGAACCGGCTCTTCGCTCGGAAAGCACGCGCTAATATCAGTCGGGTAGCAGTGACAGGCCCAGAGGCGCTCACTGCCACCCGACTGGTATTAGCGCTTACGGTCCGAGCGAAGAGTCGGTTCTAGAATCCAGTTCCTCAATTGTATTTTATAATTTATTTTTAAATAAATTTTCTTTTAAATTCAACTTTTATTTCTTTTTTATTTTTACTAACTTTTCTATTGTTAAAAATTTTGTTTTGAAATTCTTTTGTTTAAGTAGAAATACAAATTTTTAATTTATTAATAACGAAATAGAAAATTCATTTTCAATAATAATGATAATGAAATTATTTATTGGAAATTTGTTTTGTTAATTAAATTTGTAAAAAATTTATTTGTAATAAATTAAATATTACTGTAATAATTAAAAATTTAATTAAAATTTAATTTAATTAAAAAGAATAATTCAAAATTTATTAAAAAAATTATATTAACATAAAAGAATCAGTAAAAATTTGTAGGTATTTATTTTTTATGTAAAAATTCGTAATTGTCTATTGAGTAGTTTTACATTTTTTTCCTTGAAAAAATTTAGTGGAAAATTACAGAAAATTTTGTTAAATAATTTATTTGAATATTTTGTGAAATTTAAATAACGCAAAATTATAGAGAGAAGTTAATCCCCTATTATAAACAAGGGAGATAACGACTCTCGACATTGTCATGAGAACTTGTTATCATTTCGTCCTTGTCTATTTCTCCTTCAACGACAATAGAAGTACGAAATTCAAATTGAGCCCTTTCCCCTTCTTTTCTTTCCTTTTCCTTCGTTGATAGTCTCTTCCCTTTCTACCTTTGTAATTTTTCCATAAAAGTCTCACACTCTAACGGGGACCGTCTTTGGTGTTTCAACTTGTCCAGTGTAAAGTTCATTTTTTATCAAGTATCCAAATTTTATTTAATACATTTTTAATAGTTTAAATAAATTAATTCAAATTATAAATTACAATTTATAAATCAAACTCAAATATTCGAATGGAAATTTTTCAGTGGAGTTGAATTTGCAAGAATTTTCCACGCAGCCATGCTTTTTGAGATAAGAAGAGACGAATTTTTTTTTCAACATCCCAGCCATCTTTGAAATATATTGAGTAAGTTTCAACAAATTTTAAATTTTTTTATTGTAAAGTATTATTGAAATTATATTAAATATTAATTGTTTTTGAAATTAATGACAGAATTTATACACCAAAAAATGCTTCACCTGAAATAATTACAATTTTCAACTCAATTTAATATTTTAGCTTTTCAATTTCAATTTAATATTATTTCAATTCAATAATTTACTTTTTCAATTTCAATTTAATTTCAATAATTTCAATTATTTTTCTTTTATTAAATATTTTATTAAAATACAATTTTGTACTAAATATTTAATTTTTCTATAGTTATAGGCACAATTGACTTTAAATATTTATTTTGTTATTTAGTTTACTTATAATTCTGTAAAAATTATTTAATTTTTTAAAAATTATTATTAATTAAATATTTATTATTTTCTATATTTATTAAAATATTCTATTTGTTTTAATATTTACTATTATAACAATAAGTTTACTTATAATTTATAAAAAATTATTTCAATTCATTTAAATTATTATTAAATATTTATTTTCTTGTATATTTTATTGAAATTTTTTTTTTAATTCTCTCTTTGAGTAAAAGCCAAAGTAGGATCAAGTAAAGACTTAATTTCTAATCAGCTGAAAGTAAATTATTTAAAAGGTAATATATAATAAAATTAGTATTTTTCTTGTTGTCTAATTAACTCGAAATTTTTTTGCAGATACATTTTTTTTTACTTTTTTCTTTTACATTCACAAATGAGAGTTGGATTCGGAAACAGGATTTCAGAAGACGGAAGAAAGCGAAGCATGATTCAAAATTCATCAAAATTTTTTGAAAAACTTATTTTGTAATTAGCTCTCCTTGTATTAGAACTTTTTTCGTCGACTGGTACGAGTTAAATTTAGAATTACTTGTGTAATTTTCGTGAAGTAATATTGTGAATTTTATTTTGTAAATTATTTAGATAGGGATTTGAAAATTAAAAAAATGCAATTATATTAGATAGGAATCTAGCATATTAAGTCTAGTTTTAAGTAAAATTAACTAATTAAAATTCTACAAGAGAGTTCAACATCCAGTAGACTAGTATCAAGTTCAGCAGAAAATTCTATTCATCGAAAATGAGGGGTGAGTGAAAAAAAATTAACATTTTATTTTCCTTGATTTAATTTTTAATTTTCAAAAGTAATTTTTTAAGACAATATTTTGAGTACAAAATTTCACTATTTTATAGTAATTTTTATTTTCCTTTCTTCATCCAAAATTTTGTGGTAAATTAATTTAAATTTTCGTAGTAAATTAATTCAAATTTCTGTGGTGAATTTATTTAAATTTTTTGAATTTGTAAATTATAAATTATTGTCGCTTTTTCATTCAAATTTTCGTGGTTAAATTAATTTAAATTTTGAAAATTCTAAATTCTAAATTATTTTCGTTTTTTCATTCAAACTTTTGTTCTAGAGTAATTTAAATTTTCGTTGATAACTTAATGTAAAAATTTTTGTAGTAAATTAATTTAAATTTTAGAAACTATAAATTCCAAAATTTGTTGACAACTTTTCAATAATTCAGAATTAGAGAGAAAAGTTTGTTTTCTTTTCGTTCTTGTTTATCTTTTCGTAAATTACAATAAATGTACAAAGTAATATTCTAAAATTTTCCAGAAATACAGTATTCAATTTTTAAAAAATTATTATTCTAATTACTGTAATCACTCTCTAAATTTGAATTAGTTGAAAATCGACGATTTGAAAGTAAAAAATTAAGTCACTTTTCTTTTCTCTCCTGTAACAAAAAGAAAAATTTGTCTCTTTTCTCTAAATTTAACAGAATGCGAACTCCTTTTCTTATCATATTTAAAATATTGATTATTTTTACTAAGTTGTATTAAAATTTAAATATTTCGTTTGGTAGTAATTCTTTCCAGGGTTGCCACAAAATTTTCATTTTCTTTTTTACTTGATTTTTCTCTGATTTCCAGACAGAATTTTGTCACTCTTTCCTTGACCCTAAAGAATATTTTATATTTTTCTCTAAAAATTCAATTCAATTGTTTTCTACAATTATCGTAAATAAACTTCTTTTTTAAATAAATTATTTTTAATTAATTCTGTAAAGTTAACTTGTTAGAAATAGAAAGAATATAAAGTTAAATGGAATTTTTGTTTTAAAGACTTGTTGGACAACAAAATTCAGAATTGTCTTATAAATTCTAGAAATTTAATATCTTTTCAGTATACTTTTGATAGAATTTCCTGTCTTTTCCTCGAGTTCTCTAATCTGTGGCAATCCTGCTTTCGCTACAAATCACCAGAGTTACCATTTTTCTTAGTAAACTTAGCTATTTTATTAGTTGTAAGGGAGGTGTTCCGGTTGTGGGCACCCTTTTGTTTTTGTCTCATAACATTTGTCCATGTGCATATTATACAAATATATGTGTACGAATTTAAAGCTAGAGGTCTAAGGTGACTGTCAGTGAAGGAATTAAATTGATTTCTTTAAATAAAAAAATTTTATTAGAAATTTAGTGAAATGGAAATTTTTTGACAAAAAAATTTTTGTACCCGGTTGTGGGCACCCTTGAAAAATCCTCTAAAAATGGAAAAATATTAAAGGAAACCAACACAAATAAAGAAGAAATGAAAGTTTCTTTATTTTAAGAGACTTTGCCGGGATAAAGAACAAAAATGATGACACGTTTTTACACTATGCTCATCGCTAACAAAAGCATAATGCTTGCATGTGAATTAGCTAGTACGCAAACCATAACGCACTTCTAATGCACTGAACGACTATATTCATCGCATTTAATGCAGTTTGCGGCTGTCACTTTCCTTGGCAGAAAGTTTAGACAGATGAGACAGTAGTCCTCATCATTGTCAGATGGTAGAGCCTCCTTAACATAAAGGTGCCCACAACCGGGAATGACAGTCATTTTTTAAAAAGACCAACACATTTTGTGATGCAGGATTTTGGTTAAACACGAAGGTAAATCACAAAATATAATGACAACACTGCAAAAAAAAAATTAAACCCTTTTTTTCTGAACGAATCTACACCCATATGTTGCTCTTCGAAAACAATACAAAATTACTTTTTTATTTATTTAATGCAAATTTTCTTTATTATGCTCACAGCTATTACACAAATGCATATATTTGTTTTGTTATGAATACGAAAAGTCCGTATTGTCAACGAACACGACTTGCAATAATTAGATCAGTAAAGTCTGCTTGCCGTCGAAGTTTACTTAGGGGTGCCCACAACCGGCGCACTTCCCCTACTACCAAAAAGAGTAGTTTTTCTTTTTTTGTTGCTCTACCTATTTAATTAGTTACGTCACTAACTAAATCAGGGTGTCTACTAACCTACTAACTGGGAAATAGCCGTGAATTAGCCAGGAATTATGCCAAACCGGCAATTTTTTCACTAAATTAAGAAAAGTTTTATAATTTTAATTTGTTTTTAAAAAATCGCTTTTTATTTCAATTTTTATAGATATTTATACTGTTCTCCAAATTTGAAATTTTTCAAATTGTTTCAAGATAATTAAATTATCTTAAATTAAATTAATTATTAAAAATTAAATTAATTATCTTAAATTATTATTTAATTATAAACAAATAATTGCAAATGCAAATTTTTGAAATAATTGAAATTTCTTTAGATTCTATTAAAAATAATTAAATTCTTTTAAACAATTTTATTTAACTTTTTCGAAAATAATCAAGGGAAGTTAGTTACCGTAATTATAATTTTATTTTTAAAAATTTCTTCGCAATATATTCAATTATTTTCATAAATAGAAAAACTCATTGCAGATTTCAATTATTTTTAATACAATTTTAATCGAATTCCTCGAAAAATGTAATTATTCTTCAAAATTTTATTAAAATTCGTCGAAAGAATTCAATTATTTCTAGAAACTGTAAAAAATTCTTCTCAAAATTTCAATTATCTTTATAAATAATTAAATTGTTCTCCACAATTCAATTATTTTCAAAATTTTTAATAAAAATCTACACAAACATCACAGAAAAAACTTGGTGTGATTTTTGTTGCCTGTGAAATTAGCCAATGTTAAACGACATAGAATGTGGCGCCGACTACGAGAGTAAAATTTGTTGCGTGATTATTTTAACACCAAATTCGGTGTTAAAACAACACTCAGTTTTCCCTGTGATTTAATTATTTTCATAAATAATAACATTCTTTTGAAGGATTCAGTTTCTATTATAAATAGTAAAATTCTTTGCAGAATATGAATTTTAATAAAATTGAATTATTCGAATTTTCAATTATAATTATGAACAGACAAAATGATTTTTAAACATTGAAAAAATTCGTTGTTTAATTCAATTATTTTTCAAATTTTTAATTAAAATTATTAAAAAAACATTATTTTCAAAAAATTTAAAGAAAGTCGTCAAAAGAATTTAATACATAAAAACTCTAATAAAAATTTTGGAAGCCATTTGTAGATTTATTTATGTTCGAAATCAAATAAATTTAAATTTGATGAGAAAAAAACCTGGAAAAATTAGGACAAAGCCGGGAATTGTATTGAACGAAAATAGTAGACACCCTGTAAATGGCTGTTATTAATAACTGAATTAGTAACAGTAACTAATTAAAATTGGGGCAGTGACGTTATTCCTATAACCAAAATTGTAGTCACAACTATTCATTTCTCTCAGTGTAATAATTTACATTGAGTAAGGAAGTAGTTCTGAGTAAAGTAAAACATTATTAAAAATAATTAAGCCTTTATTATTATTATAAAATTAGTTAAGTGAGTTCGCAACTGCTTGAGATTGTTAGTCAAAATTCTTTCTTCTTAACTTTCTTTCTTCTATTTATTTCTTACAAGTACAATACCCAAGTGTAAAACTGGGATCCATTTACCTTGGACCATTTCGTATAGTGAATCGAAATTTGTTACGTATTTTTTATTTTGTCAGACATGCTATTTTAGGGGTTGAAAATCAAAAAAACCCTCAGTGTGTAAAATTTTAGTTTGTAACATTTTTTTAAATCTGACTTGTGATCAGAGACCCTAAAAACCCCCCCTATAGTAAAGAGTTTCATGCAAATAAACAGAATTAGAAATATGTTTCCAAACTAAAACTTTACACACATTTGAGGGTTTTTTTGATTTTCAACCCCTAAAATAGCATGTCTGACAAAATAAAAAAAAATACGTATCAAATATTTTTCCATTCCCTACGAAGTAGTCAAGATTTACACTTGGGTTGTTACTTGTTAGTTTCTTCTAGGGGAGAACAGTTAATAACTTCTCTTATACTCTAGGTAGTATAGTAATTTCTCTCTAATTTATGAGCACTTAGTAGCAGAAATTGCTTTACTTCTGGCGAATAAGACGAAGAAGATGTTCACTTTCTCTCTTTTTCTCCTTTAATAAAGAGTCTCTCCCTAGGAAAACCAAATAGGACGTTGTCGACTCCCCCTATTTGGGAGAAAAAGCTTGAAGTTGTCCTAGAAGGTCCTGACGACTTCTGTCTTCCTTGAGTAGGGGTCGAGGGAGGGTACTCCCTCCCTCTCCTTCTCCAAAAGAAGTCGTCCTCAAAGAAGTTGTCGACTTCACTCTCTTTGAGTAGAAGAAGTCGTAGAAGAAGTCGTAGAAGAAGCAAAAAGGGACGACTTCGATCTCCAGGGATTTCACTGTGAATATATCTACTCTATATCTATAAAAAAAAAGAAATTACATACACCCCCCCTTTTTTTTCTCAAGTTGTTTTCTCTGTTTTCTCCGTCGGAAAAAAAGACTTGTTTCATTTCCACTTTCCTAATTGAGGGGAGTGAAGTCGGAAACCCTCTCCTCGAGGACGACTTCAGAAGTGGGAGCTCAGAATCGTCATACTCTCCCACAGGGACTTACTTCTCCACTTGTTACTTTTCTCTCCAAGAAGGAGCTTCTTCACCTTGGAGAGTAGTAACAACTTTCTCCTCTTTAGGGAAAGAAGTCCTAAATATAAATCGGGGATGGCTTCATACATAGTCCATTTTACTACAACAGAAAATTTTATAGTCAATTCTTCTATTTATTCCACCATTAAGGGCCAGTTTCGCCAACTCCGATTAGTTAATCAAAGATTATCCTTAACCGACCAATCCGACCAATCATGATTAAAGTCATTTTAACCGCCAATGATTGGTCGGTAAAGGATTTAATCTTTGATTAACTGACTTAAGGATTCACTTTGATTAACTTTTAATCGGAGTTGGTGAAAAGTGGCCTTAAGACTTCACTATAAATTTTTCTAAAGACTATATAGAAAGCATCTCTGATTAAAATTATTTTAAAGTTGAAGTAAAAGACCTATTTTTGTTTCAGGAATGAAAGTAACAAAAGAAGACTCATGACCAGAAGAAGAAAAAGGATTGATCACCGAACTAGAAGATTTTTATCAGCAAGTTACTTAAGTGCAAGAATTAATAAAGATCATTTTGTTGTATAATTAACTCGCGTGTCAAGTTATACAAATTATATGTTATAATATCTTAGTTTTATAATAAATATGTTAAGTAAGAACATTTGTAATAATGTATGATACAACAAACATTAAAATATACTATAAAAAAATAACAATTGATTTTTTGTTTTTTCTAATTCCTGTCTTTTAAATTTAAATATTAATATATCTTTTTAATTAATTAATATTTTATGTAAAGAAAAAGTTGCAAAAAAACAATTTATTTTCAATTCTATATCTTGTCCAACACCTGGACGCAGACGCTACTACCAGTGGGGTAACAGTAATTTCCTGCTCGAGTCCTCTCAGTAGGAATTCACTGTTACTAATTACTAAAATTTTTATTAATTGCTAATTAATACCAATTTTTATTAATTGCTAATTAATACCTAATGATAAATTTTAATACCTAATGATAAATTTCAAATAATAATAATTCATTATTCTAATTTACTCTTAAATAAGTCATAAATTAATAAATAAAACACTGGTTTTACACTGAAAAAAAAATTTATTTGATTCAAAAATAACACAGGCACACAAAAAAATAAAAAAGTCAAAACCCAGAGGTTACACCCCCCTATCCCCATGTTTTTGGGGTCGCTGAAACCGAATATGACCATGAAAAATTTTTTTCATCGGCCATTTTCCCGCTACCACCCCCTTATACCTGCTCCCGGGGGTTGGAATTTCAGTTTAAAAAAAAGTGGAGTAGGGTGTCTATTCATATGTTTTTTGGGTCGCTAAAACCAAAAAAGACTACCAAAAACAAATTCTTCCCTTCCTTAACCCCCTACAACCCCCTTAACACCCGAAAGGTGGGGGGTCAAAATTCGAATTTTCACGAAAAGTCGATTACGGTGTCTAACCCTACGTTTTTTGGGTCGATGAAACCAAAAAAAACTACCAAAATCAAATCCTTTCCATCCCGACCCCCTACAACCCCCTGCAATAATTTTTTTCAAATAAAACGAACCGATTTTTGGGAAATTGAAAATTAAATATTAATTATCAAAAATTATTGCAGGGGGTTGTAGGAGGTCATGGGTGGAAAGGATTTGATATTGGTAGTCTTTTTTTGTTTCAGCGACCCAAAAAACGTAGGTTTAGACACAGTAATCGACTTTTCGTGAAAATTCGAATTTCGACCCCCCACCTTTCGGGTGTTAAGGGGGTTGTAGGGGGTTAAGGGAGGGAAGAATTTGTTTTTGGTAGTCTTTTTTGGTTTTAGCGACCCAAAAAACACAGGAATAGACACCCTACTCCACTTTTTTTTAAACTGAAATTCCAACCCCCGGGAGCAGGTGTAAGGGGGTGGTAGCGGGAAAATGGCCGATGAAAAAAATTTTTAATGGTCATATTCGGTTTTAGCGACCCCAAAAACATGGGGATAGGGGGGTGTGACCTCTGGGTTTTGACTTTTTTATTTTTTTGTGTGCCTGTGTAACCGATTAATTGACTATTATCAATTATTGGTATATTGAATTGACTAAGTCAAGTAATCGATTATTTGAATAAAAAAAAAATTTTCAGTGTAGTGTAATGCGACCGAATTTTCGACGTGTTATAGAATTAGGATAATTTTAATATTTAATATATTTAAAATGGAATCTAACGGACAGTCAAAATAAAAGTTACAGTCCAATGTGATTTTCGTATTTTAATTTTTCTTTTAATCTTCTTTTTAAAAAATTTAATTATTGTTTTTTTTTGACAAATTAAATTTTTAATTTGTTTTTGTGAAAAGAATGTAGTTTTCAGCATTTTAAACAATTAAAAATAATTACTTTAATGAAAATTAAAATTTTTTATCAACTAATATATTTGTTAAATTTTATATTTGTTTAATTTTAATATTACCGAAATTGTTTCTTTTTGATAGATTTATTATTTTTAATATTTCATTTTTATTCAAACGATACTTTAAATTTTTTTAAATTGTTTACAATTTTGAAAATTAAATTATCTACGCTTCTCCTAAAATTAATTTAAATTTGACTTGTTTTTTCCAAATTTCAAATTCGAAATAAGGGAATTTAATTCACTTTTGTTCCTGTAACTCAAAACAAATTTAATTTAAATTTTACTTAATTTTATTCATTTAAAATTCGAAATAAGAAAATTGTGGATTAATTTTTGTTTCGACTGTTTATCGGATTCTTCTTTAACTCGAATTTAAATGATGTGCAAAAGAATCAATATTAGTTAAAATAAATTAAAATGCAACAATAATGGAAAATGATCACAAAATTAATTTTCTAAAAATTTTGTTGATAATGAATTTCCGACTATTATGAAATAAAGATTTTTTTGTATCAAACATCTTGCACTTAAGTGACTTGAGACAAAATATTCTGATTGATATTCACGAGAAAAAAGATATAATTTAAATTGACAATTAGAAAACAGGCCTTTTACTTAAACTATAGAGAAAGTGTACCAATTACTGCGATAATCCACAGAAGTAAGAAATAATTTAATTCTCGGAGCACACCATTTTTTTATTTTATAAGATGAACAGTTTAAAATTAATTTAAGTTTAAAAAATGATTTTCTATTTATATTCATTAATGGAAAATTAACAATTAACAATATCTTTAAAAAAAGAAATGTGTGCTCAGAGACTCGGGACATAAATTTTTCATTGATCTCATTTCAATAGTAACGTTGTTTAAAATAAACTTTTCTTTAAAATTATCAATTGTTAATTTAAACAAAAATTACTTAGATAAGTGTTTTTAGATTTAATTAATTTAGATAAAAATATTTTATTACAAAGTCGCAGTATTTGGTGCACAATTATTACAGACTATTATTTAAACTATAAAACCTACACCCAGAGGTTCAACTATAATTCAAATTTAGAGTAATATTATAATAATAGTTTGAATCAAATTTAAAATAAATTAATTAAATTTTGAATTTAGTTATTAATTAAATATTAATTTATTATTCTATAATTATTATTAACTATTTAGAGGCTCAATTACTAATTATTTATGATTTTGTACTTTAATTAATTTATAAAGATTTACTTAATTATTTTTTATTTATTTTCTTTTCGAACTCAAATACTTGCTTAATATTTTTTTTTAATCTACTTTCATTTTTTTTATACTTTTTAATTTTAATTTACTTAATAAATTGTATTTGGTTACCAAAAATTAACATATTGAATAAGGTAATATTTACATTGTAATAAAATAAAATTTCTTTTACTTAAAAACGTTTTTTCTTGAAAAATATCAAACTTCCTCTAAATTCATTTTTTTAAATGCATTAAATTTACTTAAAAGAATTTTACACTAAAAAAAATTTATTTGATTCAAATAACCAATTATTTGTATATTACAAAATAAATATTTGTGGACGTCTACATGAAAAGGGCCCATATTGTCGGTTCTAGTTTTCGAGATAATCGCAATTTAGTGATTTTTGAGCAAAATCTTAATTTTTTTTTTATTTTTTATTATCAATCTACATGTTTTGACAAGTCGAATCATGCTAAAAATTTACAATTTGACCGATTTAAATAAAAATTATTTGATTTAAGTAAATATTTATATGATAATAGACAAGTAATCGTTTATTTGAAACAAATAAACTTTTTTCCATAAGTAATTTTACTTTTAATTATTATTTACTTTTTATTATTTAAAGTTAAACTTAATTTTTAAAGTTTGACAAACAATTTATTTACAGTAAAAATTTTTTTTTTAATTTTTCTGGGTGTAGGATAAAGAAAAGGAAAAAAAACAATATAATATTGGAACTTTTTGACTTACCCCTTCTCCTCGGTGAAAAAATGCTGCCAGATGACGCTGTATTTTTAATCCTCTTGTAAAACTAAAATTATATTTTCCTAGCTAATGTAATTCCATTTTTTTTTAATTTTTGTTTGAAAATTCCTAGCTAAATAATATAACATCACAAATTAGCACTTAATAAAAAATTGTACAAATTTAAATCGTAATACTCGGCGAAATTCCAATAAATGATGCTTCAATGTATTTTGGAGTCTTCTTTCCCTTTCCATCTTTCACTGAAGAATGTAGAAAAAAAAGAAAAAAATATGTCTGTACAAAAAAAATTTAAGTCAATTAGATAAAAAAATAAATTGTTACAATAAATTTCTACATTCAGACTTTTTTCAATTAATTAATTAAAATTTTACTATTATTTAACGTGCATGAATAAATAATTTATTGTTAAAATAAAACATCAATATAATTAAGTCATCAATAAAATAAAAAGAATCATGTAGAAATAATTCATTACTCAAAAAAGAATCATTAAATAAAAAGTAATTTTAACAATCATTGAAGAAAATTTTTTTTTTTTTAATATTATCTGTAGCTACGGTTATTGAAAGTGTAATAAATATTATTTCCAATTATTTCTATTCCGACACTAATTTTAAATTAATATTTATTACAAAAATTTAAACAATATAAATTCGATATTAAAAAAAAATTTTATATTTTGGTACTTACTTGCTAATTAATTACATTAAGTAATTCAAGGACGGGCTGGAAAATTCAATTCTTCGTCTCTTGAAAAACGTGGTGCACAATGGAAAATTCTTGCGTTTTCTTATCGATGAATAATTTGAAAAAAAATTAATAATTTGATATTAATTCTTTAAGGTACTTAATTGGCTTTAAATATTAAAAATATTTAATGGAATTTATTTAATTGAAGAAATTAAATTAAATTATTGACTTGCTACCCCTACAGAGGAGGTCAATAAACTGTGACGCTATGAAAATTTCTCTCTCAGGTAGAAGCCGAAAACTATCCGCAAAGAGAAGAAGGGAAGGGGAAAGGGCTCAATTTAAATTTCGTATATACTTTTATTGTCGTTGAAGAAGAAATAGACAAGGACAAAATGATAACAAGTTCTCATAACAATGTCGAGAATCGTTATCTCCCTTGTTTACAATAGGGGATTAACTTCTCTTTCTAATTTTGCATTATTTAAATTTCACTAAATATTCAAATAAATTATTTTACAAAATTTTTCGTAATTTTCCACTAAATTTTCAAGAAAAAAATGTAAACTACTCAATAGAGAATTACTAATTTTTACATGAAAAATTTATAAAAATTTTTACTTAATTTTTTAAAATAAATTTTTAATTTTTATTTTTTATTTTTAATTATTACAGTAATATTGAATTTATTACAAATAAATTTTTTACAAATTTAATTTGAAAACAAATTTCTAAGGCCAATAAATAATTTCATTACTATTATTATTGAAAATGAATTTTCTATTTCGTTTCCAATAAATTAAAAATTTGTATTTCCACTTAATTAAACAAAAGAATTTTAAAACAAAATTTCCAACAATAAAAAAGTTAATTAATTATCTTGTTACAAAACAAGATTTTAATTCTGAATAATTTAAATGTTGATAAATTTATTGAAATTAAAAAAAATAAATATAAAAATTAAAAATTTATGAAAAAATTAAAATTAATTAAATTTTGCTTGGAAAATTACAGAATATTTTTAGAAATTATGATTTTTATTATTTCTTTTTATTCAAATATATAATACTTTAAATATATTTAAAATAATCCTACTCTTTAAAATAAAACTGCAGTTAAAGAAATGATTTTTAAATTGAAAAAATAAAAATTTTTTTTAGTTTCGTAAGTAGTAAAAAGAATTCTCTATATAATAATTGATATTTTTTTTGACTTACCCCTTTACTTTTGGTATTTCCTCCTTTCTTATCGCCTTGAAATAAAAGATTCCGGGCTAGGTACCGAAAAATTTCCTGACGAAAGGTGCCCGATTCTTGTTTTAAGAAATGTAGTGCTGGCGAGGTGCAAAAAAAATGGCTTTTTAACTAAAAAAAAAAAAAATTTTTGTTGTTTAAACGACAGTTTCTGATTTGAAGAAAATAATTTATTTTCTTACAAGTAAAATGATACTAATTATACTAAATAATAAATAAATTATACAAAAAACTAAACAATTGAAATATAAATTATACTACATACTAAAAAATACTAAATAATTACTAAATAAATATTTACCAATTTTGCTATTATAATTGATAAATTAATTTATATTCATTTATTAATTAATAGAAAAAGTAGAAATAAATTAAGAATAAAATTTTCTCATTAGAATATTTTTGCGTTCTTGTGGTACAAAGTGTAGAAGGCATATAAAACTGACAGAAAACTGTTTTCAGGATATTCACTTTGGAGAAAAATTCTCTCGCGAGTGGTCAGATGGAGGGGAAGAACCAGTAAAAGACGGTGTAGTTCAAGGCCCAGCTGGATTAGCAGGATTACTCATGAGAAGACATAATAGTGAAGCTGGAAGGCGAGCGATTCGCTCAAGGATGCAACGTGTCTGCAAGTGTCACGGTAAATTGCAAAAAAAAAAGAAAAGAAAAAAATAATACGAAACAAAACTGTTTCTTTAAAACGAGAACAGGAAAATGATTTAATTAATTTAATGGCTTTTTGTTAAAAAAAAGTGAGAGAGATTATAATCTACAATTTTTTTTTCTTACAGGCATGTCCGGTTCTTGTAGTGTTCGTGTTTGCTGGCGGAAATTACCGGCTTTTAGGACGGCAGGAATGGCATTGGCAGCACTGCACGAGGGCGCAGCTCTGGTGCGTCTTGCTCAAAGGGGTGGCAAAAAACCAGCGAGATTAAGGCCGGCAAGACCAGATTTAAAGCGGCCAAACAAAACTGATTTGGTCTACTTAGAAGATAGTCCCGATTATTGCGAACGAAATACCACGTACGACTACTTTTGGACACTAATATTTACATTTTTTGTCATCGCTTTTTTTATTATTCAATTTTCAGTCAAAATTCGAAACAGTTTTTAATTTTGTTTTAAGTAGATACTTAAAAAAATGTTTAATTCCAATATTTCAATGAAAAAATGTCCAATTATAATATTTTAATTAAAAAGCGTTTAATTCTAATATTTGAATTAAAAAATGTTTAATTAAGTCCATAAACTTCACAGTTTTTCTAAGGATATTAAATTGAGACAAAAAAAACGAATCAAAACGTTGCTTTTGATTCGTTTTTTGTCTCAATTTGATATCCTTACAATTAGAAAAACTGTGTTTTAAAGGTTCAGATAAACGAAATTCATTTTCTATTTTAATAATTTTAAAAAAATTACTACATTAAGATGGAAATTAATAAAATAATAAAATAAATAAATAATAAATTAATGAAAATTTAATATTTATTTAGTTAAAAAAATAAATTCTTCTAATAAACAAAATAATTATTATCATAAAATACAAATTAAAAGAAGTAACAAAGATATCGTCGTTTATTTGAACATTCGAAACTTTGGGAACATAAAATGTTTAATTGAATTTATTTCCGAAATTTTCATATATTAAATTCAGTTTTTTATAGATTTAAATAAATTCGATTAAAATTGTGGACATTTATTAATTTTTGCAAATAATTGAATCAAAACATTTTTTATTCTAATATTTGATTATTCAATTTATTTCAAAAATTTTCAATTTTTGAATTCAGTTTTTTAGAATTAAATAAATTCGCCACAACATTTCGAAAATTTTTTAATTTATCTATCAAATTGACTCAAAAAAAAATTAAACTCTAATAAATTGAATAAAAAAATTATCAATTATTCAATTTATTTATGAAGTTTTCAATTCAATTATTAAAAATTCAATTAATTTGACTCAAAATTCCAAACATTTTTTTAAGTAATTGAATAAAAAAAATTAAACTCTAATAATTGAAGCAAAAAATATTCAATTTATTTCTGAAATTTTAAATTTTTGAATTCAGATTTTTAGAATTCAAAAATAAATTCAAAAATTTAATGATTCAATTTATTTCCAAAATATTTCATTTTTAAATTCAGTTCTTTAGAATTAATTATAAATTACACTCAAAATTGAGAACATTTTGTAATTTTTGCAATTAATTGAATGAAAAAATATTTAATTCCAATATCTGAATTAAATAATTTTCAATTATTCAATTTATTTATGAAATTTTTAATTTTTTAATTCAATTAGTAAAAATTAAATTAATTTGACCCAAAATTATGAACATTATTTCAAATAATTGAATCAAAAAAAAAAATAAAAAAGAAACATGAATATTTGAATTGAAAAATCTGTAAGTGTTTCATGTATTTCCAAAGTTTTCAATTTTTAATTCATTTATTAGAATTAAATAAGTTTTTCAATTTATTTTTCTCAACTATTTGCTGGGAAAAAATTATTATTTAATTTATATAATAATTTATATGTGCTATAGTAATTATAAATTATCTTAATTGTTTATCGTAATTTATAATTATTATAGATAGTAATTATAAATTATTTAAATTATTCACTTTGAATCTATCATTATTACAGGTAATAATTATAAATTATTTAAATTATTCATATGAATTTATAATTATTACAAGTGAGGCTCCGGATCTTAAAAGGGCACACGCGCGAACACACGGCAAATAAGTTGGCCCCTGGAGATAAAATTTTGAAGTTGTTCAAAATGAATTTTAAATTATTGTTTCTTGTACAGAATTTCAAGGCGAAACTTTTTTTTTAATAAAAATTTTTTATATAATTTCTCGTTTTCACGTAAATTGAAAAAAACGTGATTTTTTGAGTTAAGAAATTTTAATGAATTTTTGACTTCAACTCGTGACTACTTCGTTAAATATTAATATTTTTCCACAAAATTTACACACAATATTCTTCAAACTATTCCAAGAGTGAAACAATATTTGGAAATTTAAAAAAAAATTGTATGTCAAAGTAAATAATTATTTAAATAATTTTGTCGGAAAAATGATTCTCCTATTTTCAATTGAAAAAGTTGAGTGACGAATTTTCGTTTTCGGAAAACTTTCAGCGACAAAAATGTTCATTAATATGTTAGGAAGTTTTTTGGAAAATATCTCGCTATTTGATAATAAATTAAAGACAATAGAGCAATTTTAACATCGTCGCCCTCTGCTGTAAACGTAAACAATGTCTAACTATATATACATTGGTCTTGTAATGGCGGCCATGCTACACGTGTGCCGCCACGCCGCAATTTTACAGCAGAGCGCGACGATGTTAAAATTGCTCTATTGTCTTTAATTTATTATCAAATGGCAAGATATTTTCCAAAAAACTTCCTAACATATTAATGAACATTTTTGTCGCTGAAAGTTTTCCGAAAACGAAAATTCGTCACTCAACTTTTTCAATTGAAAATAGGAGAATCATTTTTCCGACAAAATTATTTAAATAATTATTTACTTTGACATACAATTTTTTTTTTAAATTTCCAAATATTGTTTCACTCTTGGAATAGTTTGAAGAATATTGTGTGTAAATTTTGTGGAAAAATATTAATATTTAACGAAGTAGTCACGAGTTGAAGTCAAAAATTCATTAAAATTTCTTAACTTAAAAAATCACGTTTTTTTCAATTTACGTGAAAACGAGAAATTATATAAAAAATTTTTATTAGAAAAAAAGTTTCGCCTTGAAATTCTGTATAAGAAACAATAATTTAAAATTCATTTTGAACAACTTCAAAATTTTATCTCCAGGGGCCAACTTATTTGCCGTGTGTTCGCGCGTGTGCCCTTTTAAGATCCGGAGCCTCAAGTAATGATAATATACTATTAATTCTAAATATTATTATTAATATTGGTGATAATAATTTATCACCCACCCAGGAACTATGTATTAAATATAAACCCTTTTAATTTTTCTTTCACAGTTTGGGAATTCCGGGCACGAGGGGAAGAATATGCAATCGAACATCACTTGGATTAGATGGATGTCGTTTGCTCTGCTGTGGTCGAGGATATCAAACCCGAGTGCGAGATGTAACTGAAAAATGCAATTGCAAATTCGTCTGGTGCTGTGACGTAAAGTGCGAGCTTTGTCGAGAAAATCGGGAGGAACACGTTTGCAATTAAAACAAACACAAAAGGGGAAAAAAATCAGAAGTTAAAGAAGGCAATGATTACTTAGAAAAAGATTTTTTTTAAAATCATCCGGTTTTTGTTTCATTTAAAACATTCGAAAAAAATGAAATAAGAAACATTTCTGACCCTCACTTCTTTTTTATATACTAATGCTATATAAACTGATAGATAAATTTCATTCGTCATCTTCCGAATTTCCGAAGTAATTATTTAATAAAATCTAAATAATCATGGGGAAGAAAGGAGGAAAACATTCCAATTTTTAAGACATCTTGAAAGATTGTTTACCAAAATAAAACAAACTTTCCACTTTTGGAAAATTTTTTCCATTTTTAAGGCAAATTTATATTTTTTGTTTTACTATTATAAATACCAGTATAAATACTAGTATAGATATTAGTAACAATTAATAAAAATAATAACAATGAAGATACAAATAATTTAAAATTTTCTATTTTAATTATTCCACTTTCATTGTAATATTAAAAAAAAATTTCAGTTTTATTATACATTTTTTTCAATTTGAAATATTCTATTAATAAAACCTTCTTGTAACGAAATTTACAAAAAAAGACGTCTTAAAATCTCGTGAATTTGCTCTTTCTTCCCTCGAACACATTTTCTATCTACAGAAGAAGTATAATTCAAGATTTCGCGAGAGAAAAAAAAAAGAAAAAAAGCCGCCCGAAAATGTTTGACGCACGACGTACGCAAATTCGCGCTTCCAGTGCGTAAGCGCCAAGAGAGGCTACTTTTAAAAAAGATATTTATAATTTATAATTTCCCAAGAGCGTGAATGCCAACGAGTAAATGTAAACGTGTTTATAATATTAAAAATTATTGTAAACATCGTTTCTTTCTTTTTTTCTTCTTGTCGTTAAAGCTCTCGGCACTCGGCTTAAAAAAAAGAGAAAAAAATGGCGCTCTCTGATTATCTAATAAAGAAAAGAAGCGCCCGTGCTCTCTAATGAGTATATATAGTGATTTAAATTGACAACCCAACGACGCCTTCGGGCCGACCGAGAAAATTTTTCTCGTATGCCAATGAATGTACATACACGATTTTTTATTTTCTAACGTACTTAATACTTATCCTTACCGCTGTATATGTATATAAAAATATGCGGAAACATTATTTCTCGTTCAATTCAATTTGATGAGAAAAAAGAAAAGTTTTCTTTTTGTTCAGTCTCAAATTTTCAAACACGAAACTTTATTTGATAATAATTTTTTAATTTAATAATTTTTTCTATTTGCAATAGTCTTTGTTTTTAAAATTTTTTAAATTTACTTTCTTTTCGACAGCAAAAAAACGTCGATTTTTAAATAAGATTTTTTTATAATTCATTTTAAAAAGAAAAAGAACAATTAGTTTGAATCTACTTTTAAAAGAAAAAATAATTTGTGAATATCTTTTTTACGATAAATATTTATTTTTTAAAATTTTAAATTAAAAAATATTTTATAAAATTTTATAATAAAGTTAAATAAATATTTACAAATTTTTTAAATATTAATTCTAACATTTGCAGAAGTATTTTTTTAATGCGATTTTTAAAAATACTTTTCGAAAAGTTCTATGCCCCTAAAGTTCAAAAGGTTCAAAGAAACAAAATTTATTTATTTATTTCCCGAATTCAAATTTTATTTAAATAATATTGCATAACGTTTTTAAAAAAATAATTTATTTTAAAATTAAATTTTTAAATTTTAGTTCCAATAAGTAATTTTTAAAAGAATTGTTTAAATATAAACCAATTTTTGAAATAGCTCAAAATTTTTTAAATTTACTTATTACCTAATTAATTATTATTATTTACTAGTTTCAAACACTTTAATAAAATTCTTTGTAGAAATTGTTTTTAAAAATTTTGATAAAATTTTGAAATTCTTTATAAGAAAATATTTAATTACTTAAAGAAATTATAATCAAATTTTCTACAAGAAATTAATTATTTGAAAAAAATTTTAATTATTTTTATTGCTGTCAGTAATTTTTAAAAGAGTTGCGAAAAAGAATAAGTGAAAGAATAATTCGTTCATTTGAACTTTTAGAATTTTTGAAAGTAAAAACCCCAATACTTGAATTTTATAAAATAAAAAAAAGTAAAATATTTTACTCATTGGTGTAAATTTGTAGAAAATTGACGTCTTTAGTAAAAGAACAATTATAAAAATACTACTTGCTTAAAATTAAGAATTATTAAATTAAAATTAATATTTAATAATTAATAATATCAAATAATAATTATAAAAATAAAAGTATTGTAGAAATAATATTAACATGAAAAATTTTTAAAAACTCGAAAAAACTTTAAATAAATAAAAAGAAAAGAAATGAAAAAAAGAATAATGAATTCAATATTAATAATTAATAATGATGACTAAAAATACTTTTTTCGATATTCATTTAAAAAAAACCCCAAGTCTAGAGACTATCGCAAATTAATTGAAATGAACGAAAATATAATAATTCCCATATACATATTAAACGTACATAGTACTGATAATACGAAATCCAAGGCATTTTCATTCGAAATATTGTTGAGCCGAGGATTCCGTCCACTAATTTTGCCCATTCTCTCTCTATCTCTCTGGTGTTTTCAAAAAAATACTTCATAAGAAAAAAATTATAAACATTTCATAGATTAAAATTTCAATTAAAAATCATTCTCTTTTTCATCGAAAATCTAATTTTTGACTCACATTTTATATTTTATCGAAATGAAAATTTAATTTTCTTCGACATGCACAATTCATAATTTCAATATCCGTCGGGCAAAAATAAAATAAAAAAAAAAAAATGGAAAAATTCGATAGGTTAGTACCATCGAAAAAATTTAGAGAGTAAAATATGAAACAAAAAAAAAGTAATAAATAAATGGAAAGCAAGTCAATTCTTGCTGTACAACAACGATATACAAAGCGCAGTATTGAAAGATTGTAATTTATTTTGTTTGAGATAATTTATATAAATATAAATATATATATACATAAATATATATATGTGTATATTCATACAGGATAATTATCAAGTAATTTACAAACTAATTTGTGAGAAAACACACATTCCCTATTAAAATCATGCAAAAAGGAATCGTCTTTATATGAATTTTTTTCTTTTTTCGCTTAATTTACATTTACAGATAAAAATTTTGTAAATGTAAAATTCTTGGTAATTACCTTGTATATTTATATCGTAATCGCAACTTTTCTAACGTTACTTTTTCTAGTAACTGTTTGAAATCGCATCACTCGATTAGCCTTAGGATACGGTAGTTTATAATAATTTATATATGCATGACTTGTATCTTATACGTGTATTTATAAATACAAGATATAAAAAAATTTGATCACAATCGCTCAATTTTTTTTTATTTACTATAACGATTTCATTACTTTGTAACTTTCGTTGTTAAATTTATTTTTTTACATTTCGTTGTTTGTGTGTTACGAATGTTTATGCAAAAAGAATATGTATTTTTTTTTAATTAAATTATTTATTAATTATTAAATTAATTTACACTATCTATTTATTAATTTCTTAGTTAATTTTCTTTTCGGAGAACTTAATTTTCCACTCTTTTGTTTTATATTTTTCTTCTTTTTTTATTTTTTTAATTCTTATTTTTTTTTTATTTTTTACTTCTAAAAATTTTTTTTTTGTTATTATTTTCTATTATTGATTTTTATTTAATTTTTTGTGCTACTATTTTCATAGTCTAATAATTTATTTATTAGAGAAATAATTTCTTATAGAACAATAAAATGAAAACTTGCAAAATTGCAAGTAAATTTAAATGCGATTAATTTATTTATCAATTAAAACGTTCCGAACGTTTATAATAAAAGATTTAGATGAAACAATATTTTTATTTAAATATATTCAGGGCTCGAAATAATTTTCGAAAAAATTCTTTGACAATTTTCAAATCCATTTGTTTACAATTCAATTTTACGAAATTTCAATTATTCGAAAATTCTTCAATTGAATATATATTAGAAAATAACAACTTCAAAAAATTTCAAAAAAAAATTCAATTAAACCTTTTGAAAAAATTGATTTCACAGAGTTGTTAGTTAAAATTTTAAATTTCAAAGATTTTAATTTGAAACTTTTTCAGAATTCAATTATTTTTAAAAATTCTATGCTGTAGGTATGATTTTAATATTCAATTATTATTTATAAAATTTTAACTGAATTTTGTTTTTAAATCAATTTTTATTAGAAAATTCAACGAGAATTCAATTATTTAAATACAAAAATTAATAACTTATTGAATAATTGAATGTTTCTTTAAATTGGTTTGTTTGAAAATAATTAATTTAATGTGAAAATTTTATTATTTATGAAAATAATTGAATTCCTTAAAAGAATTTTATTATTTACGAAAATAATTAAATCGATGTAAAAATGTTATATTATTTATGAAAATAATTGAATTATTGCGAAAAAATTTATAAAAAATTTGCAAATCATTAAATTTATGCAAAGATTTTTATCAAAAAAATATGATAATAATTGAATTTCTTCGAAGGTTTTTATTATTTATGGAAATAATTGAATTTTTGGAAAGAATTTTATTAAAATTTTTCATAATCCTAATTAAATTCTTTTGAAGAATTTCTTTGAATTTCTTTAAAATAGTGGAGTTTCTTTAATAATTTTAATTGAAAATTTTCAAAGTAATTGAATTTTATATGAACAATTTCTTTCGAATTTTCACAATAATCATGTTTATTAATCATTGAAGTTAAACATTTAATTCTTGAATTTCATTAAAATTTTTAGAAAATAATTGAATTTTTGTGAAGAAATTTATTAAAATTTTTAAAAATAATTGAATTTTGGAGAAGAATTTTATTATTTATAAAGATAATTGAAATTTTGATGAGAATTTTTAAAGAAATTTTACCATGATTGAATTTTTGCAAAGAATTTTATTATTTCTGAAAATAATTTAATTTTGACAAATTATTTGTAACTTTTCAAAAATTCTCCAAATTATATCGTTAAATATACCAACTTTTATTGCTTTTTCAATCAAATTACTAACTTTACGGACCTATTTTTCAAAAAAACTGACTTACGGACTTTCAATAAATTTACGGACTTTTACGGGATTTAAGGACATAGTTCGAGCCCTGTCTATTTAATATTTAAATAATTCAACTTTTTTATTTTTATATATTTTTGTATAAAAAATGCTTAGAGTAATTTTTTTTATAAAAAAATTCCAAAAAGTTGTGGACATTTTAATGTTTTAACATTTCAATCTAAACAATAAAAATTTATTAACTATTAAAAATTATTAATAAACTTATTAAATATTTAGAAAGCTGAAAATTTAAGATTTTTTTAAAAACGAAGTATGTAAATTATTTAACTGATAAAATTATATTTACATGTAGAAATAATTTTCTATAAAAGTGAGAACTTTGATTGTTACAACTAAATTATTGCACAATTATCAATTGCAAAATTAAAGTATTTCTAAATTATAAAATAAAAAAATTGCAAAAATTTTGCATAAACTTTCGTAGATTATTCCTTAATTATTAATTATTATTATTAATATTTTTAATATTCAAAGAAACAAAAGAAAATGATTTTTATAATTGATATTCCTAAAGTTTTGAATATTGAAATAAACGAAATTTAATTGAAATCGAAATGTCGATTTTAATTAAATTTCGTTTAAATTCAAGTTAAATTTTAAGTTTACAAGTTAAATTGTAAATATTTTAAAAAACTAAAATTGTAAATTTTTCACTTTTAAGTTATTTAAAGTCCCTGAATTTAGCTTCAGAATTTTTTCCATAAAACCCAAAAGGATAAAATTTTTTCGAAGTTATTAACTTGAAAAAAATCTCCCTAGGTGAAAAATTATTAACATTTCTGTCTCTAAATAAGAAAAATAAGTTTTCGACGCTAACTTCAGGGACATGTTATTTACAATTTACTTAAAATATTTTATTTGAATGAGAAAAAAAAGAAAAAAAATGAATTTAAAAAATTACCTCTTATATTTTCCTCTAGATTTGTGTTGACGTTCGTTATTCGCGGCGAAACGTGTGGCAAAATAAAGCATCGTTATGAAAACGCTGAGCATTGTGCCAACGACAGTACCGTAGAAAAATTGCCATACTTCACCGTAAGTATGAATATTCTTAACGGGCAGAAGAAAATTATCTGCCTCGGTTTTAATGCGTCCAATATATTTGAGCCAGAAAACAAGTCTGTCCATTGCAGGTGTTGGTCTGTCCCTCAAGGCGAGTGAAACTTTTCTTGCATTTTCACGATACATCGCTGAATTGTGAATTTCATTCACTGACCCTTGAATGCGATCAATTGAATAATCACCCTCCGTCGAGTAAATAAATCCCAATTTCAAACCGTTCAAGGCATTTTTCTTCTCTGCAAAGTTCCTCGGGAAACATATCACCGGCGTTCCATGAAACGCTGCTTCCAAAAGTTCCGTTTCTTCACAGTGACACAATAAAACTCTCGTTCGCGGATAGCCTGTGGAAAAATAATTTTCATATTAACAATTAATTATTATTATTATTATTATTATTATTATTATTATTATTATTATTATTATTATTATTATTATTATTATTATTATTATTATTTATTAGTTTCAAACATTTAAATCATATTCTTTGCAAGAATTCAACAATTTTCATAAATAATAAAGTTCATCGCAGGAAATTCTTTGAAACAATTCAATTATTTTTTCAAAAATTTTAATAAAATTGTTCTCAAGAATTCAATTATTTTTATAAATAACTAGCAAATGATAAGCGCGCGGAACTTGACATTCAATTTATTATTGTTATGCAAATTACACAAATTTTTCTTTCCTAATAAAAAATTTTAAATAATTTCATAATCAAAATTTTCAAAATTTACTTATTAAGTACAAAATTAATTATTATTGTTTATATTTTCAAAAATTTTAATATAATTCTTCGGAAGAATTAGATTATTTTTATGAATAGTAAAATTTTTTGCAAAAACTCGATTATTTTTAACAAAATATTAATAAAATTTCACGAAAGAATTCAATATTTTCTAAAATTTAAGAAATCATTCTAACCAATTTAATTATTTTTTAAATAGTAAAATTTTTGCAAAAAGTCAATTATTTACAATAAAATTTTACGAAAGAATTAAATTTTTTTCTTAATTCGTTGTAAAATTTTTCAAAAAAATTCAATTACATATTTTCTAAAATTTTAATAAATCCTTCAAAATAATTCAATTATTTTTATGAATAGTAAAACTCTTTGCAGGAATTCAATTCTTTTCAAAACAGTTTTAATTGAATTCCTTGGAAGAATTTAATTTTTGAAAAAAATTTTAATATATTTCGAAAAAATTCAATTTTTTTTTAAATCTTAATAAATCCTTCGAAACAATTCAATTATTTTTATAAATAATAAAATTCTTTACAGGAACTAAATTATTTTTAATGTAATTTAAATAAAATTACACGAAAGAATTTAATTATTTTCAAAAATTATCATAAAATTCAATTTCAACAAGAATTTAAAATTCTCTAAAAATTATTCAATTATTCTCAAAATATTTTTAAAAAAATTCTACATGAATATTAAATTACTTTCAATGCAATTTTTAAAATATATTCGTCGAAAAATTGAAAGAATTCAATTATTTTCAAAAAAAAATAAAATTCTTCTGATGAATACAATTATTTTGAATATGCTTAATTTTAATAAAATTATTTGCACAAATTCAATTTTTTTCAAAACAATTTTAATAGAATTCATCGAAATAATTTTTATTATTTTCAAATATTTACATAAAATTCATTTATTTCCTAAAATTTTAATAAATTCTTTGGAACAATTCAATTATTTTTATAAATAATCGCAAGAATTAATCTGTTTTCATAAATAATAAAAATCTTATCTTAGGAATATCATTATTTTCAATATACAATTTTAATAAAATTCTTCTTCATAAAATTCAATTGCTTTCAAAATTTTCAATTAAAATTATTAAACAAACTCCATTATTTTAATAAAATTCATCACGAGAATTTAATTATTTTCATAAATAAAAAAATTCTTCGAAGGAATTCAATTATTATTCTCTTCAATTTTTTTTTATAAGATTCTTTGCAAGAATTCAATGATTTTCAATACATTAATTTTAAAATTAAAAAAATATTTTTAAAAAGTTAGGAAACAAATCAATTAAATTTTTTTTTTAAATTAAATTATATTGTATTATATTTATAATACCTACAATTTTAATAAAATTATATTATATTATATTTTTATTGTAATTACCTATAAGATCTTGACGATCAACTTTTTCATGAACGAAGAGATTTTCTGGTTTCGTCTCCAAAGTTATATTTTTTTGCCTCCAAACGAGAGCCTGTCCTTGTCTTCCTTGCGGTAATTTTTTCGCCAATTCAACCATAAGACTCGAATGAATTTCGTCTAATAAGGAAACAATTGTTCCCGATCTTAATTCAACTAATTCTTTTTGAAGATCATCAGGCAACGCTTGAACACCTCGACAATGAAAACATCCAACCTGAAATTTAATTTCGTTGCATGACAATTGGATATAAATTAAATAATTAACTACAATTACTTTTAGTCTTAATTATTTTCCAATATTGCAAATTGCAATAAAAATTAGAATAGAAATTTTTTATTTTTATTAAGTATAATTTGCAATTTCAAAAAAATAACAAAAATTAAAATAAAATAAATATTTAAAAATAAATTTAAATTAATTTAATTTAGTTGCGTGACAATTAAATATAAATTAAATAATTAATTACTTATTTAAAAATTAAAATTAATTTTTCCAATATTGCAATTTATAATAAAAATTTAATTTTTCTCACCTCCACTACTAATTCAGTTAAAGGAGCAAAATTCGTATTGAAGACAACGTCATTTCCCCATAAAATTAATTCGACGTCTTGATAAAGATTTTCCAGTGTGATATCAATATTGGGGAGATATTTCGAGACTAATTTCAATGCAGGATAAATGTAATTATTACGAATTGAATAAATGAATAATTTATCTTTCACAGTTGATATCATTGTGATCATAAATCCTTCATTGTTAATCGGAATTGCCGAGCCTGTTTGCAGAAATGTATAAATTTCTTCATTTGAGCCAAGAGTCCAAAGAACTGGAATCGATTTTATCGATTTCACCCAGGGAATTAAACACGCATCGTGTCTGAAATAAAAAAAAAACGATATTTTACATTTATAAAAAAATAATTAAATCTATAACAAATAAGTATAGAATATGTACTAAATAAAAAATAGAAAATCAAATAAGAAAAAGAAAAATCAAAAACAGAGAATCAAAAATAAAGAAAAATAAAAACAGAAATTAAAGAAAATAAAAAAGTAAAATAGTAATAACTAAATAAAGAAAAACTTTTTACCTAATCGATGGAAATATCGTGAAAGTGGGTTGAAGTTCTCGAACTCGCTTTAAAATTTTCTTATCACTAAGAAGTTGTTCGCAGGCTTTGAGCGCATTTGCCTCTGGCTTAAATGATTCTTCATAAAAAATTTTGAGCACTTCGACTTCGACTAAATTTTCGTAAATATTCGCCGTTGAAGGAACAATTAAAGTTGTATCAATTCCCTGATCTGATAGAGTATTGGCCAGCAATGATAGTTCGTACGTATCTTCAAAGGCCACCACTAAAGCACTCTGTGGAGGAGTTGCCAAAAAAGATGCCCCAGCTGAGCAAATAAATAAACAAATTAAATTCACTATAAAACAATCCCTTCTCTTCATTTTCCACTTTTTTTATTAATTTTTAATAACACAATTAAAGTTTAAATCACAATTCTTATATCCCACAGCACACTGTCTTATTTGTATTACAACTTATCACAGAATACTACTCCCACATCTATTTTTAAGTAAAAAGCCGAAAAAAAGTTCTTCCACGTGTACCTTATAAGGTTATTTCAATTATTTGTTTACTTTGTCCGGTTTGAATAGATTTTTCGGTGAAATTACACTAAACACTGATACAAGTCCTTGACACGCTAAACAGAAACAAGAATATTATTCTATTATTAATAGAGAATATTGACTTTAGAAAGAAATTAAATAAAACTATAATCAAGCCGCAGAACAGTCAGGGAATGTTATTGTCGTATTGGGGATTTAAAATTGCAATGCGACACGTAGTGACCATAAAGTGAACTAAAAAAATGGCTTCTGTGGGTGTACAAGGTTGCAAAAAATGTTAATATTTAAAGTATTCTAATGTTTAAGAAATATTTGTTAAGATTGCTGGTCATGATTTATCTTTTTATTGATAAACTACTTAAAATTAAAACCGAAAAGTCACAATATAAGTTTATATTTTTTTAAATTTGTACACCCATTTCGTCCATTTTTGGTGTAAAACACTAGCGACACCGAGCCCGCGGTGGTAATTTTCATTGCCAATCTGTCGTATATCTGTCAACTTTTAGAAGTTGATTTGACTAATACGACTTCCGGTTTTCTCTCTTCTTCAATCGTCTTTCCATCTGTGTACTTTTTCTAGTTTATGGTTTATGCCCCACGTGGTAAGCACTTCCGCTTATGCGCAGCCGTAGACTATTTGAATTTGGCGCGAATATTCAAATCTATTAGTTCAAATTTCGAATAAAATTTAATTTCTTATCTATAGATATAATACTATATTACAGATATAATGCAGGGTTGCCTCAAATATTTAATTTTATTTTTCCCTGACTTTTCCCTAATTTCCAGACAAAATTTTCATTTTTTCCCTGACGTTAAAGAATATTTTGATTCACTCTAAAAATTATTAGATACTCAAAAAAATGTTCTATTACATTTATTTACAAATTTCTTTAATTGTAAAATTATTCAAAAATATTAATAACTTTTTTTTTAAATAAATATTTAATCATTATTATTTTTCCGTAGGAATTAAAATTCTTCAAAGCATTCAAATTCAAACCTTTTTGAAATTCAACAACTTATAAGAATATTATTACAAAACATGAAGATATCGATCACTCCGAGTCTTCGACTCCGAGTGATCACCTTCTTCATATTTTGTAATAATTTAAATTACCATAAAACATTTTTTAAAAAAAGTTAATTATGTACGAAAATCCTAATAAAATCCTCCGCAAGAATTCAATTATTTTTACAAGTCGTAAAATTTTTCACAAAAATTCAATTATTTAAAAAAAATGTAATAATATTCGTTGCAAGAATTCAATTATTTTCATAAAAATAATAAATCGATTATTCGCTATTATTATTATTCATTTATAAATCAATTTTTAATAGAAAATTCTAGAAGAATTCAATTATTTAAATACAAAAATAAATAATTTATTGAATAATTGAATTCTCATAAAGAATTTTATAAACAAATTTTTAAATAATTGAATTCTTTTGACAAATTTTAATCAAATTTTTAAGAATAATTACATTTATCGAGGAATTCGATTAAAATTGTATCAAAAATAATTAAAATCCTGCGATGAGTTTTAGATATTATTTATGAAAATAATTACAATTTTTCCACGAATTTTATTAAAATTTTTCTAAAATAATTGAATTTCGGAGAAGAATTTTATTATTTATAAGCAGTTATAAGGATACTTGAAATTTTGACAATAATTTTTTTTTAATTTTTGAACATAATTTAATTTCTGCGAAGAAGAATTTTATTACTTTTAAAAATAATTGAATTCTCCTGATGAATTTTATTAAAATTTTTAAAAATAACTGAATTTCTGTGAAGAATGTTATTATTTAGATATAAATAATTGAATTCTTGCAAAAAAATTTTATTCAAGTTTATAAAAATTAATTGAATTTCGGTAAAGAATTTTATTATTTATAAAAATAATTGAATTCTTGAAAAGAACTTTGTTAAATTTTTTTTTAAATATAACTAAATTCTTGCGACGAATTTTATAAAAAATCTTTTTAAATAACAGATATTTTTCGAAAAATTTTATAAAAATTTTTATTTTAAATAATTGAATTCCTGTGAAAATTTTATTACTTATGAAAATAATTGAATTATTTCGAAGAAATTTATTAAAAATTTTGTAAATAATGAAATTCCTGTGAAATTTTGCCAAGAATTTTATTAATTTTTATTTTTTTTATTTTTTTTTTTATTTAAAATTTTTCAAAATAATTGAATTTTGAAGAAGAATTTATTTTATTATAATAATAATAATTTATTTCATTGTATGTCCTTTCGTAGGAGCTTTACAATTTCCTTTACACTTAAATTAAACCTTAATTAATAATTTACATGTTTTTTCTAAGAAGAGTTTTATTATTTATGAAGGTAATTGAAACTTTGACGAGAATTTTTAAAAAATGTTTGAAAATAATTGATTTCCTGGAATCATTTGTAACTTTTCCAAAATTCAATTTTTTTTAGTATTTTTAATTAAAACAATTCTTCTATATAGGTAAATCTAGTATTTATGAAAATTGTAAAATCTATTCATTAAATAATTTATAAGTCATAATTTTATGATAGTTCTTGAAAAATTAATATTTAAAAAGAAATTATTGTCAGAAATAGAAAAAATTGAAGGTTTTGTTTTAGAATTCGTAGTAATTTCATAGTTTATGAGGCATACAAAAAAACATCAAAATTCAGAGTTTTCTCATGAATTTTAAAAATTCAATTTTTTCCAGTACTTTTACTAAAAATCCCTGACCTTATTATAGATAAATAAAAAATGTAAATAAGTAAAAATATAGAGCAGTAAAAAATGTAAAGAAGTAAAAAATATAGAGAAGTAAGAAATGTAAATAAGTAAAAATATATAAGTAAAAAATGTAAATCAGTAAAAATATAGAGAAGTAAAAAATATAAATATGTAAAAATATAGAGAAGTAAAAAATGTAAATAAGTAAAAAATACAAATAAGTTAAAAAATAAGTATTAATAAAAATACTAACAAAAATAAAAAATAAGAAATTAAACAAAAAAAAAAATGGAAAACTGAATTTAAATTAAAAATTTCAGGAAATTAAAAATCGCAGCATTTTCTTGATTTTATTTTACTCGACGACCGTTGACATATACTTGGACTATATTTCGATCATCGCCAGAGTAAATAAATCGCTGGAGTTTTTCAAGTAGTGTACAATTAATTAAATTATCTAAAGGACTATCTGCACTGTTTAGATCGATTAAAAGAGCATCGAATTGTTTTCCAGCTTCGAAATTTCCAATTTTATCATCCAATTGAAGGCCTGTTGATAAAATTTTCTCTATAAAGACTAATTTTGTTTTCTATTGGAATTTTTCAAAATTTACAATACTCACAAGTTGCACCGCCAAGTGTAGCTAAATAAAACACGTCCTTGTAATCAAGAGAATGATAATTTGTTTTTATAAATGAGAGATTATTTGTTGCTGTGAGTGCAGCTTTCATTGAATCTAATATCGATGGACTCTGTCCTCCGCCAACATCTAAGAATTTTATTATAAATTTTAATAATAAAAAATCATTTTTAATATTAAAATTTATTTCTTCATTTTTTTTCTATTTGTTCATTATTTTTTCATATTTCTTAATTATTTATTTATTACTCTTTCCTATTCATTCATTTCTTATTTATCCATTTTTTATTTACCTATTATTTATTTATTATTCAGTTCTTTATTATTTATTTATTATATTTAGTTAATTATAATTTATTTATTATTTATTAATTCGGAATTTACGTATTATTTATTTATTAAATTTATTATTATTTATCAAAATTTTTCAATTTTCAATATTTCGAAAATAAAACGAAACATTAAAGAAAAAAGTACAAGCGTAATATTTTCCTTTAAATAGAAAATTAAAAAATTAAAATATTTTTATTTTGATAGCTAAATAATAATAAATTTTGGGTTTAGAATAAATATTTGCGAATGTTGAAAATAATTTAATGTAAATAATTTTACCTGTGCCGAGTCCAATTTTAATACCCTTTGATTTTAATCTCCGAACATCACAAATGCCACTTTTTAAACAAGCATTCGATGAAGGACAATGAATAACGGAAGACTCCCGTTCTTTTATAATATTGAGCTCATTGTCTGTTAAATAAACTCCATGGGCTAAAATTGTCTGCAAAAAAAAAGTTTTTTTATACTTAAAAATTCGAATTTTCAATTTCTGCAAAAAAAATTAAATTTTCTTTTTATTTATTATGTACTTAAAAGTGGCATTTAATTTTTTTTTTAATTTAAAAATTCTGTTTTTCAATTTCAACAAAACAAATTAAATTTTATTTGATGTATTACTTAAAAGTGTCATTTAATTTTTTTTTTATATTTAAAAATTCTAATTCTCAATTTCTACAAAAAGAAAATTGTATTTTATTTAATTTTCTTTTAGATTTAAAAATACTGATTCTCAATTTTTACTGCATTAATTGTGACAGTTATGTGAATGAAAATTAGTAATTAAAGTTTATACCTTGCTTGTGAGAAGACCGGCAGCATCGTAAACTTTTGCATACGATAAATATTCATTAAAAACTTGACTGACTGCTTTTACTTCGTCTGCGTTTTCAGAAATATGTGTCTGAAAAAATTATACAAATACTGCATCAAAAATTGTGTTAAACATATTAAAAATGTTTTAAAAAAATTTTTAAATACAAATTAAAAAAATTAATTATTTTAAGAAATAATAAATTAATATTTTAAAATTCAATAAACTGGCATTTTTAAATTTTTATAATTTTACAATTATTTCTGATAGCAATAGCTGATAGCAAAAAAGAGTTAAGACTTAAAAAATCAATATTAAAGATTTATAATTTACCTGTACAGGAAGATCCATTTCGATAGCTAATTTTCCTAATTTTTTCATGAGATTCATATCACAACTCAATGCAAATCTAGGAGTTAATATTGGTTTCACGAGCGGATTCTAAAATGAAAAGTAATTTTTTTAGTTATATTGCAAATAAAACATAGATTAATTTGTCAATTGATTAAATTCAATTGACTAAAATAAAAAATTATTTAAGACAGAGACATTTTTAAAAATTCAATTAATTTTATTAATTTAAAATTAAATTCAATTAAACTGAAGGCAAATGAAATCAAATACAAGAAGAATTTTAATTTATGTATTGAAAATAGTTATTGAAAATTATTTGCAGTTTACTATTTTAGTAATTTTTAAATTTAAATTTATTTAAAGTAAAATAGTTATTGAGAATAATTTTACTTTTACCGAAATATATTTTCAAGAACATAATAATACTTACTTTCAATTTTTCCACGTCCGAAATAAATTTAATAGTATCGCTGATAGAATCTTCAGTTGATTCGTAATAGCCATCATTTCTTGGTAAATTCATATTTAATTTTCCAATAAATGCCCGTTGACCATATTTTACAGCTTTTTGTGCAAGAATTAAAGAAGCTTCTTTATAAAGAGAAGCAAAATAACAAATTGTTGTTGTTCCCATAGCGAGAGTTCGTTTCTAAAATTAAAAAAACGAAAAAATAAAATTTTACTTTCACAATAATAAGAATAAATAGTAACCAATTGACCATAATTAATTATTAAAAATTTAAATTATTATTATTAATAATTAAAATTATTCTCAAAAAAAAAAATTACCACAACTGCGTCCATTACTCGATCAGTAAATTCATCATTGGAAAATTTTCTCTCCAACGGAAATGTATATTTTTCCAGCCATTCTAGTAGCGGTGAATCGTAGCCCAAACCAATATTTGGTAATTGAACTGCATGAAAATGACAATCGACGAAACCAGGAATTAAAAATTGTCCTTGACTCAAGCGTATAATTGGTTCAATCGTTAAATCTTCGACTTTTGGATTTGGAAGAATGCTAATAATCTGTTAGTAAAATTTTTCACAGTTAAATCAAATATTCTTATTTAAATCGCAGCCTTAAAATATAAGATTAACTTCATTATTTAAATCATTTTCGTTATTTACAATTGTTTTAAAATTTAATTATTTTCAAGTTAAAATTAGTTAAAATTATTCAAAATTTTTTAAAATTGTTTAAAATTAGGTACAAAAATAATTCATGTAAAAAATGAAAATAATTTACAACAATTATTACTTACAATTCCATCTTGAACAATTACTGCAGCTTCCTCGAGTATAATTAAATCTTCATTTTTATTTGTATGAATTATAGGTCCAACGAATGTTTGTTGTTTCATCTTAATAGTTGTAATCTGAAAATAATTAACTAATGTAATTAACTTGATATTTAGAAATTAATTTATTTTATGTATAATTAATTCATAAAGACAGAAAAACAGCTTTAAAACACTTTCAAAGAAAGAAGGAAATACTAAAAATGATAAACAATTTTCCCATGTAGGTGACCAGTAAAATATAACCTTAAGTAGTAAATGTCTGCACGAGATAAAAAATTATCTATGACGGAGCTATGTAAATAAAAGAATATGCGCATCGAGAGAGAGGGGAATAATAAAATTCCACATTAGATGCTTCTCAATGAAGGAATATAGAAACAAGATTATATATTGCGCTCAATATTTTTATTATTTAAAATTTAAATTAATTTTATTGTCACTTATTTAAGGAATTTTGATTTTTTAATTAAAAATCCATTTTTATTTCAGTTTTTATTTTCTTTTACAAAACTTTTATTTTTAAGTTCAAATTTCCTTACAAAACTTGTAAGTTTAATTTGAATGTTGTTTACAAAACTCTTTTCTTATTTTTAAAATCCTTTATTTTTTAAAAAATTTAATTCAATTAATTGAATTAAGTTAATTCAATTTTTCGAAATTTTATATCAAAAGCTTTCGAACGTTTTCAGTAGTAATAATTTTTTTCGATTTTTTATTTAAATATCAAAATATTTAATTTCAAAGCGATTCTATGGCAACAATTTTATCGATTCAACAAAGTTTTGAATCAACTTCTTAGCAAAACTACACGCTCTTAATAAAAATATTATAAAAGTTTCGAAAAGTTTCTTTAATTTGCTAGAAAAATATTTTTAGATTTTTTAAACATTTTTTTTGAAAATTGACATAAATTGTATTATTTTTAAATAGAACATGTTTTAAATAGAATACTTTTAAAGAGAAAATTTATAAAGAGCAAAGTTTTCTTACTATTCATTTTTTTTAATTACTTTATTACTATTTTATTATTATTATTTCCAATTATGAGTGACAAGAGAGAGAATCAAAGACCAGAAAGGTCTAAAAAAATGGAAAAAGCGGCACCAGAGCCACAAACTGAATATCTTGACATGGACACTGATGAAGAAGAATTTGGAAGACAAGGTTCGTTGTCTGCAAATCAATTTTTCAATTTACGAAAAAGAGAAAATTGCCAAATTAATTTTTGTTTTCCTTTTTATAAATAGATAATTAAATTCTATAAATATCTCGAGAATTAATGAAGAATAAAAAATAACCTTCAACTTTGAATTCTGATTTTAAAGTAAACAAAAAAAATTCTTGAATTGCTTAATTTCGTACCTTTAAAATTAATTTTGTTGTGATCTAGAAACTCCCGAGTCAGAAGATAAGGAACCTCTTGAACCGGAAAAGCCCGTATTTACTGATGAGGATTTGAATACGTTGGTCAGTGAAAGTTCTGATGTCGTTCCACCGAAACTTTTTTGAACTAAAATTCAGAAAAAATTCTAAATGAGTGCAACTTTAAAAAGAACATTTTTTAAATTACCATTTTTAGTGGATTTTTAATTCTGCAATTAAAAATAATAATTTTAATAATAAAAATAATAATTTCATTACCGAAAAGTTCAAAATTAGAAGAAAATTTAAAAGATTAAAAAATTTTATACCTATTCCTAAAGTTTCGAACGTTGAAATGAACGACGATTTATTTATTCGTTAAAATTTTAATTTTGCCAAAAAATATTCTTTTTGTTAATTTCGAAAATTAATTCCTTTCTATAAATGTTGAATATTATTTTATTTAAAAATTTTTTTTTGGTAATTTTTTAAAATTTAAATTATTTAATTAAAATATAAACAAATAGAAATACAAAACATTAAAATTTAAATATAAAATAAAATATAAAATAAAATATAATATAAAATAAAATATAAAATAAAATATAAATTTAAATTAAAATATAAATACAAAATGCAATAAAATAATTTTCGAAAATTAACTTCTTTTCTTTTCAGGTAAAATACGTGCAAGATTTAACAACTTTACCTTCTCTATCCGACTATCATTGGAACGAAGAATGTTGTCTTGTAATTCGAGAATATTTTCAAGAACCAAAAAATACCATTCTAACGATCTTCTTTTTCAAAAGTGAATTAAAAGCGAGTTTAGAATTTCCCACAGAAACAAGCGATGGACTCACGTATTTTTTACGCTCTCCCTGGCAAGTTTACACAGTTGATAATTTTCAGTCAAGCATTATTTTTGGCACAATCAACGAGAGCACAGAAAATACTTTACTAAAATTCATGGACAACATTTATGCACCTGTGGCATTTAACAGCAACGAATGGCCCTTCAGTATCCTTTTTTTTTTATTCAACCAAATTTCATCAGATTTGATCAAATTCCTTTTCGTTCCTTTAAAGTTCTTTTAATTCCTTTCAATTTCTTTTCTAAAAAAGAAAAAAAATTCTGATCAAACAATAAAAAAAATGTATCAAATCAAAAGAATTCGAATTATTTTCTCATTATTTATAATTATTAATTAAATAATTAATCTAATTGGAAAATTAATTATCGTATAATCTTTTAATCAATAATCTATTAGAAAATTAATTATTTTGCAAATAATCCTATAATCACCAATAAGTAGGTACAACAACAAAATTTGACTGTTTTTTTACCATTTAAAAAATAGTAAGAACAAAATGTCTTATCTTTTTTGTTATATTCCGTCGTTTCCTATTAATGATATTAGTAACGAAGGACGAAGTGTTCTCATCATTGCACGACTTCATTAGTTGCCTCACTGATCAAGTTTACAAACCAATGGGTCTTACGATTCTCTACATTCCCAGCGAGGGTCTGGAAATTGAAAAAACAAAATTAGACGAATTTTCGATTCCACATAATGCAAATGTAAAGGAAAAAGTGGAAAAAGTTGATAATGATGGTGATGACGAGAAGAAATTAAATGATAGATTAGAAAAAATTGCCCGTACTTGGATCAAACAAATTCGTGAGGCTTTAATTTCATTGCCACTTATTCGCAAAGAATTAAATGATATAACCGACGAATTTGATTACTGGCGTCACAAGTGTACATTTATTTACAGTTTACTATTTTATTTATTTATTTTACTACTTATTTTATAGTGTCAATTATTTATTTTAATTTTCAATTTGTCTAAATTGATTTTAAACTTTCGTGATTATTTCCAGATGATAATCTTAATTGTCTTTTGCAACAAATGTTGAATAAAAATGTGACCACGATTATTAGCAAACTGGAAAATTTACGATCAACCAGTATAAAGCAGTTTAAACAAATATTGGAGGAAATTAAATTGAGAATAGAAGAGTCTTCAACAAATATAACTTATTTAAATATTCTCTTAGAGGCCTGCAACGAAATTCAAAAACCCGCTGATATAGAAATTCACGTTTCAAAAATTATACTCTTACTAATATTTATAAAAAGTGTATCTCCATTTTACAGTAAAACGTATGAATTTAATATTTTTTTGCCTTTTTATCTTAATTTTATGAATTCAATCTGTATTGAAATAATTTATAATTTATAGATTTTTTTCTATAGAATTATAAATATAATTTATAAGTAATAAAACTATATTTTCTAAATAAAACTATAAAATTTATATAAGAAATTTATATAAAATAATAAAAAATAATTTATAAATTATAAATTCGATTGGAATTAACATTAATTTGTTTACTAAAAATATACAATAAAGAAATACCGATTTTTTAACGAATTAAATATTCATAAGGTAGTGAATTCAAGAGTCCTTTACAATATTAATCAAATTAATTAAATAAGAAAAAAATAATAAAATTTTACAATTAAATAAAATTGAAAAATAATTTCTGCTTTGAAGGGAAAACATTGAAGTTCTATATCAGGCGTTAAGTATTCGAATAGTAAATTTTTTGAAAGATTACGTTGTTCTGGAAAATATATTCCAAGACAAGGCTATTGAAACAAAATCAATGATAGAAACCTGCATTTTTTGCTGCAATCGCTATTCAGAAATCTATGATCAGGTAAATTTATCTCTATCTTTGAGTTTTCTCTTTCTCTCTCTGTATTTTTCTTGTAAAATAAGTTTTCATGTTAAAATTCCTCCTCTTGAAAATCATTAATTTAAAAATCTCCAGATTCTCTCAGAATGCACCGATCAAGTCGAAAATTGGAAAGTAGATAAGGAAAATATTTTCAAAAACGTCGATTCTTTCCTCAATAGATGCAACGACGTCATCGAAATCTGCAATGCCTCTGTTGTCTTCAGCAAGTAAATTCCTCTCTTCATTTTGTTTTTCTCTAAAAAAATACAATTACAATTAATGTGATAAAAATGAAAATACATAAATAATAAAATATGAAAATTCTTAAAATTAAATCACATTAAAATTACAGAATTAAAATTAAACCAATTGAGAAAAAAAGAAAAGTAGAATTCAAAAAAGTAAAAAAAAGAAAAATAGAATTCCAAAAAATAAAAGAAAAAATGGAATTCCAAAAGTAATAAAAAGTATAATTCCAAAAGTAATATAAAATAGAATTCCAAAAGTAATGAAAAATATAATTTCAAAAGTAATACAAAATAGAATTCCAAAAAGTAATAAAAAAAATAGAATTAAAAAAAGTAATAAAAAAATAATTCCAAAAAGTAATAAAAAAAAATAGAATTGCAAAAAATAATGAAAATTAATACTTTACAGAGTTGGAGGTCCAATAATGTTTGGCGGCACAAAAGGAAAAATATACGACATGTACCACGAGGAACTGCAAAATTCATTTGCCATTATTCTAAGCAAAATCAAAGAACCCTGCAATTTTGCACTCGACATCACGAATATTTCCTGGTTCCAATTTATGACGAAATTCAGGCACGAAGTCATCGAACTGGAAAATATGTTGAAAAACATGATCAATGATATGTTTGAGGAAGTTCAAAATGTTGACGAGGGAATCGAGGCACTCTATTCTCTTCAAAAATTCCAACAGAGACCAGATCTTGAAATTTTACTCAATGACAAATGGATGGAGGTATCAAATTTCCTGCAAATTAAACATTTCATTAAAAAATGTAAAATAATAATAAAAAAAAATTTTATTCAAAATAAAGTCAATTAAAATAAAATATTTTTCTTAAAAAATTATGTTTCTTCTTGAAAAATTGTGAAAATATTTTTATTAATTTAAAATAATTTAAATATTTTATTTTACGTTTTATTTTATAATTATTATTATAATATCCTAAAGTAATTTATTATTATTAAAATATTTGTAAAATAGGTATGGAAAATATTCAGCAGAGAAATAAAAAATTGTTATTCTACACTTTACGATAAAAAAGATTTGGAAGAATTAAATCAAAATATAAATATTACACACTTAAAGAGACAATATTCAAAAATGATAAATACATCTGATTGGCTTGGCGATTGTGACATACAATGGTATGTAAATTAAAAAAATTAGAAACAAAAAAATTATTAAAAAAAAAATTTAAAAAGACGATTATAATTTTTCAGCTATTCTAAAAATACCTCTTATAATTACAGGGATATTTTGAAAATATACAAGGAAATAATAAGCATTATTTCCTCACTAAATAATCAGGATGAGAATCAAAATTAAAAGTATAGAAAAATTATTACTCTACGAATATATATATTTCATTTTTTGTTTTTATAAGAAAATTCAATCATTTCTATATTTTTCTTTCCTGGTACATTGTAGACCCGTATTTTTACATGTAAACACAATAATGTGTTAAAGGAAAACTTTTTATAAAATGTAAAATATACTACAAAAGGATTCTTAAATAAATAAAAGTAGTTTCTTTTTTTGCAGCAAAACTAGCAAACTACTATTTTAAGTATAGTTAAAATGACGTAAAACTTTTAACAATTTGTAAATTAATTACGTAAACAAGGTTTAAAATTACAAATTCTTTTTGTTATTATATCAATCCAATAAATTTAAACATTATTAAAAATAATTTTTAATAATTTTAACTTTACAATTAAAAATATATGTCTATTCGTAAAACTATCTCTATTATTTCTCTAGTCAATGATTTTTAAATTGAAATTCAGTTTTGTTCGTAGATATTTTGAAATTCAATTTTCCATTTCTCTTTCTCCAAATTTCTTGACTCATTAATAAAATAATTTTTTCTTCTTTTAATTTCAAAATTAAATTTCAAATTAAATAATTATTTTTTATAATTCTTATTCAAACTCGTTTCGAAATAAATTTAAATATTTCTTCAAAGTCCACATACTTATTTTCGTTTTGATTTCTATTGAGAAAAAAATTCTATAACAAATTTTTCCCGAGTCTCAAAATAAAAACTGAACAAAACTGACTATCAATGGTAGAAATCGTAAAAATCAGTTTAAAAAATTGATTAAACTTTCTTTTTCATTAAAAAGAAACTTTTAGAACAAAGTTTTTGACAGTAAATTATTTTCAACATAAACTATTAAGTAAAAATACTTAATAATTTTAAAGTAAAGCATAAAAATATTCTACATCTATATAGTTTTGTCCAACTTTTCTTCTTTTTTTGCTTTTACTTTAAATTCTAAATTTTAGATTTTCTGTAAATCTCTATGAGATATATTTATATATTATATGTCAGTTATATGTAGAATACTTTTCAGCGAATACTATTTCTTTTTTTATATTTCTATTTCACATAAATATTATTCTCTGCTAGTCGAGACAAAAAGATTATTTTTATGAGAATGTCACAAAAAATTCATTTTCATAACTATTGATAATTATTCAAAAACGATGGCGTAAGGTTTTTTTTAATGTAGTTCACCTATGCCAACAAAAAATAATTAAAGTTGACAAATGATAGAATTTTTGATTTTTCGCAAATATTTTTAAAAATATATTTTTTTTCGAATTAGAAGAAAATAAGGTGAACTACCTTAAAATCTATGCTTAATTTTTAAGCAATGTTACTCTAAGTACAGACTTTTTTTGTCTTCTTTTTTTCTCTTTTTAATCTACATTTTTTTTAATACGTATATAATTTTCTAGTTTAGGAGGTATTAGAACACACATCAATCGAAGATACAACTTGAGTTAATCATTAACAATCTCATTAATATTCAAGTGTCTTCAATTATTTAATTGTTTTTCTCTCTAAACTAATTTGGTATTTTTTTAAAAAAATAAAGCCTTCTAATTAATAGTATTAAGCTATTGTAAATATTTCGCTTTACTTTCTTTTTTTTGTGTTGGTCCTCGTTTTGGAAATGTGAGGAAAAGACTTTCATTTTATAAATTCATTGTCAATCAAAACTGATTAGTATTAATTAATTATAATTAACTTATAATAACAACTGTAACAGGTAAAAATTATCGCTAATTCTGGAAAGCACCGGTTTCTTTTTTTTTGATAAGTATTATTATAATATAATAATATTATGTATTTTATATCTAAATATAAATGCAGAGGAGAGTATTTTTTATAAGTCTATATGTACATGTCTTTCTTCTCCTGAGCAATTCTACAATATATATTAAATAAAATAATAATATTGCAGAATGCTATTTTATCACATAATTTTATTCTGAGTAATATTGCAACTGTGAGTTTTAAAAATAATCTTTCGATAGAATACTACTTTTCTATTATTTATATATGAGTTGATTTGTTCATTTTCAGAGGATGAAGAAAATAATTTTTTTTTCAAGAATATTTCTTCATTTCAGGGTGATAGCAAATTCATTCTCAAATTTTAATAAATTCTTCGAAACAATTCAATTATTTTAAATACAATTTTAATAAAATTCAATAATCAAATTTTTAATTATAATTATTAAAAGACACGATTACAGGCAAACCTCGCTACGGCGGACTTCTATACGGCGGAAACTCGCCAGGTAGAAGTAGAAGGGATTATATCAGTGAGAGTTGTGACTGTGTGAGTGCCATGAAATTCAGGGCCGAAAAGTTTCGAATTGTAATTTTTATATGGATGTTTTTTTATTTAAATTATTTAATTTATATTTTATTTATAATTTTTGTTTATTTTATGATATTTTATATATTATAAAAAATAAACATAAAAATGATAAAATAAATAGAATAACAAATCAAAGTAATTTTTAAAAAAATAATTATATTTAAAATTCATCGCAAAAATTAAATTAATTTTTATAAATAATAAAATTCTCCTGAGGAATTCAATTATTTTCAATACAATTTTAATATTAATATTACCTATTAACAGACACGATTATTTTAAAAAGTTGAAAAAATTCTTTGTATAATTCAATTACTTTCAAAATTTTCAATTATAACTATTAAAGAAACTCCATTATTTTAAAAAAGTTTAAAGATATTCTTCAAAAGAATTTAATTAGGATTTTTATAAATTTTAATTAAATTTTTCGCGAGAATTCGATTATTTTCATAAATAATAAAATTCTGCGAAGGAATTTAATTATTCTCAAATTTTTTGACAAAATTCTTTGCAAGAATTCAATGATTTTTAATACATATTTTTGAATAAGGTTATTAATAAATTATCATAACTTCTATTTCATATTTAAAGATCATGTGATTTAAAATGGTTGATACATCCCTGAACGTTCACTCACTAATAGCATTTTAACGAACCTCTCTACGGCGGAATCGTCTAATTGCTTTCCGCCGTAGCGAGGTTTGCCTGTATTTTAAAAAGTTGAAAAAATCCTTTGTTTAGTTCAATTACATATTTTCGAAATTTTTAATGAAGTTATTAAAAAAAACTACTTTATTTTCAAAAACCTTAAAGAAATTCTTCAAAAGAATTTAATTACTTATGTATTTACAAAAACTCTAATAAAATTATCTTTAGAATCTCTCTAATAAAATTGTTTAAAAGAATTTAATTTTCTATCAATAATTGTAATAAAATTTAATAGTAAAATTATTGATTACAATTATTTTAACAAAATCGATTATTCCAAAAATTAAAGAGTTCGTTTGAAAGAATTAAATTATTTTCAATATTTTAATAAAATTCATTGAATGAATTAAATTATTTTCTAAAAATATTAATAAAATTTAATAATCAAATGTTTAATTTCATTTATTAACAAACACGATTATTTTAAAAACTTGAAAGATATTCTTCATAAAATTCAATTACTTTCAAAATTTTCAATTAAAATTATTAAAGAAACTCCATTATTTAAAAAAAAAATACTAAGAAATTCTTCAAAAGAATTTAATTATGATTTTCAAAACATTTTAAAAAAATTCTTTGAAAGAATTCAGTTATTTTAAAATTTTTTGATAAAATTCTTTGCAAGAATTCAATAATTTTAAAATTGAATAAATTTAAAAAGAAAAATTTAATGCAAAAAACTATTACCATTCTTAAAGTTATATGGAATCATTAAATTAATTAATCAATTATTAGACATTAATCTAATTTAATTTTTTGAAAAAAGATTTCATTTAGAAGTTAAAAAATATATAAAAATAACAAAGAGTTTTCCTAAATATTTTTCTTTTCTCACTTTGCGATCATCCTGTTATATTTTTAATCACTCGTAACTTTCTTGTTTGAAATTCATTTTCAACCTTCAAATATTACTGAGTTAATTATTTCAATATTTTCACAATATTAATCATTTGATTAATTCTGAATTATAATTTCTTCGATTTCCTAAAAAAATATTTTATTTATTTTCTTGTGCTTTCTTTTTCTACCCATTTCTCTTGAAAAATAATTCCCCTAACTCTGTTTTAATATATTTTTGCGTACACAAAAACTTTCATTTTTAAAAATACATTTTCAAAAAATGTATTTTTTTAGATATTTTAAAGATTTCTTTAAAATCTCACATGACGGAATTTCTTTTGTTAAAAATTAAAAGAATTCCATTATTAGTAAAATAGAAAAATTAACATAAATGCAAGAAACTATCGACTATTAATAAATATTTGTTAAATACATTTCTTTTAGTAATAATGAAATTCTTTTAATAGCAATTTTTTTCCCTTTAAATTCGCTTTTTTTTAGAATTGCTTTTATGCTTTTTTTCTCTCTCTATATTTTGGAAATAATTATGATGTGTTTTTTCTCTATTGTAATTAATAGATGTAACATTTGGTATATCGTCTTAGGAACTGTTAAGTATTTATAATAAATTAAATATTTTTGAGATATTTCTGTGCATCTCTAAACAATATAAACGCTGTTGGCACAACATTTCCTTTTAAAGGTAAGACAGATTTTTTGGTATCTCGACAATTGTAACATTTGCCCTCTTTTTTCTCTCATATATATAAATATATAATGTATACTTGGAATGTTTTTACCTTAAGGAAGTCACTAAATTTTCATGACTCGACAAAACGGAAAAAGTTGGAATATTTTGAGAAATCTGATGATCAAGAAGCTCACTGTCGGAACTGCTTACTGAATCAGAACTATTGGAAGGATTTACTTCTTTTCGAGCCGGTGGCAGGAGAAAGAGAAGCGAAAGTGCTATCAACATGTGCCAAGCACTGTGAACGTACTGAAAACAATTTTTTTTTATTAAATAAATAATGGAGAACTAATAAGAAATAAGAAATAAATAATAAATAAGAAATAGGAAATAATAAAATAAGAACTAATAAAAAATAAAATATCACTCACGCTGTAATTGTCTTTAGTTTCAACTAAAGAGAACAGAAAAACTCCAATGCAAGCCAAGAGCAAACCAACAACGAATTTCCAGGTGCTTCTTGGTTTTTTGCATTTCCTCGACTTGATGCAACCATAAATGTACGACCACGTCTAAAATTAAGTAAAATTGGTATTTTTTATTTCTGTAGGTAGCAATTAATATTTACTAATTAAAATGAGAGAAGAAATAAAATTTACTGGTAATAAAACTCCAATTCCCAGTGGAATTAAAATGCTAATGAGACCAGTTCTATTCGATTCTACGGTGAAGGCGATTATTAAAGCTCCAAACATGTGACAGACGGATAGAAATCGAGTTGGTAATTGTGCCATGGAAACAAGTGTCACCCAAAATGATAGTATGCTCGAGAAAAAGTCACTGAACTGCAATACCTATAAAAAAACCGTTTAAATTTAAAATAATTGAATAAAAATAAAAAAATATCTTCAGGGTGGTCACAAGTTTCAGTTTATCAATTTCCCTGACATTTTCCTGACAATTTACTAACATTAAATTTAAAATTATTTTTCCTGACAAAATTCTTTTTACAGGAAAATATGATAGTTTACGGAAAATGAGTAAAATTTATAATTATAATTGTAATTATAATTCCAATTTTAAAACAGTTCAATTTGAGAACTTTTGAAATTTAATTACATCTAAAAATTTCTACAACAATGAGCAATTCCACGGGAAGTGATCTGAAGAATTTTCGATGATTTTAGCAATATTAATAATACTTACTGAATTTGTTCCCTCATATACATGGAATAAAAATGTATAAAAGTTTTTTCAAAATTTTCAAAATTTTTTGAGTTACCGCTTACTCAAAATTTTGGTCGGTTTTTCAAAAAAGGCACATAACTTTTTTCTTTGTTAACCGATTAAGATAATTTTTTTTGGAAAATACTCATAATAAGAAGCACTTTAAAGAAAAAAATAAAAAGAAAAAAAAAAATTTTTTTTTGCCCGAAAAAATTTTAAAAAAATTTTTTGAATCAAAATTTTGAAAAAAATACCTCTTCGATTTGAAATTTTTTTTTTTGTAGTTATTGTCTATAAAGTCAAGAATCCTTCCTATAAATTTAATTATGGGACAACAATAACTTTACGAGAAAAAAAATAAAATGTCCAGCGCGGCATGCCGGGACTCGTGCATGTATTCGCTTATGGCGGCGCAAGTATCGTTCCAAATCACTCTACAAGTCACAATTTTTTGCCAAAACGATTTTTCTTTTTTTCTAAATCTTCGTAATTAAGTCTTCTATCGATCTCTCGAGCCCGGTTTTGAAATTTTGTTTTTAAACATTTTTTTAATAACAATAAATTTTAAAAAAATCATAAAATCGTAAACTATATTTTTTTCAGCTTCAATCATTCAGAAAATTAATCAAAAAACCTATTAAAAGAATGTTTGAGTGTTTCTGATGTATAACAAAAGTATACCAATTTATTAAATTGTTTAAACAATTAATTGTTATTTCTTTCCTAAACTGTACTTAAGGTTAGAAATTTCTAGTTTTTTCTCTATTGTTACAATTTTTCATGAGTAAAACATCTACTGATGATAAGAAAGAAAAAATTATTTATTATAAAACTGTTTAGCCAATGAATTGTTGCCATTTTTTTATAAATTGCACTTAAGGCTAAAGTTTCTAGTTTTTTCAAAGTACAATTCATTAAAAAATAGAAAACTATAAATTAAATAATAAGTTTCTAGTTTTAAGTTCAGTAAATTGAAAACTTTACAAAAAATAAATTGTTTAAACAAAAAAAAAATGCACAATTAAAAAAAACTAGAAGTTTCTAACCCTAAGTACAGTTTAGGAAAGAAATAACAATTAATTGTTTAAACAATTTAATAAATTGGTATACTTTTGTTATACATCAGAAACACTCAAACATTCTTTTAATAGGTTTTTTGATTAATTTTCTGAATGATTGAAGCTGAAAAAAATATAGTTTACGATTTTATGATTTTTTTAAAATTTATTGTTATTAAAAAAATGTTTAAAAACAAAATTTCAAAACCGGGCTCGAGAGATCGATAGAAGACTTAATTACGAAGATTTAGAAAAAAAGAAAAATCGTTTTGGCAAAAAATTGTGACTTGTAGAGTGATTTGGAACGATACTTGCGCCGCCATAAGCGAATACATGCACGAGTCCCGGCATGCCGCGCTGGACATTTTATTTTTTTTCTCGTAAAGTTATTGTTGTCCCATAATTAAATTTATAGGAAGGATTCTTGACTTTATAGACAATAACTACAAAAAAAAAAATTTCAAATCGAAGAGGTATTTTTTTCAAAATTTTGATTCAAAAAATTTTTTTAAAATTTTTTCGGGCAAAAAAAAATTTTTTTTTTTCTTTTTATTTTTTTCTTTAAAGTGCTTCTTATTATGAGTATTTTCCAAAAAAAATTATCTTAATCGGTTAACAAAGAAAAAAGTTATGTGCCTTTTTTGAAAAACCGACCAAAATTTTGAGTAAGCGGTAACTCAAAAAATTTTGAAAATTTTGAAAAAACTTTTATACATTTTTATTCCATGTATATGAGGGAACAAATTCAGTAAGTATTATTAATATTGCTAAAATCATCGAAAATTCTTCAGATCACTTCCCGTGGAATTGCTCCAATTCTTCCAATATTCGATTATTTTCTACAGTTTTCTACTAAACTTCATCTCTAAGTAAATTATTTTAAATAATTTTATTTTAAATACAATTGAAAAATTTCCAAACAATTGAAATTTGGTAAAATCTTTTAAAAATAATTAAATTTTTAAAAAATAGAAATAAAAATCAAATTTTTTAAGAATTTTAATTACAAATAGGACCATAATTTATCATAAATTTTAATAAATCTAAAACAGTAAATTTTTATAAATTTTTATTTACTTTGTTAGAAGATCTTAAAAAATTAAGATAAAACAATTCTAAGAATTAGTTTTTAAAAATATTTGAATGTAATTTTTTAAAAATAATTGAATTTCTTAAATGAATTTTTGTATAATTTGAAAAAACTAATTAATTTTTTAATGAATTGTTAAAAATTGTTAAAAATAATTATTATTTACTTTCCAAATTGTTAAAAATAATAATTATTTTTAACAATTTGGAAAGAAATTATGTTCAAAATTTTTAATTAAAATGCATGAATCGTAATTTATCGTAATTTTTTAAGATCTTGTAACAAAGTATGTAAATAAACATTTATAAAAATTTACTGTTTTAGATTTATTAAAATTTATGAGAAATTATGGTCCTATTTGTAATTAAAATTCTTAAAAAATCTTATTTTTATTTATATTTTTTAAATATTCAATTATTATTAAAAGATTTTACTAAATTTCATTTGTTTGGAAATTTTTCAATTGTATTTAAAATAATTTATTTAGAGATGAAGTTTAGTAGAAAATTGTAGAAAATAATCGAATATTGGAAGAATTGTTGTAGAAATTTTTAGATGTAATTAAATTTCAAAAGTTCTCAAATTGAACTGTTTTAAAATTTGAATTTCCGATAATTTCAGTAAATTTTTGGAAATATGTAATTAAAAATACTGAAAAAATTGAATTTTTAAAAATTAGAAGCTAATTTTCATTAATTTTTATTTTTAAATTTACATTTAAAGAAATTTTCATTAGAATTTTTGATAATTCAATTATTTTCCATATTTACAATTAAACTTCTAAAAAAGTTGATTTTCAAAAATTGTAACAAAATACTTGAAAAAAATTTATTATTTTCAATTAAATTGTATAAAATTTCAATTAGGTATTCCAAAAGATTTTTATTATAGATATATTTGAAAAATTAAATAATCTTAAAAAATGATTAAAGAATAATTTTTGAAAGATTTGTTTATAGTGGACTTTATACTAAAAATGTGGTATTTTGTTGCAATATTTGTAAAAAAAAGTCAAAAAAGTCGAAAAAGTCTCAATTTTCTTAATTTCCCTGACAACAAATTTTTTTTCTGTCATTTCCCTAACTTTACTGACAAGAATTTTATTTTACTGACATGTGGCCACTCTGATCTTTTTTAAAATAAAGAAAATAGAAATAGAAAAATACTAGAAAACGCTAAAATATTGAAATAATCAAAAATATTTGTCAAATAAAATAGAATTATACTCTTTTGTTAATACTAAAAATTGACAAAATTAAATATTACCTCGTATTTGGCAATGCAGTAAGTTAAAAATTGTTGATCGCAGGCATGATAAAATGTGGAGAACATCATGGTGAACAAGTAAACCAGGCCCTCTGTGTACAATTTTCGTTTTATTGCTAAAACAATAGCTGGCAGGAAGAAAGCATTACTTAGAGTAAGCAATAAAGTCATCAATAATACGGAGGATTCAAAACTAACATCCGTTGCATCGGTACATCCCCATCCTTTATATCCTGAAACAAAAATTATTTAATGAAACAAATTTTCTAATTAAACAAGAAAAGAAAACAATAATCAGTAAAAAAAAAAATAAATAAACTCACCTCCGAAACAACTGCATGAAGCATAAGCTAAAAGATCTTTATAAGTCTCTTGACAAACGCCATGCTCACCACAAGGATGATTATCAACAGGAACACATTGAGTGGTTTTTACATTTAAACAAACCAAAATTTGCTCCATTTCGCATCTAACTGGTTGGCTGTATTAAAAAGGAATATTTTAAATTTAATTTAAGAAATTTGTACCGTAAAAAATATATTTTTTTAGGTATGAAAAAATATACCCTGGCCTCGGATCGACTTTAACGAGCAAAAAAAGCCGCTTTAATCGATCAAAATTAAAAAAAAGCCAAAATTCCATTATTTTCCACAATTTTTAACTAAACTTCATCTCTAAATCAATTATCTATATTACTTTTTAATAATTTTCCGAAAGTTCTTCGAGAATTCAATTATTTAAATACAAAAATTCAACTTTTTATAATAATTGAAACTGACAATTTTTGTTTTTAAAGATATTAAGGTAGAATATTTTCAAAAATTTTAATAAAGAAATTCTTAAAATTAACTTCTTAAAAATATTTCTAAATAATTTTTGAAAGACAATAGTTTTTCAATTATAAGCTATTAAAAAATGTCCAAAAAAATCTTTTAAAAAATAATTGAAATTTGGTAAAATTTTTTAATTTGGTAAAATCATTGAAAAATAAGGGGCTGTCCATAAATTACGTAAGACATTTTTTTTGGAAAATTTGACCCTCCTCCCTCCCCCCTTTGTAAGATATTTTCATACGTTAGTGCCATTTTTCCTATTTTTCGTAAGATCCTGCTGACCCCCCCCCCCTCCCCCCTAAATTCGGTAGAATATTTTAAAAAATTTTAATAAAGAATTTCTTAAAATTAATTTTTTAAAAATATTTCTAAATAATTTTTGAAAGACAATATTTTTACAATTACATACAATTAAAATATGTATGTACAAAAATTGAAATTTGATAGGGGAGAGTGGGGCAAACCGGACCGGTCTCAATATTTCCAGTTTTAGCTTGCGTTTGTGTGACGAAGGGAGCAAAAGTTTTTTTTTTAGTTTTTTTTCTACACTTTTACGAATTTTTTCTTAAGGAAATTCTGAGGAAATCGTGTAATGTTTCCAAATATTAGGTCTTAGGTTTTGAAGGTACACACCTCAGGAATATTTACCACCAAAAACTTAGATGAATTTGCAAAGCGTTTCTTTTTGACAAACATTTATTCTCAAAATGGGCCTGTGGGGCAAATCGGACCGTTTTCGGTGGGGCAAACCGGCCATAGGATATTTCCATTGAATTAAACTTTCATAAAAATTATTATTTTTAAATAAAATGTTTCTTTCATTAAAATATTTACTTACAATGAAAAATAATTGTCTTCCAATCAGAATTGGACCCTTTAATATTGTAATGTTTCTCTGATAATGGCAAACATTTTTATTTTTTTATTTAAAAAAATATTTAAAATAAAAATCCCGTATTTTTATTTTCATTACTACAACCCTTCTTTACATGATTCTTTATGTTTTTTATTATTGTAGATTATGTAAATGCAAAATTATAAATAAAAAACCAAACGGTCCGGTTTACCCCACGGGGTGGGGCAAACCGGACCTTTTGCAAAATTTTTTAAACTTAACACAGCAACTAAACAATAAAAGATTAAGTATAGGTGTCTCTGGGAAAAAGTTGCGCAATTAAATGATCTTTCAAACAAGCCATCGAAAAATGAAATCGGTTGATTCGTTTAGTCACGAGAGTCAAAAAATCTTTTAAAATAATTGAGTTCTTAAAAACTTTAAAAAAAGTAATCAAATTTTTGAAGAAAATTAATGATAAATGATTTGTCTGAAATTTTAATAAGTCTAAAAAAAGTAAATTTTAAAAAATTTTAATTTTCTTTGTTTGAAGGTAATTGAATTTTAAAAAATTATTATAATAAAATTCTAAGAATTAGTTGTTTATAAATATTTTAATGTAATTTTTCGCAAATAATTGAATTTATAAAAAGAAGTTTTGTATAATTTAAAAAAACGAATTAATTTTTAGAAGAATTTTAATTAAAAATTTTGAACATGATTGTTTTCTCCAAAATGATTTTGTTATTATTACAAATAATATTAATTATTATATTTTGTATGTATTTGAATTTTCGGAAATTACTGTTTTCAAAAATATTTTAATATTATTTTTAGAAAATAGGTATGTAATTTCCATTTCTATGAAATTTACACTTGAAGATTTTGCATTAAAACTATTGAGAATTAAAATATTTTCAAAATTTTGCCAATTAAAATTCTTTAAAATTTGATTTTTGAAAATTTATAATAAAATACTTGAATAAAATCAATTAATTTCAATTAAATTTTGCAAAATTTCAATTATTCAAAAACTTTTTAATTGTATATTTCGAAAATTTAATTAGAAAAATTATTCATAAATAATTTTTCAAAGATTGCAGTTGATACTAAAAATGTGGTATTTTTTCTCAAAATTTGTAAGAAAAAAAGTCGAAAAATTCACAATTTTTTAATATAAGTCGATAAAAGTCGCATTATTTGAAAATAGTCGAAAAAATCAATAAAATTATATCCAAGGCCTGTGTACCGTAAAATATAAAGTTATACAAACTGTAATTTGTAGAAAATGTAATAAATGTAATAAAATAGAAAAAAAAATAAAATAAATAGCAAAAAAAATTTTAAGAGAAAGATTTTGCCTGAAAATATTTTTGTTAATAAAGTACATACCCATTTGAAGAACATTTGGCTTGAAAAGCAATGTACCAGGTGTCTGGCATTGGATATGGTATCATTATAGAGTCATTATGTTTTCCATAGGAGGATAAATTTAGCATTAATTTCTTCTCGTCGCAGGTAATCTTTCCCTTTACTCTCATTGGTTTTCTGCCTTGTCTAATGCATATTATTACCTCTATTGATTGTTCCGTCACCAACTGCAAATTTTTCCATTCTTAGTGAATACTCTAAATTAGTTAAAATACTAAACTTATATTTTGTACCTTTTCCACCTCCAAATGAATGTTAATTACTAAAATACCCCCAATGTCGACATTCGGTAATATATCGAATTGCGTAATTACTGGATAATCGTCTGTTAAAATGATCCACGATGTCAGCCACTCTTGTCCCTTGAAAAAAGTTTTTGAAAATTATTATTTAAATTAATTTTTTCCTTTAATAATTTAAATTAATTTTTAAATTTAATAATTTAAATTAATTTGTAATTTAATAATTTAATTAATTTTTCATTTAAATGATTTAAATTAATTTTGTAATAGTATTTGATTCCGCTTGGTATTAATTCATACCTGTAATAAATAGACATTCGAAAAAGTTTGCGGATGTTTAACTCTAGCGAGCTGAAATCTTGGAATACATGAGTCTTCCGGTTCAATACCCTCGTCTTTGTGTAAAGTCAATGCTGTTGGTTGCAGAAGATTTTTTTGCTCGTCCCCATCAAAAGAGTGTGTCCTGTTCTTATTAAAATTATCCACATATAATTCTGTCAATGATTCTTTCGGCAAATATGTTGCACTCAATAGAGTCTTCACAATCGATTTGTCTATTACTTTCACTGGACAATCTAAAAATAATAATTATTTATAGAAACTTTACAATTATGAATTATAGAAACATTACATTTTTAAATAATTAAACTTTACATTTTTAATACAAACCTTTTTGAAATTCAACAACTTTTCAAAATATTGTTATAAAACATGAAGATATCGATCACTCCGAGTCTTCGACTCGAAGTGATCTATTTCTTCATGTTTTATAATAATTAAAGATGAGTGAATGTTAAAATTATTATTTTATATTATAAGAATATTGTTACTGTAACTTCTTCATAATTTATTTAATAATTAAATAGTTTTTTTAAAACTAAATTCTCAAAGAATTTTATTAACAAATTTTTAAATAATCCAATTACTGTAAAGAATTTAATAATAAAATGTTTAAATAATTACATTTTTCGAGGAATTCAATTAAAATTGTATTAAAAATAATTGAATTTTATATTATAAGAATATTGTTACTGTAACTTCTTCATAATTTGTTCAATAATTAAATGTATTTTTAAAAACTGAATTCTCAAAAAGAATTTTATCAACAAATTTCTAAATAATTTCATTTTTCGATTCGATTAAAATTGTATTAAAAAATAATTGAAATCCTGAGATGAGTTTTATTATTTATAAAAATAAATAAATTTCTAATAAAAATTTTATTATTTATGAATATAATTAAATATTTCATTAAATTGAGGAAAATTTTTTAAAAAATAATGAAATTCCTGCACAGGATTTTATTAATTGTTTTTGAAAATAATTCAATTCCTGAGAAGAATTTAATTATTTATAGAAATATGTAATTGAATTCTTGTGAAAAATATGTAATTAATTTATAAAGAATAATAATTGAATATTTTCTAAGAATTTTTTTTTATGAAAACAAGAATTAAATTATTGGGAAAAGTTTTATTAAAATTTTTCAAAATAATTGAATTGTTTTGAAAAATTTTAGTTAAATTAAACAAATTTTTAAATAATTGAATTCTATTAATGAATTTTAATAAAATTTTTAAGAATAATCACATTTTTCGAGGAATTTGATTAAAATTTTATTAAAAATAATAGAAATTCTGCGATGAGTTTTATTATTTATGAAAATATAAAAATAAAAAATTTTTTAAAATAATTTAAATTTCGACAAGAATTTTATTAAAATTTTCCAAAATAATTGAATTTCTGCGAAGAATTTTATTACTTTTAAAAATAATTGAATTCTTTTGACGAATTTTTAAGAATAATTACATTTTTCGAGGAATTCGATTAAAATTGTATTAAAATTAATTGAATTTTTGAAAAGATTTTTATTATTTATGAAAATAATTGAATCTCTGTAAAAAATATTATTATTTATGAAAATAATTGAATTATTGCTAAGAAATTTATAAAAAATTTGTAAATAATTGAATTCCTCTGAAATTTGTATTATTTATGAAAATAATTAAATGTTTGCTTAGAATTGTATTAATTTTTTTAAATAATTGAATTCTTCTGGAAAATTTTTAAAAATAATTGGATTTTGGAGAAGAATTTTTTTTATAGAGATAATTGAAATTTTGACAAGAATTTTAAAAAAATTTTTCAACATAATTGATTGATTCTTTTATAAATTTATTATTTTTAATAAGTAATTAAATATATATTAAAAAATTTAATTAATTTAATAAGAATTTGAATTATTAAAATTCTTCAAAAATCGAAGTTCTTTAAAATTTCTATAATTAAATTAATTAAAAATTGAAAGTTTCTAAAATTTGAAATTAAAACCTTTTGAAGTTCATCTATTTATAAAAATTGTAAACGCAACTCTTTAAACATTCAATTAATTTTGAAATATTTAAGTAAAATTATTAACTAAATAATTTAAGTAATAATTTTATGATAGTTCTTCAAGAATACCATAGTATTTAAAATAAATGATTGTCAGAAACAGAAAAAAATGAAAAATACATAAATTCACTAGGTGAATAATTAAGTAAATATACATAAAGATAAGAAAATGACATTTAGTAATCCATTTGTTTCGAAAAATTTACTTGTACAGAATAATAATAAAAAAAAAATAAGAAAAGATAAAAAAAGATAAAAGGTAATAATAAAAAGTAATAAAAATATTTAAAAAATCATAAAGATAATAATAAAATATAAAAGCGAACAGGACACATACCACTTGTTATAACTTCAACATTGAAAGTTATTGTTGTATTTGAAATGACTAGCAAATAATAATAACTATCTTCATAGGGCGATAGTTCTGTAAAAGTGTATGTATCCGAATTTGTTAAATTTCCTATTGAACTTAGATGAGTGTGATTAAAAACAGGCAGAACTCGTGCTTCCAAAGCCAAACCGAGAATACAAGGTATTCGCATATCATTATCAGTTTTTCGTATGAAATTACAGCCCCATATTTGCACTTGAAAGTGCCAAGTTCCAGACGGAATGAAAATCCTGAAACGCCATAAAAACATAATCATTTACGTAAAAATGAAAAACAAAGAAAATTAAAAAAAATTTAATTTAAAAATCTCTTAAAGATAAAATTTAGAAATTATATAGTATTATTATAATTATTAATATTCTACGGTAGAAATTAAAGTATTTTTATAATTATTTCATTATCGTACTTGTAGTAAGAAATTGCTTCGCTGGTCTTCATCGTTTTCTGATAACCCAGGGGAATATTTTGTATATCTCCCATTTGATTCCAAAGTGCCACCGAGCCAATGCTGTATCTACATTTGTGACCTAGACCCTAAAATTTAATTTATTTGTATAAAGAAAATATTTAACAGTTGGAATTTCTTTTTTTTCAAAGTTGACGAATTTACGAGATTAAATTATTATTCACGAACTTTAATATCCTAGGTGCCAAAGGGATTAACGTCTGCGGAATTTCCCAAAGTAACAAACAGTCTGCTTTATTCTTTTCAATGAGTTAAACTTTAGTTTAGTGATCCGCCCATTTTAATGAGTTTTTAAGTATCACAAATACAGGTGACATCAATAAAAGTCGGTCCCACATGACAGGTATATTGAAAAGCGAGTCTACTGTTAATTACCTCTAATGTAATCCCTTTTTCTTGTTCAAAGGATTTAAAATTCAAAAGTCAAAATTAACAAAATAGAATTAGATTTTAATTTAATACTTTAATTCTTTTTCTTTAATTCTTAATGATTAAAATTTTTTATTCCCTTAAATTTATTTCTTAAAATTAGAATTTTAAATAATAATCATAAAAATTATTGTTAAAGAAGGTAGTTATTATTTCAATAAATGAAGGCAGTGATTTTTAATTATTTACCAATAAAAGAAGAATCAATATTTCACAATATTGATTAGTTTGACAAAATATTTACCTGTTGCTGTACTTTCTCGTCCCAATGCGACAAGTATGCACCTACAAACCAATCGCCAGGTAAGGGACTGTAAACAGGTATGACAGTGACGACTTTCGGTTCAAAAGTCGTCCAGGTAGACATTGAAAATGTGTGATTTCTATCAGGAACTACATGAGGAGGAAAAGTTGCATTTCTCTCCGAAATAACTGGATAACTACCCCATTGTAAATATCTGAAAGAAAATAAATCCCTTTTTATTTATTTTCTCAAATTAAATCCTGAAAAATAATTAAATATTCACACTCACATATGAACTTGTCTCGAAGGGCATTCCTTGCCGTCCATAAATGCAGCAAATTGCCAAGTTGCCCTGAGTACTTCTTTTGGAACGGAATAATGAAACATCGCAACGTCTACATAATTTTTAAAAGAATGTAACGATCCCTCTTGACTTGCTTGCGGTTCAACTGATTTAACACCTAAAATAAAACATTTACAAATTAGATATTATTTTTACAAATTTACAATTTACAATTATAATTTATAATTACAATTTACATTTACAATTTACAAATTTACAGATTCGATAGTTAAAAATTAAAAATTAAATACAATTCTTCCTCTCTGAGGAAGCGAAATAAATTTTTTTTCACAAAAATCAATTATGACAGTAAAGATATTCAACTTGATAAAATAAACAACGAATATTTTAATTAAAGAAAACAAAAATTTATCAAATTGTTGAATGCAAAATAACGATTCCAATGGGCAATAATCGCATTCCTTTTTTTTCTTATTTGACCTGAATTAAAATCTATAGAAAAAGTGACTTACATTTTATAACGAACAATAGGAAGAAAGTGTTGAATAAAACAGACAAAAAACAAGAGATCATTTTGTTTTTAAATCTCTTGAATAAAAAATATCCACGTAGACATTACTAAAATTTGATATAAAGAAAGAAATTTTTGACAAGCAGAAAAGAAACAAAGAGCAGAAATGTTTGGATCTGAGTTTATAAAAAACAATCTAGACGGGCAAACTTTTTTTATTTTCAAATACTTCAGAGACATCTGCAAAATTGATTCAAGCTAATTTGAATTATTACTAAAAACTGTATTTTTTCAAGAAAAATTAATCTTTTAATAATAAATTAATCAAATTTTTAATTATTACTATTATTAAGTGTTTAATTATAAAAAGTATAAAAGTACATATCATAAGTATGAAGTATTAAAAGTTAAAAGCATAAAGTATAAAAAGTATATAGTATAATATAAAAGTATAAAAAGTATAACACAAAATAAGTTAAACTACGGCTAATCAAACAGATCGCAATAACTGATTATTATAATTATCAAATAATTAGAATGAAAAGATTTCTTTCTAAACAAAGGGTGAATTGAATGCCACCCTTAGGGTGGAGCCACACCTCCAACAATTAAAATTGTCCACTAGCCTGCGAATAATTAAATTCATTCGCCGAGCCTTAATGACTTTTCGATTTTCAGCCAATCAGGAGCTTGTCCTTGGTGGAGGTGTGGCTAAGCCTTAAAGTGGGGCAATGACTCAGTGCCATCTACTCAAGGTTACTTATCGACGCTTCCCTTCTAGCAATTCAGTGTTTACGGTGAGGCAGACTGGAGATGTTTGTTGTAGAGCGGTTCAGTGTAGATTTTCATGTTTTAAATTATTTTTTGAATAAATTATTTAGCTAGTTTGTGTGTTTTTCATGCTGCAGAAGAATTGTTGAATATATAATTTGTGCATATAATCTAGAAATTGAAGGGAAATTTTGATTATTGAGCTTGCTTTTGAGTTTGTTTTGCGAGGACAATTTCACGATTGGTGTACGTCCTTTAAAACACTTTGCGCTTCCTCATAAAAATTTCAAGTCCTTTTTCTTATTTTCGTGATATTATAAAGTGCTAAACGAACATGTTTAATGAACAATATGAATAGAATAGTTTCCAGTGTTATTTTGTCACAGAATTCAATGTTTTGTTAGGAAAAAGTGAACCTTTACTTTTATAACCTGACTACGTAAGCAGAATTTGCATTGATGTGTCAATGCTCCTTTGACTAAGTTAGAAAGGTATGTTATTTATTTTGTTTTATTTATTTTATTTATTTAAATTCACATTTTTGTGTTTTCATTTGAATCTTTTTTCTGTTTTTTATTTACAAACTAATTTTAATAACAAGGAACGATCAACATGCGACTTGTTTCATTTTCGTATCACTAAATGTTTTGTTTATTTTCTTTCTTTGAAAGCATTTCGTTTAGATTTTTTTATACTGAAAATGATATTACAATTCAGAGATAATATGATTTTACTGGATTATATTCGTTTCGCTTTTCAGCAAGATTGTTTCTGACGTTTCATTCTTTGTTGGATAACTGTTATCGTACCTTGTCAGTGGAGCGTACGTATTGTTAAAAAAATATGTCTTCTCCCTGTGTAATTTTAATAGAAAAATACTTTTATTACCATTAATTTGTTTATTTAAAAATTTGCCTCTATTTTAGGTGACGAAAAAAAATGTATAAAATGGTAAATGCAAATTTTTACAAGTGAAAAGAATTCTAAACAAAACAGTTTTTGAAAAATATGAAAATTCCGTTTTATTTTAATTATTATGAACAGGTTTAAATTTGAAAAACCTTTAAAGAAAAATGAAGTAAACGAAAAAATAAACTCTAGGCTAATTTTCATTTTAGTTTTCAGATGTGACTGGCAATTTCGCTGGAGCAACATTTGTCATTTTTTTTCAATATTTATCTTCCAAGGATATAATTTAATTTTTTAAATCTTGTTTACAGTTTTTACACTTAGATCGTCACGATGTGGACTTCACAAAGTACTAATTCAACCGCCTCGAGTGCGACCACTCAAAATTCTTCAAATGCTCAAAATTTACGCACTTTAGGCATGACTTCTGCAATTAGTGTGGCAGAACCAAAACCTAGCGATATTACACGAACAAATGAGCTGAAGGAGGCTCTGAAACCTTATAATGTTTTCGAATCCGAAGAAGAATTAAATCACAGAATGGAAATTTTAAGGTAAAGTATTTTACTCGATTATAAACGATTAAATTCTTGAAAAAAACTGATTTATGAAAAATGGTTTTGAAAAAAATATAATTCTAATGTTTGCATTTTATTTGCAGTAAATTAAATGCTCTGGTTAAACAGTGGATTAAAGATGTTAGCATCGCTCGCAATATGCCAGTAAATTGCGCAGAGCAAGTTGGAGGAAAAATTTATACATTTGGATCCTACAGGTTAGGCGTTCATCACAAAGGAGCCGATATTGATGCACTTTGCGTGGTACCTCGACACATTAATAGAAACAATTATTTCACTTCATTCTTTGATTTATTAAAAAGTCAATCGGAAGTGACAGAATTAAGAGTGAGTTTCATTTCTATAAAATATTTCATTTTTTCCTTCTTATGATAAATCATTATTCATTTAAATTTACAAGGTTGTCACAGAGTAATTCATTTACATTTCAGAGTAATTCAATTATATTTACAATTTTTTATAAATTTCTTCTCAATAATTCAATTATTCTCATAAACAAAATTTTTTACATGGATTCAATTATTTTCATAAATAATAAAACTCATCGCAGAATTTCAAATATTTTTAATACAATTTTAATTTCAATTCTGTTGAAATTAGTTGAATTTTTAATATGCATTTAATATTATCTCCAAAATTTTAACGCAATTCATCGAAAGAAATCAATTATCTTGATAAATATCAAAATTCTTCCGAGAAATTCAATTGTTTTAAAGAATTTTAATAAAATTCTTTGCAAAATTTAATTATTTTCATAAATAATAAAATTCATAGCAGGATTTTAATTATTTTTTATACAATTTTAAACAAATTTCTCGAAAAAAGTAATTATTTTAAAAAAATTTTTTAAAATTCATTAGAAGAAGTCAATAACTTAAAAATTTGTTGATAAAATTCTTCATGAGAATTCAAATTTAACAAACATTCAATTATTCAATAAATTATTTTATTTTGAATTTAAATAATTGAATTTTTGTAGAATTTTATAATAAAAGTTAATTTAAAAATTAATTTCCAAATAATCGATTTATTATTTATGAAAATAATTGAATTCTTACAAGGAATTTTATTACATATTTTTCAAATAATTAAATTCTTTCGAAAAATTTTACTACTTGTAAAAATAAATTGAATTTTTGTGAAAGATTTTATTAAGATTTTTGTAAATAATTCAATTTTTTTGAAAAATTTTATGGTAATTTAAATTATTATAAGACATGAAGATATCGATCACTCCGAGTCTTCGACTCGAAGTGATCTATTTCTTCATGTTTTATAATAAAATTTTGATAAGTTGTTAATTTCAATAGGTTTGAATTTAAAATTTTTTTAAATCTTAATTCTTATGGAAAAATATTAATGATTAAATATTTATTTTTAATAAAACTCTTGATGTTTTCGAATAATTTTGCAATTAACGAAATTTGTAAATAAATGTAATAGAATTTTGAGTAATAATTTTTAGAGTGAATCAGAATATTCTTTAGGGTCAGAGAAAAAGACAAAATTTTGTCTGGAAGTCAGGGAAAAACAAAATTAAATATTTGTGGCAACTCTGTTTTACTTAATTTCGTTTCATTTCATTTTATTTCTTTCTATTCTATTATTTCTTTCTATTCTATTTTATTTCTACTTTATTTTATTTCTTTATTCTATTTTATTTTCCATTTCTATTTTTTAATTTATTTAATATTCTAATTTTTTTTGTTACTTTCAATCACCAGGCCGTTGAAGAAGCTTTTGTACCAGTTATCAAAATGAATTTCGATGGAATTGAAATTGATATGCTATTCGCTAAACTGGATCAAAAGGAAATTCCCGACGTAAGTGTTTCAAATACCTACAAAATTGGCGAAATCTAAATAAATAAAGAATTTAAATTTCTAAATTGAAATTTTACAAAAATTCCAAAACTGGAAACTAATTTTCTTCTCTTTACAGGATCTCAGAGACGATACTCTCCTTAGAAATCTCGACCCAAAATGCGTGAGAAGTCTTAATGGATGTCGAGTTACGGACGAGATACTTCGTTTAGTACCTAATATAGAAAATTTCCGCTTGGCATTACGAGCTATTAAATTATGGGCAAAAAGTAAGAATATTATCTAGAAATACGATTAGAAAATACGTAAATATTAACTAATTTATTCAATTTTTTAATTAATTGTAAATTTCAATTTTCAGAACATGGAATTTACAGTAACGTATTAGGATATCTCGGAGGTGTTTCCTGGGCAATGTTGGTCGCTCGTACATGCCAACTTTACCCGAATGCAGTGGCAGCGACTTTAATAGAAAAATTCTTCCTCGTATTTTCGCAATGGCAATGGCCGCAGCCAGTTCTTCTGAAGCAACCCGATAATGTTAATTTAGGATTTCCAGTTTGGGATCCGCGAGTGAATATAGGTGATAGATTTCACTTAATGCCGATAATAACGCCCGCGTATCCACAGCAAAATTCCACATTTAACGTTTCAATGTCGACGCGAACGATAATGCAAGACGCTTTTGAGAATGGATTGTCAGTGACGGAGGAAATAATTATGGGCAAAGCAACGTGGGATAAACTCTTTGAACCGCCAAATTTCTTCACTAAATACAAGCACTATGTTATTTTACTTGCAAGCAGTTTGCAAGCCGCCGATCAATTGGAATGGTGTGGTCTTGTTGAATCGAGAATTCGTCATTTAATTGGTCAATTAGAAAGATATCCAGCAATCACGTTGGCACACATTAATCCCGAGGCGTATCCACCACTTGAACCTGATCCTGAGAAACAGTGCTCAATGTGGTTCATTGGTTTGAGCTTTGCGAGAAGTGAAAATTTGAATGTCGATCTCACGTACGATATTCGAAATTTTGTCGATACCAGTAAGTGAATATTTTTAAAATTAAAATTTTTTTGGTTTTATTTTATTCAAGTGTTCTAATGTGTGTGTGTGTTCTTTTTGTTTACAGTTTATCGACAAGCTAATCAGAATAATTCTTTCAAGGAGGGAATGTTCATTGAAGCAAAACACGTGAAAAGGAAGGATTTAAGTGCATATGTTCCCACAGCGTTGCTTAAAAAGGAAAAGAAGGTATACTTCAAAAAGAATTAAATTTTTTATTGCAAATTCTTTCATTTTAAATTCAAGATTCTTTTATGCTAATTTACTATTTTTTCATTTAAATTTCACAGTTTTTATTTTAGTTTAACATTCTTATAATTTTAATTTAAGTCTTTTTAAAAAATATTGAAGGAAAAAATTTTAAAAACTTTCAAAAAATAAATAAAACAGAATAAGTAATAATAGAAAAAAAATTCTTTGAAATATTTAATTGCAAATAAACATTTTTTCAGCAGGTTTCTGGAGGTCTGCAAAGAAACGGAAGTATTGGAGGAATCTCGCCAAGGAGTCAAACTATTCTCAACAGAAAACGATTATCCGATCAAAATGTCGATGCAGTTAGCAAAAAAAGAAAAACACTTGAAGCCGAACAACAAATTACACAGGTATTTAAATTTTTGAATAAAATAAACGTCTTTTTTTGTATCTTTAATCGACTTTTTGCGCTTTAAAGTCGATCCGAAGCCTGCGATATTTAAATTTTTCCATAAATTTTTGATTGATTACAAGCCTCGGAAATTATGACTTTTTCGACTTTTTACGACTATTTTGGAATAATGCGTCTTTTATCGACTTAATATTGAAAATTCATTTGTCAAACAAACAAAAATCACTTTTAATATTGAAAAGTTGCCATTTTTTCGACTTTTCTTCCAAATTTTGCAACAAAATACCACATTTTTAGTATAAAATGCAACTTATTTGCAACTTATTTGCAACTTAGTTGCAAAAGTCAGTTTCTAATTTAAATTAGTAAACATTTTGTATAAAATACAACTTATTTAGATTTTTATAGTGTGAAAATTATAACTGTAAACAAATCTTTAAAGAGTTATTTTTGAATAATTTTTCTAATTAAATTTTTGAAATTAATTAAAAAGATTTTGAATAATTGAAATTTTGTAAACTTTAATTGAAAACAAATAATGTTTTTCAAGTATTTTATTACAATTTTTGAAAATCAACTTTTGAAGAATTTCAATTGCAAATTTTGAAAAAAATTGAATTCTCAAAAAGTTTAATGAAAAATCTTCAAGTATAAATTTAATAAAAATAAAAATTAATGAAAATTTGGTTGTAAAAATAATATTAAAGTATTTTTAAAAAAACTAATTCTTCGAATAGTTTTATCTAAATTTTTTAAAATTCAATTACCTTCGAACAAAGTAAATTAAAATTATATAAAATTTACTTTTTTAGACCTTTTAAAATTTCGGAGAAATCATTTATAATTACAATTCTTTAAAAATATTTTTTAAACACTCAATTATTTTGAAAAGATTTTATCAAATTTCAATTATTTTTTAAAGATTTTACCAAATTTCAATTTTTGGACATATTTTAATTGTAAGTAGTTGTAAAAATATTGTCTTTTAAAAGTTATTTAGAAATATTTTTAAAAAGGTAATTTTAAAAATTTCTTTATTACAATTTTTGAAAATATTCTACCTTAATAACCTTTAAAAACACAAATGGACAGTTTCTATTATTATAAAAACTTGATTTTTTTCATCGAAATAATTGAATTCTCGAAGAACTTTCGGAAAATTATTAAAAATTAATATAGATAATTGATTTAGAGATGAAGTTTAGTTCAAAAATGTAGAAAATAATTGAATTTTGGAAGGGTTATAGTTGTAATTTTTAGATATTAATAAATTTCAGAAGTTGAAATTTTTTAAATTTTATTTCTCGTGAAAAAAGAAATAAGAAGTATTTCAATATTTATTTAGCAAAATTATTCGTGTTCTGATTAATTGAATTTAGAAATCAGTGAAGAATCAGGGAAATACAAAATATAATTTTTCGTGACAACACTGAATTATATAAACATCTTTTTCGACTTTTTTTCTATTTTTAATCGATTAAAGCGACTTTTTTGGCTCGTTAAATTCAATCCGAGGCCTGTGATTACAAAAAAATACAGCAATTATTTTCATTATACTAAACAATAAATTCTTTTTTTCTCAGGGTGAAGATGGATCGTTGGTAGTGAATTGCGGAGACGACAGCAATTCTGGATTCAGTTTAGACGAATATAAACAAAATTTAACGTCTACGAAAGATGTTAGTCAAAATGATAATTCCAAAAGAGAAAAATTAACCTGTAGTTGAGATTTCTTTCCGATTCTAAATTAATGATTAATTTAATACAGGAGGGACCTGCAGGTGGGTCTGCCGTTGCACAGGAAGGATTTGTGTGCACTTGACCGCAGAGTAAATCTACCTCAAGACGAACGTCATACGCTCTGCTCGGCTGTTTGGAACGTAAAGACTTCTCGCACAATCATCCACTGCCCACTGTGTAAGTTCACAACACAAAACAACTCAATTTTTTTCTGACAATTACTAAAGTGTCAGTTAATAGTTAATTTATTTAAAAAAAAACATTAACTGTCAGCCTGAAAGAAAATAAGTCAGCAGCGAATTTACTTAAAGCGGATGAGAGTTCATATAATTCCCGTAAAATATTGACAATTTATTTGGATGTTCAATTGCATCCAAGAACAAAAACAATAGCCTGCATCTATCAGACTTTTATATAATTTTTAATTCTCTCCCCCCCTAAAAATGTGGTTTTTTGCATTCAATTTGCAATATACACATTTCGTGAAGGATTTTCTGATTTCCACGGAAATTTAGAGACATAAAAGAAGAGGTATAGAGGTTTAAATGAAGGTAATAGGAGATAAAAAAAAAAATTAAAAACAAAAAAAATTATAAGAAAAAAATATTTAAAGGTTTTTTGCGAACCTTCGAAAATAGTTCTATATGTATGTATTCGTCTATTTCATTCTAAAGATGACTTGTCAAATTTGTACATTTGTTATCATAAGGAGAAGTGTCTTTAGATGAAATAATTTTTTTTTCTGTCATAAAACTTCGATTTTTTGTATATAATTTAACTTAGCGTTAACTTGCTAAAAATGATATTTTTTTTTTTGCTTTCGCGGTGTTAGGACTACTTGAACGATTGCAGTGATGTCTTTTTGCTGAGATATTTCTGTCATTACTAATTTTTCGGTAGAATGTCCATTAAAGCACACTTATGCTTGCAACTATAAGCTCATATATTCGCATTAGGATTGCTGAATCTCCATCACAAAAAAGAGATCAGCAAAATTTCAAAGTAGGCTTCTATCTCATAGGTCAATTTAATCAATATAATGTTAAAGCCCCCCCCCACACAGTAAATTTTTTTTTCGCTAAAAATTATTTTCAAATTGAAAACTTTAATAGTATTTTTCGATTTGGCAAAAAAGGCGAATTTTCAAAATAGAAGAACGGGTTTTCTTTTAAGTATCATGATTACAATCAGTAAAATAGTGCTTTTATTTTCAAAAGATAAAAGTCGTCACAAGGAAAAATGTTCACTAACGAAACATTTTTTTCCTAAAAGAATTTATAATTTAACAAAAAAAATTAATTACGCAATTCTGAAATTTAAATTCATCTTTTCTTTCTTTTTTTCCAGTAATTGAAATTCAATCATTTTTTTGTTTATTTCTAAATGAAAATTTTGACTTTTCTTTTGTATAAAATATATTTCAATTATCATTGTTTTTTTGTTGATGAACAAGGAAAGTTTACTTTCGAAAGTGATTATGAAATTTAAGAAGTAAAAAAAATTGGGATAAAAGTCGAAAATTTTTGTCGTCGAAGCTATAAATCAGGGAAAAAAAATAATTGTCAATTTCTCGATTTAGAGTTTCTTTAAAATTTGACTTTTCTCCTCAGAATTCTCTTGAGAAATTATGCTTTTAGATGTTGTAATAAAAATACAGAGGGTTTTTTTAAATTTATTTTTTTAAATAACAATATATTTTTGTTTCTAATTATTGAAATCGAGGCGAATATAAAAAAAAAACGCAAAAAAAGTGCTAATCGCAGTATTTGCTAGGCAATTGTTTCTCTTTTTGTTAGTACAATTTTTCAGTTCAGATGACGACATAGAAAGTGTCAAAGAGCCAATATTTATCTGTTATTATTATTATTATTATTATTATTATTATTATTATTATTATTATTATTATTATTATTAATATTATTATTATGATTATTATTTTCATTATTAATATTAAAATTATTATTATTATTATATTGTTTAATTATTAAAAGTGCTAGAATTTTGTTAGCTTACTGAAGAAGAAGAATAATGTCTACTATAAAAGATTATATATTACTCTCGATTCAGTGGATCGTCTATAACAATAAATCATATTTGATATTTGATCCAAAACGTACCAATGATTCGAAAGAATTTTTTTTTTAATTCTCTTTTTTTGTTTATATAGAGACTAAATTTTTTTTAAAGCAGTGACAACGAAAAAATTTTGACGAACCACTTGTACGTTATTAATCTAAGAAAGTCGATTTGTTTTTTAGAATCAAGTGACTACTATTTCACACTAATCCCAAATCTTAGAGACCTTGGTATGTCTGTTTTTTGTGATTAATGATAAAGTGTAAATTATACTTTGATGTTATTAAGAAATTTGCAAAAAAATGATATTAATATTGATTTTAATGATTTTTGTATATTAAATAATAATAATGTAAGAAAAAATATACAAAAATTCATTTTCATCAATAGTTTAGAAAAATTATCCTAAAAAGTAAAAAAAAGAACAAAAAACCAAAAAAAAAAAATAAAATAAAAAATTTAATAATATAAGGCACTAAAAAAAATGTGTATGTAAAAAAAATGTCAAAAATATATCAGTCAATTTATTCATTGAAGAAAAATTTAGGACTATATTCAAATATGAGGCAAAATATTTTTAGAATTCTTTCGTTTTCTAATAAATTTAAATTGGAAAATTTAGAAGAGAAAGAAAAATAACAAAGAAAAATTTTTAAATATAGAATAAATTGTCAAAAAATGAATCATAAAAATGAAACGAATGAATCATAGAAATAAAAATATATGTAATAGAAATAAATAATAATAATAATGATAATAATAATTTTACAATTTTGTTAGTTATTAAAAAAATCGATATCACAATTTTGATGTGTTTCAATAAAAGTAATTTTTTTTCTTTACCGAAGAAATTAATTTTTTTTTAAGTTGAATAACATTCCCTAATAATAATAGAATTCTAAAGATATATTTGGCTCGGAGGAAACATTTTTTTTAACAAATTGACCATTAATGACTGATAGATTTTTAAATTGTTTTTACCAAATTGAGTATTGAGGTTTACTGCGAATACTATATTATATAAAAATATTATTATTCCCTCATTTGAAAGATATAAGTGGCGATACACGAGAATCCTTTATTTATTAGTTAAACTAGATTATATGATCTGATAATATCTGTACTATGTATCTTTCTTGAATAAAAAAAACAATAAATTTTCTTTTATCACCTTCATCAAAAAATTTGCGATGACTTCTGATTTGATTATTTGAACAGAACTTTCATAAATTTCCATAAATTAAATTAAATAAATTGAAAAAAATAAGTATAAATAAAAATGGATAAAATAAAATAATAAATTAAATAAAAATAGATAAAAATAAAAAATACAAAAAAAAATTAATTTCTTATTACTCGCTTAAGGTTCTTTTCAAATATCATTCAGAAGTCGCTTGTTCTATTTCACAAAAGCCCTTCCCGAAAAAAATCCAAAAACTTAATTCAATTTTAATAAAAAAATTATTTTTCCGAGATTTATTAAAAAAAAATGTTGTCTATAGGTAAAAAATAAAATTTAATTTAATAGAGAATTTTAGAAGATAAATTTTCAAATTTCTTTTTTGATTTTTTCCCATTATTATTGTTAAGAAAAGTATTTGAAAGATGGGACGATAAAGCGCCTGTGCGTGATTTCGAGCTTTGGGAAGAAATTTTCAAAGCAACCAGTTGAAAGCAGAACATCACGTGGATCGCTTTAATTTATCAACGACAACAAATCATTTAAAAATTGTATAGTTCTTTTTTAATTGGAAAAATTTGCCAAAAAAAAATGAGATACAAGCATATTATTATCGTTGGTGTTACTCTAATTTTAATTGTTTCTTTACTTTCTGGACTATTGTATTACTTCAATCAAGGTAAGTTTATTATTTATTTATTTAATATTTTTATTTAACATATTTAATAAATATTCGTCAGTTTCGTTTCACAACAAAATTATTATTTCCACTAAATAGTAAATTTTTACAAATTAAATGAAATTAGCAAATAAATATTTGCTAATTGTATTTAATTTGACAATATTTGGACTTGCATTTGACAATAATTTATTATTAATATTTATGTATCAAAAAATTCAAGTTCATTTTGTATTCAGAAAATATAATTATGTGGTTAATTATCTTTGCGTTAGAATCGTAAAAATTACAATTTACTAAGAAAAATTTATTTAAAAATAAAAATTTCAAAAATAAATAGATAATACATAACTTACTGTTATTCAAATTGTTGCAAGAATTATTTATTTAATCACTAAACGGAAAAATATAATTTACATTTGTAAAAACATAGTTTATAGTTGTAGGGATATAATTTACAATTGAAAAAATATAATTTACCATTGAAAAAATATTATTTACAATTAAAAAAATATTATTTACAGTTGTAAGAATATAATTTGCAATATTGTTACAAAATAATTTATAATTAAAAATAAAATTTTAGAATGAAAAAATATTATTTACAACTAAAAAAAAATTTCCAATTGAAAATATTATTATAAATTCTTGCAATAACATCATTATTATAATTATAATAATAAATTAATAAAAATTAAATTTCAAAACTAAAAATAAAAAAATTGTCAATTGAGCCAAGAGTGAAAAAAATTTAAATAATTTTCTTCAATTTTTTTCGTCGAATTGAAAGAATATTAAAAAGTCCACGTGTGACTCAAAAATAATATATAACTATATATCGTAAAAAAATATGATTGGGGAGAGAAAAACAAATTAATCTGAAATCCACGAGAGTTTTTTAAGAACGTGTTTCTAAAGAAGGGAAGAAAAAAAAATAAAACTTACCCATCAACCCTCTGCAAAAGTAATCAAATTTCTAAATATACTTTTTAATATTTCTATACATACTTTTTGCTTATAATAATAATCAAGAGGAGAAAAAAAAATAAAAGAAATGTGTAAAAAATTTAATTGACATATAATAAATTAGAATAGAAATGATGCCATTTCCCCATAACGTTTTTTAAATGCGTTTCATTGAATTAGACTTCGTCAAATAATCAAGAATAATCAAGATCATTTGACTTCATATGAAGAAACTACGATTTCAAGAGCAAATGTCACACAATGTCTAACAAATGGAGCTAAATTGCAATTTTTGAATCGCTTTACTTGAAAGTTTTCACGTGTGTCGGTCGATTATCTCAAAATTGCAATTTATTATACAAATTAGTCTTAAAAAAAAATTTCCTGATCTTATAATTTGGAGAAAAAAGTGTTAAAAACTCATTCTAAAATTTTTTTTTATTTCATGTTTTTTAATGAATTCACTAATTAAATTATTTAATGTAAACAAGAAAACCACAGGTTCATTAATTCCATTTTTGAGAAAATTTCTTTTTAACAAGAGCACAATGATATTAATTATTATTATAATTATATTTATGCGCACCCAGAAAAAAGATAACTCAGAGCCAACTAGACTTTTTATTTGTTCAAATAAATTTTATTTCGTTTAAATAAAACTTTTCTCTGGATGTATTAATTATGTTATTGTCTAGTAAATATTTTATTATTTATTTACTTATTAATATTATTATTATTGTTATTATTATTATTATTATTATTATTATTATTTGAATTTTTATTTTATTTTCATAATTTTAATTAATTTTTCAATTATTATTATTATTATTATTATTATTATTTTAATTAACGTTTTTTTCTCTTTTTCTCCTCAAAATTAAAAAATCCAAAAAAAATTTTTGTTTGAGACTAAATTGTATTTTTAAAAATAATTTTGTTTGTTTTTTTCACTAAATTACAAAAATTTACAGATAAATGTTCAGTTGGATCATTTCCTTGCGCAAATAGTACAAAATGCATTCTCCAACGACATTGGTGCAACAAAAAATTTGATTGTCCTGGAGGTGATGATGAATCCGAAACAGAATGTTGTGAGTAATTACTGTAATTTTTTCTGAATTAAAAATTTTTTTTAAACAAAAAAAAAAAAACACTCAAAAATTATTATAACCAAATGCAGTTAATTATTACATTAAATTACAAAAAAGATTAGAAGAACAAATTTCTTCAAAAATGTAATTAATAGTTAATATAAAAATATATTCACAAAAATATTTTTCATTAATAATTTTTATTCTTTATTTTTATATTTACCTAAATAAATTTCTATTTCAATAATTTTTTATCTCTAGTTTAAAAAATGGATTGTATTTATAATTAATATCTATATTCATTATTATTTATAATAATATTTTATATTAATTTATTTATAATTAATTCACAATAATATTTATAATAATAATTTGTGTTTTGAAAATTAGCATTTTTCGTGAAATAAAAATAAAAATAAAAATTTTGGGCCTATTTATAATATATGCTTAAATTTTCTAATTAAAATAATTTTGCAGTCGATTTGAATGGAGATTGGGACAATATATACAAAGATTATTTAAAGCCACAAACACCTCCACCGACATGTGGCAAGTCTTTTAAAAACTAATTCTAACTAATTCTTACTTCCTCTTTTTTATTTTAAGAATATTTATTTTTATTTTGAAAATTATTTTACATATTTTGAATCTATTAATTTCATTAATAATAACTAATTAATTAATAAAAATAATCCATTGATTAATTAGTTGTTATTAATTAAATTTATTGATAGATTCAATTATTAAAAGTATTTTTTATTAATTTTTAAAATATACAATTTTGCAGAATCAGTTAAAGCTCCACCACGATGTAAATTTAAACAATGCCTCGTAACATGCCACGAACAAGAAGAAATACCTCCAAATTTTTCAGTCAATGTTACAGCAATGTATATCAATTTTACTTAAATTAATAAATTTTAATCTCTAATCTTATTAATTAGATATAATAATTTAACAATAATAAGTAAATTTTATTTTTAAATCAAAATAAAAAAATTTCTCCATTTATTAATTATACTTTTTCTACAGAGTGATGAACAATAATTTTTTGACTCATTTATCAGCGAATGTTTTTACCAATTATACGAAATTACAAAAATTGTGAGTGTTTCTTAAAATATTATAATAATAACATATCACATAAAAATTAAAAAATTTATTATTATTAATATATTCATTTTTTTAGATTACTGAAGAATAATTCAATTTTTCATTTAGAAATAGGAACATTTAGAAAGCAGACTCAATTAGAAAATTTGTAAGTTCAAAATTTACCGTACAGTACTATCTCTTTAGGAAATAATTATTAATTACAGGTACCACTGTATTTCTAATTTTTTTCTTTCAGAATTTTAACTAAAAATTATATTCGTGAGATCCATAAAGGACTCTTTGCAGGTTTAGTTTCTCTGCAAAGATTATTTATTAACGAAAATAGAATTTCAGTGGCGAATTTCTCTGATTTTGAAAACAGTACCTCACTCGGGTGGTTGTAAGTAAAAAAAAATATTTAATTCATATGGAAAAAAATAAGATTCACTTTATTTACTTTACTGAAAAATAAATAAATTTAAAAATGAATAAATTCAAAAATAAAGAATTCAAAAATAAATAAATTTAAAAATAAATGAATATCTAAATTAAAAAAAAATCTCTTTTTACATTTTAATTACAAACATTCACTAAATTCGAAATTAAATATAGTTAAAAAAATCTAACAGTTTATTTAAAAAATAAATTAGAAGGAAATGTTTCCGGTGAAGAAAAGAGGATATCGTAGGCGATTTTAATTCTATAAATCGATCAAGAGAAAATTTGAAATCTAAATGTAATCAACCAAAGTGAATTCTACAGTTTCGTGAAATTAACATTTTCTAAAAAAATCTAATCGCTAAGTTACAATGTTTTTTTTCTAATTGACAATTAAAAATGTTAAATATTTATTATAACTTAGTAAACAATTATGATAATTATTTCAGAAACTTGAATAACAATTCTATAACTGTTAAAAAATTGTCTCTTCCATATTTGCCAGTACTCGATCAATTGTGAGTAAAAAAAAATAATTAATCTTGCCATTCTGTAATTTAATTATTTAATTATTAGGTTATTAGTTATTATTTAATTTAATTATTTATTTATTAGATTAAATTAGTAATCATTTAATTTAACTAATTTCATCGCGAATAATTCCTATCGCAGGTACTTGGATGAAAACAATTTAGAGGAAATTACAGAAACTCTATTCGCAGGATTACCAAAATTAAAAACCTTGTAAGTTAAAAAAAGAAACATTTAATCTCTATAACTCATTATTTTAAAATAATTTTTTGATAAAAATAGGACAAGAAAAAATAACTTTTTGATATTAAAACATGAATAAAAAAGTAAATAAAATAAACATTTAAATAAAAATTTAATAAAAAAAGTATAAATAAATTAATTAATATAATTAATTATTAACTGACAATAATTAACATAATTTTATTTATTAGAAGCCTAGAAGGAAATAGAATAAAAAGTATTCATAAAAATGCTTTTCAGCATTTTGAGAATCTCACCGAGTTGTAAGTTTTTAATTCATTTTATTATTATAAATATTGAATCTATTTTTATTAAAATAAAAATTTTATCTATTTTTATTGATACAAAAATTTGTAATTTACAAATTATTTCGTATAAAATTGAGTAAAATAAAATTCATAAATTCATAAAAATTTTTACATATTAAATTTTTAATAATAAATACATTTTTTCGATAAAATTTTAAAGCAAAAATACAATATTTTTTTAATCTCACAGAAATTTGTCATACAACAAAATAACAAAAATAGAATCAACACTTTTTCAACCTCTCATCAGTATTAAAAAATTGTAAGTATTTTTTATAAAAAAAATCTCTTTTTTATAATATTTAAAAAATATAATAAATGAATTCAAAATTCGTTTATATTCAGGTTATTTTATTTACCTCATTAATAAAACATGTTTAAAAGAAAAAAGAAAATACGGAAACATCGATAATAAGCACGTTCCTACTAATTACAAAATCTCCCACAAGATTATCTCAAAATCATATATACAAACTATTTTCATCTGCTTGTCACGTATTTCCGCATATTATGTCTCTATTGTTTGGAAATCCAAATACAATCAAAAGTAAACTTTCCAATTTTTTTAATGAAAAAAAAAAAATTTAATGAAAAAATGAATAAAAAGTATCCGTAAAAAAAATTAATTTGAATTCAAAATTTCAAACAGTTGATCATATAAAAAATTTGATTAATTAATTTGACTATAGATATAATTAAAATATTAAATTAATTAATTTGATTATAAAATTAAATAATTAATTAAATATTTTGAAATTTAATATTTTAATTTCTATATTTTTCGAAAACAATTCATTAATTAGATCAATCGGATATAACTCTATTGAGAATTTTCCTGTGACTGCATTTGATACTCTCAAAGATTTAAGATCACTGTAAGTATTCTGAAATAATTATTTGAAAATTTAAAATAAATTGGAAAGTAATTGTTTTTATCGATAATTTCACAGAGGAATTGAAGACATTGACTTGAATAGTTTCGAGAAAAACTTTTTTAATCTTTTTCCAAATTTGAGTTTCATGTAAGTTAAAGTGACTCTAAATTTAATTCTATAAATTTAATGTTTTTTTTAATTATTACGAAATAATTATTATTACTATACTAATTATTTATAGAGTAAATAATATTTCTACTCTAATTTTTCAGCTACTTTAAAAGATTTCAATACTGTTCCATGTTCGCTCCAAAAGTAAAAAAGTGCCGCCCAATAAGCGATGGTAATTTTTTTTCTCAATACTTCATTTTAATTTAATTAAATATTCGAATTGCTCGTTTTAATATTATAATTTCTCATAAAAATTATTCATCAGTTTTTCTTTCCTAAAATTATTACTCAATTTTCGCTAAAATTATTCTTCAATTTTACTTTCCTAAAATTATTCCTACAATTTTCCCTAAATTTCTTCTTCAATTCTACTTTCCAAAACTTATTCTTCAATTTTTCTTTCCTAAAATATCATTTCTAAAATTTTTCCTAAACTTAATCTTTAATTTTTCTTTTCTAAAATTTTCCCTAAATTTCTTCTTCAATACTTCTTTCTGAAATTTTCCCTAAATTTTTTCTCCAATTCTTCTTTCTTAAACTTATTCTTCAATTTTTCTTTCCTAAAATTATTCCTAAAATTTCTTTTCTAGAATTATTCCTGAACTTCTTCTTCAATTTTCCTTCCTAAAATTTGGTTTCTAAAATTTTTCCTAAACTTAATCTTTAATTTTTCTTTTCTAAAATTTTCCCTAAATTTCTTCTTCAATACTTCTTTCTGAAATTTTCCCTAAATTTTTTCTCCAATTCTTCTTTCTTAAACTTATTCTTCAATTTTTCTTTCCTAAAATTATTCCTAAAATTTCTTTTCTAGAATTATTCCTGAACTTCTTCTTCAATTTTCCTTCCTAAAATTTGGTTTCTAAAATTTTTCCTAAACTTAATCTTTAATTTTTCTTTTCTAAAATTTTCCCTAAATTTCTTCTTCAATACTTCTTTCTGAAATTTTCCCTAAATTTTTTCTCCAATTCTTCTTTCTTAAACTTATTCTTCAATTTTTCTTTCCTAAAATTATTCCTAAAATTTCTTTTCTAGAATTATTCCTGAACTTCTTCTTCAATTTTCCTTCCTAAAATTTGGTTTCTATAATTTTTCCTAAACTTATTCTTTAATTTTTCTTTTCTAAAATTTTCCCTAAATTTCTTCTTCAATACTTCTTTCTGAAATTTTCCCTAAATTTTTTCTCCAATTCTTCTTTCTTAAACTTATTCTTCAATTTTTCTTTCCTAAAATTATTCCTAAAATTTCTTTTCTAGAATTATTCCTGAACTTCTTCTTCAATTTTCCTTCCTAAAATTTGGTTTCTAAAATTTTTCCTAAACTTAATCTTTAATTTTTCTTTTCTAAAATTTTCCCTAAATTTCTTCTTCAATACTTCTTTCTGAAATTTTCCCTAAATTTTTTCTCCAATTCTTCTTTCTTAAACTTATTCTTCAATTTTTCTTTCCTAAAATTATTCCTAAAATTTCTTTTCTAGAATTATTCCTGAACTTCTTCAATTTTCCTTCCTAAAATTTGGTTTCTATAATTTTTCCTAAACTTATTCTTTAATTTTTCTTTCCTAAAATTATTCTTCAATTTTTCTTTCCTAAAGTTAATCAAAAAATTTTTTTTCCTAAAATTATTATTCTTTAATTTTTTTTCCTAAAATTATTCCTACAATTTCATTTCTAAAATTTTCCCCAAACTTCTTCGATTTTCCTTCATAAAAATTTGGTTTATAAAATTTTCCCTAAATTTCTTTTTCAATTTTCCTTCCTAAAATTTGGTTTCTAAAATTTTTCCTAAAATTATTCTTCAATTTTTATTTCCTAAAATTATTCCTAAAATTTCTTTTCCAAAATTTTTTCTAAATTTCTTCTTCAATTCTTCTTTTTTAAACTTATTCTTTAATTTTTCTTTCCTAAAATTTTTCCTAAAATTATTTTTCAATTTTTATTTCCTACAATTTCTTTTCTAAAATTTTTCCTTACCTTTTTTTCAATTTTTCTTTCCTAAAATTTTTCCTAAACTTCTTCAATTTTTCTTCCTATAATTTTTCCTAATCTTATTCTTTAATTTTTCCTAATTTCTTCTTCAATTCTTCTTTTGTAAACTTATTCTTTAATTTTTCTTTTCTAAAAATTTCCCTAAATTTCTTTTTCAATTTTCCTTCCTAAAATTTGGTTTCTAAAATTTTTCCTAAAATTATTTTTCAATTTTTATTTCCTACAATTTCTTTTCTAAATTTTTCCTTACCTTTTTTTCAATTTTTCTTTCCTAAAATTTTTCCTAAACTTCTTCAATTTTTCTTCCTATAATTTTTCCTAATCTTATTCTTTAATTTTTCCTAATTTCTTCTTCAATTCTTCTTTTGTAAACTTATTCTTTAATTTTTCTTTTCTAAAAATTTCCCTAAATTTCTTTTTCAATTTTCCTTCCTAAAATTTGGTTTCTAAAATTTTTCCTAAAATTATTCTTCAATTTTTCTTTCCTAAAATTTTTCCTAAACTTCTTCTTCAATTTCTCTTTCTAAAATTTTTCCTAAACTTATTCATTAATTTTTCTTTTCTAAAATTTATCCTAATTTCTTCTTTAATTTTTCTTTTTTAAACTTATTCTTTAATTTTTCTTTTCTAAAATTTCCCCTGAATTTCTTCTTCAATTTTCCTTTCTAAAATTTGGTTTCTAAAATTTTTCCTAAACTTAATCTTTCATTTTTTTTCTGAAATTTGGTTTCTAAAATATTTCCTAAACTTATTCTTTCATTTTTCTTTTCTAAAATTTTCCGATAATTTCTTCTTTAATTTTTCTTCCTAAAATTTGGTTTCTAAAATTTTTCCTAAACTTATTCTTTAATTTTTCTTTTCTAAAATTTCTTTTCTGAAATTTTTCCAAAAATTATTCTTCAATTTTTCTTTCCTAAAGTTTTTCCTAAACTTCTTCTTCAATTTTTCTTCCTAAAATTTTTCCTATACTTATTCTTTAATTTTTCTTTTCTAAACTTTTCCCATAATTTCTTCTTCAATTTTTCTTCCTAAAATTTGGTTTCTAAAATTTTTCCTAAACTTATTCTTTAATTTTTCTTATCTAAAATTTCTTTTCTGAAATTTTTCCTAATCTTATTCTTTAATTTTTTTTCTAAAATTTTTCCTAATTTCTTCTTCAATTTTTCTTTTTTAAACTTTTTCTTTAATTTTTCTTTTCGAAAATTTTCCCTGAATATCTTCTTCAATTTTCCTTCCTAAAATTTGGTTTCTAAAATTTTTCCTAAACTCATTCTTTAATTTTTCTTTTCTAAAATTTCTTTTTTGAAATTTTTCCTAAAATTATTCTTCAATTTTTCTTTCCTAAAATTTTTCCTAAACTTCTTCTTCAATTTTTCTTTCCTAAAATATCTTTTCTAAAATTTCCCCGAAACTTCTTCTTCAATTTTTCTTTTCTAAAATTGGTTTTCTAAAATTTAATTTCTAAAATTCTTCCTAAAATAATTGGTGAAAGAATAACTAAAAATCTAATTATGTTAATGTAAATATTTTTTATAGGCGTTTCATCTCTATCACATTTATTAGGAAAGCCAGTATTAAGAGCTGCTGTTTGGGGAATTTCTTGTGTCACGTGTTTGGGAAATGCTCTCGTTCTTTGGGGAAGATTGACTGCCAAGGATGAAAATCGGGTCCTCAGCATTGTCATCAGACATCTTGCAGGTAATTTTTCAATTTGACAGAAAAAAAATTCAAATTTACAACGTCGTAAAAAAATTCTTTTAAATAATTAGATCAGTAATGAAAAAATTAATTTTTTTTCTTTTTTTTTCAGTATCAGATATGCTGATGGGGATTTATCTTCTAATAATTGCTCTGGAGGATATTCGATTTCGTGATAATTATTATTTAGAGGCAAGTTCTTGGATGTCCTCGTGGTCCTGCACTTTTATCGGAATTGTCGCAATGACATCCTCGGAGGTAAAAATATATTTATTTAACAATAAAAAAATAATTAAAAAAATTTTAGCAAAATTTAATTGAAAATATTCGCAAAAAAACTAATTAAAAATAAAAAGAAACTGTTGAAAAGATTACTTTAATTTTCTTCTTTATTTTTTTTTAATTTTAAAATTAATTTTTTATTTTACTTTCATTGTCCATAATTTTTTCCGCATTTATATTTGCTTATTAGCCTTGATTTGTCACTAGAACAAACTATATAATTACATCCAATTTTTACTAACCCCATTTTAGTCCTAATTTCACCTCCAAAGCTAAATACCCATTTTAAGAGTTATTTTCCTTTTTTTCTGCCTAAAAGTCTCTCCTTTTTTCACTCTCTCACTTCAAGGATAATATAAAATAATTACAAAAGAATTTAGACAAGTAGAACATAGAATTATTTCAATAACTATATTTTCAGAGACTCGCGTTCACATATATGCGTATAAAATATTTTATTAGCCAATAAATTTGCATATAGTTGAACATTAGAAACAAAACGAGATTAACGCTAGAATGTAAATTTTACTTTTTAACTATTTAGAAGGTATTTGTTAATATTTCATTGTATATTGTATGTATATAGTATGTGCCTATATTTAAGAGAAGTATATATGAGAAAAAGAAGTGAGAAACTGTCGAAATAATAATTATAATAATAGTCTCGAAATGGTGTGCAATTGATTCCAAGAAATGTTTAACTTCACAAGTCAGAATCCACACATACTTAGAGTAAATAATTTTTAAAATTTTATGTGTAGTTTTTTTTGTTTTTTCTCAAAGGTATCTGTACTGATTTTGTCATTCATGTCGGTGGAGAGATTTATGATAATTGCAGCTCCCTTAAAAAGTCATCGAGCATTGACTCCGAAAGCTGCTTCATCCTCAATGATAATTGTCTGGATTACGGGCATAACTCTCGCTCTTATTCCAGGTAATCAAAGATTTTTATTTTTTCTTACTTTATTATTTTCTAATTTTTTATTGTTCCATACTATTTTTATTATTTTATTATTTTTATTTTTTATTATCTCTCTAAATTTATAGTTTTTCTAAGGATATCAAATTGAGATAAAAAATGAATCAAAAGTGTTGCTTTGCAACACTTTTCATTCGTTTTTTATCTCAATTTGATATCCTTAAAAAAACTGTGTTTGAATTTAAATAAAAATGTTTACTAATTAGGAGTAGTGAGTTAGTGACTGTCTTTTTGCTTTTGATTTAGTAAATTTTACATATAAATTAGCAGAAATTCCTATTTCTTAGTAAAATTTACTAATTCAAAAGCAAGTAATCAGTTTCTAATTTAAATGAGTAAACATTTTGTATTTAAAAATTGATAAATTAATGACTAATTATTGCAGGCCTCGGATATTATGACTTTTTCGACTTTTTACGACTATTTTCGAATAATGCGACTTTTATCGACTTATATTAAAAAATTGCGACTTTTTCGACTTTTCTTTCAAATCTAGTATAAAATACAACTTACTTCGATTTTTATAGTTTGAAAATTATAACTATAGACGAATTACAACTATACGAAGACATTAACTTAAAAAACCACCAAAACAGTTCTTATAGTAATTTTTCGAGAGAAATTCAATAGTCATAAAATAAATTGGGTGAAAAATTTTGTTGACCAAGTGGTGAAAAAATTTGTATTTAAAAAAAATTGTTATTTTTCATAAAACATTAAATATTTTAAAACCCATCAGTAAATTTGAAGAAAATATCTTTCTTTATCTAAAAAAAGTTTTTACACCTCAAAATTTTAATATTTACTATTTTTGAAGCATTTTTTTGGAAAAAAATTCATTTCTTATCAAATAAAAAGTGATTTTTATAATTAAAATGGTAAATTTAAGTAAGAAAAAATCATTTAAATTTGTATAAAGTTATTTTTGAAATTCAAAGAATATTTATATTTTTCGTGAAAGATAAAAATGTTATGTAATAGGATAATTCACTTTTTTATTTACATTTAAAAAAAATCAATTTTTTTCCAAAAAAAATGCTTAAAACATAGTAAATATTAAAATTTTGAGGTTTAAAAATTTTTCTAGATAAAGAAACATATTTTCTACAAATTTACGAATGGGCTTTAAAATATTTAATTTTTTATGAAAAATAAAAAATTTTTTTAATAAAATTTCTTCACCAGATGGTCAAACAATTTTTTGACCCAATTTATTTTATGACTATTGAATTCCTCTCGAAAAATTACTATAAGAAGAAGAAGAACTTCCTCTTAAAAAGATTTTGAATAATTGAAATTTTGTCAAATTTAATTGAAAATAAATCATTTTTTCAAGTATTTTATTATAATTTTTAAAAATTAACTTTTAAAGAATTTTAATTGAAAATTTTCAAAATATTTGAATTCTCAAAAATTTTAATAAAAATTCTTCAAGTGTAAATTTACTAAAAAGGAAAATTAATGAAAATTAGGTTGTGAAAATAATATATTAAAGTATTTTTGAAAAAACTAATTATCAGAATTTTTAAAATTCAATTATTTTCAATATGTTCGATTGTAATACATATTTCCAAAAATTCAAATACATACAAAAAATAACTTTCAAATTTTTTACAATCATTTTTAACATTTTGGAGAAAATAAACATAGGTATTCAAAATTTTTAATTAAAATTCTTCAAAAAATTAATTAGTTTTTTTTAAATTATACAAAAATTCTTTTTATAAATTCAATTATTTTCGAAAAATTACATTACAATGTTTATAAAAAACTAATTCTTCGAATTGTTTTATCATAATTTTTTAAAATTCAATTAACTTTGAACAAAGTAAATTTAAATTTTTTTTAAATTTACTTTTTTAGACTTATTAAAATTTCGGAGATATCATTTATAATTAAAATTCTTCAAAAATTTTATTATTTTTTTATATTTTTTAAAATCTTAATTATTTTTCAAAGATTCTACCAAATTTCAATTATTTTTTAAAAGATTTTACTAAATTTCAATTTTTTGACATATTTTAATTGTTTGTAATTGTAAAAATATTGTCTTTCAAAATTTATTTAGAAATATTTTTAAAAAGGTAGGTAATATTTATAATTTCTTTTTAAAAATTTTTGAAAATATTCTACCTTAATAATTTTTAAAAAGAAAAATGGACAGTTCCTATTATTATAAAAACTTTAATTTTTGTATTAAAATAATTTAATTATCGAAGAACTTTCGGAAAATTATTAAAAATTAACATAGATAATTTATTTAGAGGTGAAGTTTAGTTCAAAATGGTAGAAAATATTTGAATTTTGAAAGGTTAATGTTGTAATTTTTAGAAATTAATAAATTTCAGAATTTGAAATTTAAAAAATTTTATTTTCCGTGAAAAAAGAAATAAGAAGTATTTAAATATTTATTTAGCAAAATTATTTGAGTTTTGATTAATTGAATTTAGAAATCAGTGAAGAATCAGGAAAATACAAAATAAAATTTTGTGTGACAACACGGAATTAAATAAACGACTTTTTCGACTTTTTTTCTATTTTTAATCGACTGAAGCGATTTTTTCGGCTCATTAAAGTCGATCCGAGGCCTGTTAATGATATTAATATTAATATTCTATTTCTATATTAATACAACTACAGTGAATCCTGTCAGAATGAAACTCGGTTTTTTAAATTTTATTGCAGTAAATAAAAAAAATGTTTTATAATTTAATTTTTTAATTTTTTTACAATATTTTGGAAGTAAAAGTAATTCTAATTGGATATTGTTTAATACAAAAAAATTTTTTAAAATAGAGTTTTATTTCGACAGGTTCGACTATAATTATATTAATTAATATTTATTATGCAAATAATAATTATATTAATTATATTAATAATTATTATGTAAATAAATTTCAAATTTAAAACTCTCTAAATTTGAATTAATAAAAAATATTTACTAATTTGAATTAACTGACTTTTTGCTTTTGAATGATAAAATTTTACTAATAAATAGTAATTTCTACTAATTTATTAGTAAAATTTACTTATAAGTAAATTTTCATAAATTTATTATATAAAATAATTTAATAAAAAAATCAATTTTGCTTCACAAATATTCATTTTTTAATCCATTTTTCTCTTTCTATTGATAGTAATCCATTGGCGAAGCAGTACCAGATTTTACGGTGTTAACGGAATGTGTTTTCCTCTTCATATAGACGATCCTTTTCTTATAGGTTGGGAATATTCCGCATTTATTTTCTTGGGCCTGAATTTCATTGGGTAAGAAAATGATAAAAAAAATGATTTTCTTGATATTGACAAAATTAATTATTAGTTAATAACTAATATAAATAGGCAATTAATTATTACAAAATTATTACAATAATTAATTTTGCGATTATTAAAATTAAAAACAGACTGTTTACAATTGGCTACGTCTATACGGGAATGTTTGCGAGTATTTGGCGAACGCGTCACGCCACGCCATTATCAGTTGGAGATTCCGAATTCGCATTGAGATTTTTTTTGATTGTACTGACGGATGCTGCGTGTTGGGCGCCAATAATTATTCTCAAAGTTCTCGCATTAATGAAGTATGCAATACCACGTAAGGCTATAATTTATATTTTCATCTTAATTAATTGATTTATCAACACACACGTACCTTCAGTATACATTGTATCGATTATCGAAAATATAAAAAGGCCGAACATGCAATTTTTTTCCTTTTTATTTGTAAATTCTTTTCCCGATGCAATTTATTATAAAACTCATCGATACTTTGTATATCGAGAGCACGATAAACTTACAGATTATAAATAATCGTATATTATATTAATATTAAATATTTTAATTCTTAGCATATTATATTATCGTATTTTATTATTCATTTTTCTTCTCTTGTTTTTTTCCTTCTCTTTCAAGCCGATTTGCATTCTTGGGTTGTCGTTTTTATTTTACCAGTTAACAGCGCAGTTAATCCGTTATTGTACACTTTTACAACTCCTAAATTTAGGGAGAGACTTAATGGAGGTAAAAAAATTATTATAATTAAAAAAAAATATTTTTACTTATTAGAATTTTTTAATCTATATTTTCTATTAAAAATGAATATTTGGAGACAAATTAATTTTATATTTTATATTCTTTCAGTTAAATTTCGAGGGAAAAAAGTGTTGGACAATTAATGGCGAAAATTCACCATTTGAAGATTTATTTATCAACATTCCATTAATCAATGTTAGTCAGTGGATAATAAATATAATTGGATTAATAATAAAAAGAATAATAGAAATAAAAAAAATTATAGTAAAAATAATAATAATAATAATAATAAATAATAGGAATAATAAGAATATAATAAGAGGAGTAGTAGTAATAATAATGATAATAAAATAATAATAATGAGAATAATAATTTGTTTCTAAATATTTCTTTCTTGTATTAAATTAAAACACCTGTGTAAATATTTTATACTTTTACTTCGAAACTATTATAAAGTACAAAATTTGTAATTATAATTTATTAATTTTATCAAAGGCAAATTATTTTTATTATGAAAAAAAATATTTTATAAGGACACTTTTTTGAAAGAAGGGCTTTTTCCGAAAAGGTTTTGTACTCAACAACTTTTTATAAATAATTTCTGGAATATTAAAAATTTTTTCCTGAAAAAAAATGGTCTTGAGACTTTTTTTTTACTAACAAATGCCTATTTTATTAAGTTAAAAAACACTTTTTTTGCAAAAAGGTCACTTTTTTGGAAAGAAGGGCTTTTTCCGAAAATGTTTTGTACTCAAAAGCTGTATATAATATATCTCTGGAATATAAAAAAATTATTCCTTGAAAAAAGAAAATAGTCTTGAGATTTATTTACTTACAAATGTCTATTTTATTAAATAGTAATTGCACTTTTTTTTTGCAAAAAGGTCACTTTTTTTAAAAGAAGGGTTTTTTTCCAAAAAAGTTATGATACTCAAAAATGGTTTTTTTTTTGGACAAGAAGTCCAAAAGAAAAAGTCCAAACCAAAAATTCCAAAAAAGTAAAAAAAGATAGTTTTACATTGGACGAATCGAAAGTAGGTAAACTTTTATTTTAAATTTCTGAAAATAATTAAATTAATCCAGTAATTTAATTGGTATTTTAAATTTTATCAAAATTGTTGAAAATAATTGTATTTCTTGGAATAATTGTTTTAAAAATTTTATAGAATAATTGAAATTCATCTAGAAATTTTTTATTTATGAAAATAATTGAATTTTTGGAAAGAATTTTTTTATTATTGAAAATAATTGAATTTTTGTGTAGAATTTTATTATTTATGTAAATAATTAAAATTCTTCGATTTTAACATTTTGAATTCCGATTTTATAGCGTAAAAGTAAAAACATGGCTTTTTCCCATGTTTTATTATTTATTTTGTATTTTTTGACTTTGGACATTTTTATTTTGGATTTTTTGTACTTTGAACTTTTTTCTTGGATTTTTCGGTCTAGATTTTTTGAATTGGATTTTTTGTTCTGTTTATAATAATTTCATAAATAATTTTCGTCTGTAATTTTCACAATAAATTTCATAAATTATTTCCACAATAATTATTAATTTTTATAAACAATGATCATAAATAAATTTTAATCAGTCTAAAAATTATATTTTTGCAAAAGGAAAGCTAACACCGTATTTTTTTACGCTTATTGAGATAAATAGAAATAATTAAAAATCGCCCAATAAGTGAAATAAATATATCGATAGAAACTCCATAAGTTGTCAATTTGTTAGTAGTTGTGAAGTTAGTGATTGCCGAGTCACTTTATAGATGTCGTATTTATATATTTTATCTCAATATAATACCGGCTTTCAGGATGATGCGATAAATTAAGTTCCAGGAGCGAAATAACATAGCCACGGGGTTTGAAAGGATACATACATATACATAACATATATATATGTGGGCAATAAGGGATCTAATGAGCCAATTGCGTGTAACACTTTTCATTGTATTTATATACACATACATTTTCCACGATCGTGACTTGATTTTTTTTATTTTTTATTTTCTTTCCTTTTTTGCCCCTTATATGCACGACAAAATAAAGTGACAACCACACACTTTCAATCGAGAGAAAATATTCTTCTACATATATGTAGAATATTTTTTCCACTAATTGAAAATTAGTCGAAAAAAAAAATAATGGAAAATTGACCTTACGAAATCAAATTATGTATCGCGCCTTTATTTCCATTCTCTTCTTGCAACAATTTTTGTTCAATATACAAATGCTGAAGAGAATTGCTTTTTTTCAAAATTGCCTTTTTTAAATTCTTCGCTTTTTCTGTCTCTCATTATTATTATCTTTTCCTTTTTTGTAGTAAATTTTCCAAATAAAATTTATTTCAACCAATTAACATTTATTTCAATAAATAAAAATTTATTTGAAACAAGTAAAAATTTATTTAAAACAAGTAAAATTTATTTGAAAGAAGTAAAAATTTATTTCAAACAAGTAAAAATTTATTTGAAACAAGTAAAAATTTATTTGAAACAAGTAAAATTTATTTGAACCAATTAAAATTTTTGTGAAACAAATATACAATTTTATATGAAACAAGGAAAATTTTAATAGATCCAAACAAAATTTATTACAACCAAATAAAATTTTTGTAAAACAAATACAGTTTAATTTAGAAAAAAAAATTAATTTGAAACAAGGAAAATTTGATTTGAACCAAAACAAAATTTATTAGAACCATATAAAATTTATTTGAGACAAATAAAATTTGATTTGAACCAATTAACATTTATTTGAAACAAATAGAATTTTATTTGAAACAAAGAAAATTAATTTGAAACAAATAAATTTTATTTGAAACAAGGAAAATTTTATTTAAAACAAGGAAAATTAATTTGAAACAAGAAAAATTTTATTTTAACCAAAACGAAATTTATTAGAACCAAATAAAATTTATTTGAGATAAATAAAATTTGAATTAAACCAATTAAAATTTTTGTGAAACAAATACAATTTTATTTTAAACAAAGCAAATTAATTTGAAACAAGGAAAATTTTATTTGAACCAAACAAAATTTATTAGAACCAAATAAAATTTATTTAAAACAAGCAAAAATTTATTTAAACCAAATAAAGTTTATTTGATCCAATTAAATTTTTCTGAAACAAATACAATTTTATTTGAAACCAGGAAAATTAATTTAAAACAAGTAAATTTTATTTGAAACAAGAAAAATTTTATTAGAACCAAACAAAATTTATTAGAACCAATTAAAATTTTCGTGAAACAAATACAATTTTATTTGAAAAAAAAAAATTAATTTGAAACAAGGAAAATTTTACTTGAACCAAAACGAAATTTATTAGAACCATATAAAATGTATTTAAGACAAATAAAATTTGATTTGAATCAATTAAAATTTATTTGAAACAAATACAATTTTTTTTTTAAATAAAGAGAATTTATTGGAAACAAGTAAATTTTATTTTATACAAGAAAAATTTTATTTGAAATAAGAAAAATTTTATTTGAACCAAACAAAATTTATTAGAACTAAATAAAATTTTATTTGAATCAATTAAAATTTATAAATACAATTTTATTAAGAAAAATTTTATTTAAACCAAATAAAATTAATTCAAGTACAAAAGTAAACAGAACTAAATTAAAAATCAAAAATAAATTTTCAAAGTTAAACAAAATTTGCCATAAATAAATTTCAGAGAGTTCAGTAATTTTCCAAATAATATTCTATCGAGTTACTATCGCCTCTATTTTTTCTTCTTTTTTTCTAAATATGGTGGCACGATAATAGTCGAGGATTGCAGTGTTTTGTCTCTTGTGAAATCGGAATTTCGTCGAGAGGAATTCACATTAATGTCGGAACTTGCCGCACAATATCTACATAGTAATGGGATTATCTAGCCCGTTTTCATGAAGCATTATGAGCGACCAAATCCTTTCTCCATGGCAGTTACACGGGGCGTGGGTGTCACCGCGAGGCATAATCCAAACAATTTTGCAATAATCTGGAAACTACAAATAGTTCCTAATGCACACACACACAATTCTAAAAATTATCCTTCCACAATTTTCCAACAAGTGATCCAATACTACCAAGTCGAAAAATTATCACTAGAATTTTACTTGATTTTTACTAGAATTTACTAAAATGTTACTTGTTGTTTATTTAAAAAAGAAGTTATTGATGTTTTCGAATAATTTTACAATTAAAAAAATTCGTAAATAAATGTAATTAAATATTTTTTTGAGTATCTAATCATTTTTAAAGTAAATCAAAATATTCTTTAGGGCCAGGAAAAACGTCAAAATTTATCTGAAAATCAGGGAATCAAAAGTAAGTTAGTCAGTATAACAAAATTAATTGATAAAAAAATTGACTAATTTTGTCATTTCAATTGTAATTTACTTTCTTTGTTATTTTAATTCTAGAATTTTTTTTTAATCAGACAGTGGTAATTTTTTCTTTTGCACTGCATTTTTTATTCTTGATTATATTTATATTATGTTTTCATCGAGCACGCATATTTCTATTGTATGCAGAGTCGTCCTTTGCGTTTTATAATTACAAATAAGAGGCGCGTTACGCTTGTTGAGTCTCATCTCTCTTTTCTCTTTATTTCCTGATTCCTTATTGAAAATCTGTATTATCGTGGTTATTGTTGTTCCGAAAGAAATTGCATTTGTGAGCAGCGGCCTTTTGCAACAATTTTCTACACAAAGCGTCAGTTAAATAACAAAAGTCGTAAAATGTGAGAGTCCCGGCACCTTGAAGATCCCGGATGTGACTCTCGTTAGTAATGATCTTTATTGTCCAATAAAGTTCTGGAATTTCTAGAGTATATACTAGATTTTGAGAATGTGTCATAAAATATTCTGGAGAAAAGTACGATGAATTAGAAAAAGGAGAAAAGAACAGAAGAATTCTTAATTGGTAAATTCTTTTGTCTAGGGGAATTTTTTTCAACTGGAATTTCATCTTTAAATTGAGGGATTTTTTCGTAAACGAATTTTTAGCTTTTCTTAAATATTATTTTCATTCTTTCGAATTAGTAGTTTATTTAATTCAGTGTTGTCACAAAAAATTTTATTTTGTATTTTCCTGATTCTTCACTGATTTCTAAATTCAATTAATCAAAACTCGAATAATTTTGCTAAATAAATATTTAAATACTTCTTATTTCTTTTTTCACGGGAAATAAAAATTTAAAATTTCAACTTCTGAAATTTATTAACTTCTAAAAATTACAATCTATAACCCTTCCAAAATTCAAATATTTTCTACCATTTTGAACTAAACTTCACCTCTAAATAAATTATCTATGTTAAT